GGTTTCTGAATGGGTCAATCGAGTCGATGGAATATTTGTAAATATGTGCAATACTTCCACATATACAATTATGTATATATATATATATGTATATGTGTATATGTATATATATACTATACATCATGTTATGTTTTTTTACATTTGCAGGTTTCCTAAAATGGAAGTACCCCAAATCATCCAGTCGTCATGGATGACCATTGTAGTATTGAAACCAATGGTGACTTGAGAATCCCCCATGACTTAAGAAACCCGCATGTTCATCATGTTGTATTTGTTTGTCACAAATCGCGATATGTATTAAACAATATCTTCAATGGGATCAATGGGGATTTCATGAGGATATGAACCCAGAAGAATAGGCCATTCAGCAAAACATAGTGGACATGAATTAGTAATAGGACATTTACAAACTAGGCAACCGGTTGACTCGGCGCCCTTGTAAGGGTGACGAATTTGAAATTCTGATTTTTGATGCTAAGAGACAAAATGCGGGTATTTGCAGGAGTCGTCAAAAAATGTTTGCAACATGGACATTCATTTTGATTGGCAGGCGTGTGACTCAAGAGTGAAAATGTGCGTTTCGCCTGCGCGGTGACGCGATTTTGCTCTTCAAGGGTCAAAAAAAAACATTAGAAATTTTTGATTTTCAATCATCCGAATCATATCAGGGCGACATTCACTCTTCCATTTTTTCCCTCTTCTCGACGCTAGCGGTGCCAGAGCGCTTGTGGCAACGCAGAAGCCACAGTCTGCAACAAGGCAGCGTTGTGACGCCATGTCCAGCTGTAGGCCCAAGTGTACCTTTTTTTGTACACGTTTTGTTTTTTTTGTGGAGCATCGACGGAGGTCGCCATTTTTTCAAGTGTTTCCATGTTCCATCCATTTGTTGAGTACCAGCAACAATGGTTCTATAGGATCTATCCCACAAACGACCTCGAAAATGATAAGTCTTAGTCTTAGTAAAGATATTCTGTTTGTGGTTGACTTGGGCCAGCTTGAACCTTTTGTGGGGATAATCTTTGACGCAACTGACAGCATGTGCAACGTTTGCATCTTCCGTAACGTAAAGGAAGTGCTCGTCAGGACGTTAATACACCCCCCCCACCCCCCACCCCCACCCCACCCCTGATGATCATACGACAGCATGCGCAACGTGTGCATCTTCCGTAACGTAAAGGAAGTGCTCGTCAAGAACGTTAATACACCCCCCCCCCCCCACCCCACCCCCCCTGATGATCATACGACAGCATGTGCAACATGTTAAAAACTCAAAAAAATCAAATCCTATACCCCCATTTCCGCAAGCCTCATTTTTGAAATTTGCAACCCTTCCAAGGGATCGTAAATGGCACATCTCAAAATTGGCAACCCTTCCAAGGGCGCCGTATCAGCCGCATGCCACAAACTACTATGTGTAACGGCAATATGATAGTAATATTATTTAAAATGTATGGAAAGTAGATCATAGTAACAATGATGTAAAATCCAGGTACAATAACATACAACAACATACAATAACATACAATGACATACAACAACATACAAAAACATACAATGACATACAACAACATACAACAACATACAATGACATACAACAACATACAAGAACATGTTTCCTATTATATATATATATATCATTATAGACCCTATGAAAATACCATGACATCATCAATCCCATCCACTAAAAATGGGGATACCAGGTCGGGCAGTCCATTTCCGATGGGTTGGCCGTACCATGGTTTTATTGGTTATCACATGTTATCGCTATATTATTATTGTTGTTTTATATCACTACAAATATGTATATATATATATATTTCATATATGATACAATGTGTGTATATGTATATATATATATACATTACATATACATCATATATATATATACACATTATATATATATATACAATATATATAATTTATATGTATGCGTACACACATTGCTACATATAACACCGGTCTTGATAAAACCGTGCACCCAGGCTTCTGGAGAAGGGTCTCACAACAATTTGAGTCCCCCATATATTGGTGTGCCGTTCTAAAGACCCCTTTCCGAAAACGACGCAAGGCATGTCTTATGATGCAATCTCCTCTACCAATTTTAGATAGTTTTCGAGTATATGTCTTTGTATCACAACATGACTGACATTGAATAAATGAACAAAAAAGTAAATTTTAGGGATTCCACCTCTTGAATGCCTTTGCGTCACAGGCCCTTCGAGGAACGCAGTTGGAGTTGGAGAAGACTCGTGAAGAGTTGCAGGACGGGGTTGCATTGCCTGGAAATCGGCAGCAGATTCTTCAAATATCCTGGTTGATTGGTTACTAGAGGGACTTACACTACCTGATTTACTTGGGGATTATGATAACCCATAGTAGGGAAACGTATCACCCAACTAGTACTACTTCCACTTTTTATTCACCCGCGCAGAACGGGGCATTGTGCTTGTCCTGTCTGCCTGGACAGTCTGACGACTTGTTGAACAGTTGACCTTTGGCTCTCGTCAGTTCAACATCACACGCAATAATATGGTCATTGGTAACTCATGCCATCTTCCGATTTTTGCCAGAAATGAGTAGAACCATCAAAACTGGTTGGTGGTTTGGAACATTTTTAGTTTTCCATTGGGAATGTCATTATCCCAACTGGCGAGTTGTCATATTTTTCGGGTAGGTCAACCACCAACCAGATATAGAAACATCCCGAAACCTAGGGCCGCAGGAGCTTCGCAGAACGCGGTTGGAGGCGCGCAGTGGTTTTGGCTCAACCCTGGAGGTTTAAAACTTTCATGTTGGTAAAATAATACCCTCTGGTAAACTAACATAGCTATTGAAAATTGCCGTAGAAATAGTTGATTTACCCGTAAAAAAATGGTTATTTTCCATAGTTATGTTGGTTTACCAGAGGGTACCCTATGGATCCATGGCCACTGTCTGAGAAGCTACGGCTGGATACATGGGGATAGTAAAGCATCCCCATTTTTTTCACCACAAATTTATAGGTGGTATGTCTACCATTCCCGTGGGTGGATCATGACATTGTTTTCCCACATTATTGGGGATATTCCCTGAAAATTAGGCCTTACATAGACCTTATATATGGTGGGTACCTCCAATCCAGGTTCCTGAAATGGCCACTGAACGCAATCGCACGAGGAAACGGAGACCCGCACAGAACTTGGCGAATCGCAGGCGTTGATGAAAGGGAACAGTTGGGGGTTCTTAAGTCATGGGGGATCTTCAAGTCACCATGGGTTTCACTATATAGTCTGGTTGGTGGTTTCAAACATTTTTTATTTTCCATAATATATGGGAATAATCATCCCAACTGACTTTCATATTTTTCAGAGGGGTTGAAACCACCAACCAGATATAGTTTAAAATGGTCATCAATGAATGACTTGGATGATTTGGGGTACGCCCCATGAATTAGTAAACCTGCGAAACGAGGTTCAAGAAAAATGTTTGTTCCGTTGCTGTTTTGTGGTTATAGAGTTGGAATTTAGATTTGGAGTCAGAAGAGTGTTCCATATCTTTCCATATGATTCAAACTGCTGGTGGTTGGTGCTTCATCACTTATCCATATTTCTCCCCTCAGTGGCTTGTCAATTCCCCAAAGTAACTGGTTGACATAAACCATCCCTGATAGCCATCTTGGGCGTGGCTCACCCATCATTTTTCGCAGCCACATGTTTGTCCAGAGTCCAGCTATTGACATCATACTTTTGCCAGGAAATTTCTTGTCATGTTCCAGGTGTATGTCAGCAGACCGACATCGAGGAATAGTGAAGAGACTTGACATTTGACTCGACATATGGCAGGTCTTGTGGACTTGTAAGGACTTTTAATGACATGGACAAGTACAGAATGCCAACTGTTCTGTGAGTTGTCTCGATGGTCAGTCAGAATTGTCGCGGTCATCACTCTTTTCAACTTTTCACAATATGATTCGCAGATTTTCCCAGCTACTAGATCTTCCTTACAACAATGAATCAACTTTGAGATGACTAGCCGTACAAAGAGGGTCCACAGAGTCCACTAAAAAGTTCAACTGGTTGGTGGTGATTGGAACATTTTTCCATATATTGGAAATATGTTTTCCATTTTTTGTTGGTTTATATAACCCCATCATACCCCATCTAAATAAGGTCTGGTTGGTGGTGACTGGAACATGAATGGATGATTTTTCCAGATATTGGGAATTTCATACTCCCAACTGACTCATATTTTTCAGAGGGGTAGGTATACCACCAACCAGGTTCACGTTTTCTCATTTTTTGTCTGCTTGAATTGCCGTTTTGGGGTATGTTCCATTTGGGGACCTCCATATGGTTGAACTCACCAGCGGCCACACTAGTGCACTAGGTCTTTGTCGGCGCTACTCGCAGACTTCTCGGCCCAATAGAAGCAAGTGAAAGCTCCATGTTCGACACTGGTGAACTTGATCATGATCATAGTTGTTGCCTCTATATATAAATATGATATATATATATATAGTTTGTATATATATATATATGTTATTAATTGTTATTATATAGTATAAATATATGTATAAATCTTATATATATATACATATACAGGTTTCCGTAATTTGTCTCAGCATCCGGCAGATTTTGAGATCTTTTGGGTGCGAGTCAAAAGCTCAAGTGATTTCACTAGTTCTGTGTGGGCCGGGCCGTGGCTCTCAGAGGGCCAAGTTGCGCTGTTTGTCTAAAGTTTTATGCCAAGACCCCGTTCCATTCACTGGTTCATCAAGATTTTCCCTATTGTTTGTTTGATGTCAAAAAAGCACTGGAAAACTGATTATTTCATCAGTTCCCTATTAAATCTTCCTGGCAACATCATTTCCCAATGAAAACCTGCAATCTAGGCCCGTTAAAAGTGTGTTTAGTTTCACCCCATGAATACTGTTAGAAGTACCATAAACCCTAGTTATGTTCACCAACAAAGGCGGTGAACCGACTTTGGTGAACCGACTCACTCCGGCCACCTCTCCGGCCATGGCAGACGACGCCTCGCCCTCGCCCATGTCCTTTGCGCCTGAGCCCGAGACGTCGCAGTCGCTGGCATCGCCGGTCATGGATCTGGAGCGACGCTTGGAGCAGCTCCAGAATTCCATGGAGATGCTCGGCGAAAGTCTGGATCTATACCTTTTTGTTGGGGGTTTTCAAATAGATAGTCGTATCCAGTAGTAGTATATTAGTATCTTATAACTATCTATTAGATTGTTATAAGATACTAAGATACTACTACTGGATACTACTAGAATTACAATAAGATATATGTAATGGCAACCCTGGATTAAGAAAACGTGGTTCATTAATTAGGGTGGGTACTCCCCAAATAGTGATAATCGGATACTTCAATGGTATCCCCGCAATTAAACAACCTAGGGGTTTCTTAATCCAGGGTTGACATTAATTATTTGATCTATTTTATTTGATTGGTGTTTTCAGATTGATGTTTTCATTCACTCGTTATTCAACACTAATCTGTGAGTAAACCGTTCCACTTCACAACACAATACCGATGAAACCGGATTAGCTATGGACAATGGTGTGTTTTTTTTTCCGTTGGACATCATAGTTTATCATAGTTTATCCCTATCATTCTCACCAAATCTGATGAGTTTCCACCGGGCCACAACCACCAAGGACCTTGCAATCTTCCCAGTCTTGTCAAAGCTGGTTGCCTCAGGGCTTCGCTGGGGAAACCTTGAGGAGTCCCTCCAATAATAATGGCATAGTCCATATTGTATGATATATGTGCCTGTATTAGGATCATGTTTGGTGTAAATCTTGACATATATTCCATATATGGAGCATTCGGATATGCATTCGGGTAGTCATGGCATAATCGCGGTATGGAAATGGTATGATAATGGTACGGTATAATACAGGTTTGATAATGAGCAAAAACAATGGTATAATTTATTTATTATGATTAATCACCCATCGTGAGACTGTCATCCATTCCCGCGCTCATCTTAAACATTCCCCAGAAACATCAGAAACCATGGTTACAGAAAGTAGAGGATGTAATCACAGATGTGGGACCATAGAATGGTAATGTTTAATAACGGGAGAAGGGATTACTAACTGATTATTGGTTCTTTGCTTTTTTTTGCGATATCCACCAACCAGCAGTTTTTTTTGTCCCCGGGTGTTGGAGACTGTTTGTATATATATATATATATATGATACGAATTATACTGGTTAGATTAGTCGGATAAGGTAGGGCGATAAATTCAATCAAGTCATCGTTCAACTCATTGTTGATTGCAGTAGGTAATGCATTTTACTTGGTTCAAACCCATATTTCCCTTTGGATCCAAACACTGTGTGAGAAGGTACTTGACCGTCCAAATTATAGTAAATTATACCTCAGACACTTCCTAAGAAGGTACTTGGATCCATATAGGGTTTGTTAATTGAGTCCAATTTCTTTCACACCGTGACCGAAATTGAAGAAGTTTCGGTTCCTGCTGCGCTTTGGACCATCCAAGAACAGCCCCAGGGGCCCCAGGACGGAATTCCCATGGATCGTTGAACAGAAACCGCGACCTAGGGTGATCTCACCATGGTTATAGCCATTTTCATAACCAGAACTATCAGAACTGGCCCCCAAGTTGGCCAAGTTGGGATTGAAGCCCAAAGGTGAAGCCCCTGTTTTGATACCAAGCTGAATCGACAGTAACCCTCAGCCAGGCATCATCCTGGAAGAGCTTCGTTCCCTGCTTTTGGAACTGAAGGCTTTGGGCTCCCCGCAACTAGGCGATCGAAGTCAAGCTGGGCCTGGTTCTGTGTTTCTGTGGTTTTTTAATTGTTTTGTGAAATCGTTGTTTTTCTATCAATGGTCTACGAATTATATAACTATTATTTGACATTAGCGCTTCAACATTTGTGACATAGTTTTGCTGAGAATTCAACAAGTACTAAGCAGCAACATACATCACAATGCCATACTAAAAGGAAGTCATGGAACAAGACTGCCATACTAAAAGGAAGTCATGGAACAATTTCATAAGCTGGAATAAAACCCCCCTGGGCCAATGCCAGGTGACAGCAACAACGTGTGTATATGAGAATGTCAATGTCAAACACGGCCCCACAGCATCCCTCAATTCAGAACGTCCTGGGACTCCCAGTTGTCGTAGTACCTTGGTACTACTTGGTACCTGGGGAGATCAATGCTACATGTGCCTCTCAGACCAATAGATAGATAAATAGATAGATAGATCGATCGATAGTCTAGATGCCGTGAAAGGCTTGACAAAAAGTTGCTGAGGTTTGTCTCTACACCGGAGCAACCAGTACACCCAACCAAGTAGATTCCAGAATTTCCAGACGATGCCACCCAATTCATGATAAACGCATAATGTTGGCATATTTTGGCCCACGTACCGTCGTTTTCTGAAACATGGGGGTTTGGCGCATATATAGTTTAACCAAACTATATCCCATAACATTCTTACATGCTACATCAGTCAATAATTGATGGCTGTGTTTTTTTGTTGACAGGGAAATCATGAGGATGGTGATGGGGATGAGTGATGAGGATGATTTTTTAATTATATATTATTGACGATGAGGATCAGGATGATGATGATGATGATGATGATGCTGATGATGATGATGATGATGATGACGATGACGATGACGTTGATGGTGATGGCTGTGATAGTGATGATTATGATGATTATTACAATGACCATGATGATTATGGTGATTATGGTTGTTATGATGATTATGGTGATTATGATCACTACGATGATTACGATCATGATCATCATTATGATGATTACGATGATGATGACGATGATGATCATGATGATGATGATGGCGATGATCATCGTCAGCATCATCATCATCACCACCACCACCATCGTCCTTATCATGCTTATGGTGCACTTCTGATGCTTATGATGATATTGATTGACTGGCTGATTGATTGGTTGATTGATTGTTTGCTTAATTGATTGACTGTTCATTGATTGTTTGACTTATTGCCTGATTGTTTGCTTATTGATGGGTTGAATTATTGATTGATTGTTTGCTTGATTGATTGAATGATTGACTGACTGACTGACTGATTCATTGATTGGTGATGATGCATGGTTGATGCTTGATACTTGATGATACCCTCTGGTAATGACTAACAGTTTGCGAAATTGAACATGGCCATTGAGTTCGTTGATTTACCCAGCCTATTTTTTTATAGTTTTTTGTATCTTTACCAGAGTCATAGAATTGGTTTAAGGGAAAATTTACAGGAAAACCCTGTATATATATATATATATTTGGTGGTAAAAACGTAAAAACCATGGTTTGCTGTAGATTTTCCCTTGAACCAATCTATTGACAGAGGGTAACTGGTTGCTAATTGATGGCGGCCCATGGCGATGGGATGGCGGGATGTTTCACGATGACGATCTCCATGGTGATGAAGCATACTGGTTGGTGGTGGCTGGAACATGGCTTTTTAATGGGAAGTAATGGTGTTTTTAATGGGATATAATGGGATATAATAATCAATCATGGAACCATGGAACACTTGCTTTGGGTTTCACATTGGCCACAATTTGCATTGTTGGGAGGTAAGTAAGTGAGTGAGTGAGGAAGGAGGGAAGGAAGGGAGGAAGGAAGGCCAGAAGAAGGAAGGCCGGAAGTACTGTAAGGACGTAAGAGCGAGGTGTTTGAAAACAATGCTCTAGAACAACAATATTGCCATCTTACACTTTTGCAATCGCTTGACAAAGAAGACCTTAAACCGATATGCTTCGGTTAGTTGGGCATGTCTCCGACTTTGGGCAGATGCCTTGGCTGCCCAGGCGAAAGAGAACGCCACCGTTTTTGACCCGCAGCTGATGTGATGGGGGGTACCCGTACCCCAGGGGTTGTTGAAATATGGGGATTCATGATTGTCACAGCATCGATACATGTGAATCGATCATAAATATGATTCGATCATATTAATGCGTCATAAGTCATAATGCGTCAAATGCCAGACATTTTGGGTTTAATACCTGTGCTGGGTCTTTTTTTGTTATCTGTAATCTATATTATATAGTTCTATTATAGACCATTCCGATGACATCAGGTTTTGTGGTATATGTGACTGGTACACAATCATATTCAAATTCAAAACTAGCATGAACAGCACTGCGTTTGAAACAACAGTAGGACATCAAATAATCCTCTGATAATCAGACATGGCAATTGCAAATCCTGTGCAGATGGTTAATGGGATAATCTGCGAGCTAAATGGTTGATTTGTTTCCGTGTTTGCCAGAGCGCAATTGACTCATTTGAGGGTTATTTTGGCTGTGGATGGCCTTAGTGACTATGTAAAAATGAGGAATCACTATGCATTCCATACATGCTCCGAGAAAGACATAGTACCAAGATCTTGTATTTTGAACATATTTGAACCAGACCAAGCGAATTGAAACAACAATATTCCTGTCAAACGCGATCCAAACGGAAGGATTCCAGCATGAGTGTCGTTGTGATTGGTGGACAGCTAATACAGAGGGAGATGAATGGGACTCAAAAAGAGCTATATTCACATGAAGGTAAATAAGTAAATAATTTACCCAACGGGTTTCCCCATGGGTTTTCCACATTTTTGTGTACGTGTACCCAAGGGTATTACATTGTATTACATGATATGGGTATGGATCAATACCTATTAATACCATTTTTAGTGGGATGAACATCCATTTACCAGCTATTTTGATGTTCACCAGGGGTACAAGGTTTTGACACACTGCCATATATTACTTGGGTCCGCGTAAGATCCCATGGACGCCCCATTCATTGTCAAAATATCTCAGGTCGTCACGTGCCTGCATTCGCGCATAAAAAATACATCGATAACCAGCGTATATTATAAGTTTATAATAGTTTATATGTATATAATAACTTATAATATATATAATGTATATATACATGTATATTATGTATATATATATATGTTTAATACACGAAATTTATTTGGTTTTTTTTGGCGGTTACGTTTCTTTCTTGCCGTTTCGTTTTTTTATTATTATTTCTGGTTCTCAGCTTACCTGCTTCTTTGCTTTTCGCTGCCTCTCTTTTGTTTCTCATATTGGAAACAAACCCAAAGACGCATCATATAATACATAAACCGTTCATAAACCCTAAATCAACCCTAAATAAAACCCAAAACAAACACAAAAAACATTAAAACAACTCTAAATAAACCCGAAACATTCCCTAAATAAATCTAAAACAAATCCTAAATAAACCCTAAGCACACCCTAAATAGATTCTAAAGCAACCCCAAAAAAATATTCAACCACGCCTAAATAAACCTCACACCAACCCTAAATAGATCTTAAACCAGGCTTAGATAAATCCTAAACCAACGCTAAACAAACCTTAAACCAACCCTGAATAGGTACTACACTAATTCTAGACAGATACTAAACCAAACCTAAATAAAGCCTAAAACCATCTAAAACCGACCCTACATAAACCCTGAATGATTTTAAACCAAACCGAAATAAATCCTAAAACCAACCCTAAATAGATCTTAAACCAACCCTTAGATAAAGCTTACGCCAACCCTGAATAGATCCTGAATAAACCCTAACTCTAAAACCAACTCTGAAAAAAACAAAAACCAACCCTATTGGAAACGTTAAACTAGCCCTAAAAACCAATCCTAAATGAAAGCTAGTTGCAAACCATGTTCCATGAAGAGTTCGAGCACCAAAATGTTGCGAATTCAGCTCCAAAATGCTGCCAATAGCAATTCCGGAGCCTTTTAGATTCTTTTCCACCTAGTTGTGCAGTGTCCAAATCTCGTTCCACATACTGAAAATAGGCCCGAAGATCCGCCGGCAAACATAAGTTTGCTGAATTCCACCTTTTCGGCTGAGATATTTTTCCATAACGCATAAGTTTCAATCCCATGAAAGAAGACGATCAACATGGTGATTTCACGAACGCCGAACCCCCGCATTTCGGTGACCTTCCCAAAACCAATGGGTGGATTTCGAAGAAAAATCGGGCGAATTTCAACCGGTGGACGCAGGAAGGATCCTCTCGACGTGGCGCCGTCGGCACCTTCCGACGTGCCCATTTTGATGTCGATCCCCGGGCAGAACGAGGAGGGCGCTGCGGCCTCGAACCCGGAGCCGCCGCGCCGCCCGATGAAACGCGGAGGGGACGTCTGTTTTTGTGAGAAACGTGCGCCCCAGGAGAAACCTATGATTTGGGAATGGTTGGGAATGGTTTATAGTAGCTGATGATTTCTGCTAGGATTGGGGATGGTGTATTATTGTATTGACCTTAATTATCAGTTTAAATCTGTTGCTACAGCTGTGCCAACTATATAGCTATTTTATGTCTGTTTTGAATGGTTTTGAGGTCTAAGATTGACCAATAACTCCATCTCCAATTGGGATCTGAAAATGGGACGGTATAGCCCGTGTTGCCTTGCCATTTAGGGGAAATGATCGTCAAAATTATTGTCTTTGGGCCCGATCCTTTTTTCAGGACCCAAATGGGATTGTAGTTGCAGATCAATGCCCAGATGCTCTTTGCATCCTAAGAAGTATCCCATACTTGGTGCTACTTTGGATCTAGTGTAAGTGTAGGTATACCGGTATGTATACCTATTCCATGAAATACTTCAGTACATATTCACCAACGCTTGCCCCAAAGATGGCATGCAAAGAACATTTGCCTACATGGAGTATTTGGGAGGGAGAGAACATGAGAGAACATGAGAGAATCATCTGAAATAGTGCAAAGAGTTCATGCATGTGAACCCTTGTCCCGACGTAATGCATCCGTTTGGCTGATTCATGTCCCCACACTTTCTTTGGGCTTGCAAATAGCTTGCACTGAAGCTAGATTTGCATCTGGCTTTGTCTGACAATGGGGTACCCCCAAGGGAATGATCAGAATGCCTTGAGGTCAATCGCTTGAACGTTGTCATAAACTTGCTGAAAACCGCAATTCTTCAGACACACCCAAATCTCATATAATTACTTGGTTATCACATGTTACCACACTAATATTGCCCTGATATCCCTATCTTTCCAGTCAATCCCCTACTTGGGAGTGCAGTTGAGGTTATTAACAGATATGACTATAATATAACATGATATAACCAAGCATACCATTCCCAACAAGTTAGCATATTATGCCCCCCCAAGGCCCTATCGTGTTTTTCTATGCTTAGATCTCCAATTTCACTATGGTTTATGGTAGATATAACTAACTAGTATTCATGGGGTGAAACTAAACCAACGTTCACATCACGACTGGGGGGCGCCACATTGTATGGATGTTGACTATGGATACTATTCATATGGCCTATCTCAACTATATCCATGATATGCTTCCCCCGGGATTTCCCATACTTTTCCAATCTCCCCAGCCGCCAGGCAGCCCCTCAGTCCGGCCGGCCAAGAAACATGCCGTGTCGACCTTGGCCAAGGTACCGTGTTTGCTGACATTTGTGGAGAGTGTGGCGGTTGGATTCCTTAAATGCTGATGTTTTTTATGGTGAAATCCCCTATTCATATTATGTTTTTTGATTGGGCACATCGAGTTTGTTTCATGTTTATGTAATGTTCGATGGGGGGTAGCTATTTCTCATAAAACAAGTTTTAAGGGGAGTCAGGGTGAGCTAAGTAGATTGATGCAAAGACAACCCACCATGTTGGAACTTCATTACCAGCTTAAACAACATTTCCGTTTATTTTGATGTAATGTTAACACCGGGTTAATAAACCCCCCCTCCCCCCCTATAGGTCAACTAGGTCAACAAGGTCCAGTCAGAAGGTCCAAAAACCGAACCCCCGAAATAATGTGCCCATTCATTCATCCATAAACGATTATTATAAGATTCCTATGAGAAAAGATAAGAAAACCTATGGTAAAGCATCAAATTCCTATTGAAAGATTGGAAAATTAGTGGTAAACCATCAGATTCCTATGAGAAAAGATAAGAAAACCTATGGTACCCACCATCAGATTCCTATGAGAAAAGATAAGAAAACATATATAATACCATCAGATTCCTATGAGAAAAGATAAGAAAACCTATGGTAAAGCATCAAATTCCTATGGGGAAGATTGGGATTCCTATGAGAAAAGATAAGAAAACATATATAATAGAAAAGATAAGAAAACCTATGGTAAACCATCAAATTCCTATGGGGAAAGATTAGAAATTTAATGGTAAACCGTCAGATTCCTATGAGAAAAGGTAAGAAAACCTATATAATACCATCAGATTCCTTTACGAAAAGATAAGAAAACCTTTGGTAAACCATCAAATTCCTATGAGAAAAACAAGATGCAGCCCACGAACCCGAATGCTCACACGTACGTTAATGGCACAGGTGTCCAAACATATGGATTTGCAGTCACGCAGAACACTTTTCTGCAATAGTTTATTGGAACAGTCTTGTACATATTTCCTCTGTTACCAGTCTGCAGTGTGGAGTGTAAAGTGTAGAGTGTGGAGTGTGAAGTGGAAAGTGTAGAGTTTGGAGTGTGGAGTGCGGAGTGTAAAGTAAGGAGTGTGGAGTGTAAAGTGCGGAGTGTGGAGTGTAAAGTGTGGAGTGTAGTGTGTGGAGTGTGGGGTGAGGAGTGTGGAGTGTAAAGTGTAGAGTGTAAAGTGTAGAGTGTGGAGTGTAAAGTGTGGAGTGTAAAGTGTGGAGTGAGGAGTGAGGAGTGCACATGAGGAGTGTAAAGTGCAAAGTGTAAAGTGTAAAGTGTGGAGTGTAAAGTGTAGAGTGAGGAGCGTAAAGTGTAAAGTGTGAAAATGAATGGTAAACCATGAGATTCCCATTAGACAAGATCAGAAAACCTATGGTAAACCATCAAATTCCTATGAGGGAAGATGAGGAAACCACGTAGAAGCCATCAAATTCCTATGAGGGAAGATTCGAAAATGAATGGTAAGCCATGAGGTTCCTATGAGAAAAGATAAGAAAACCTATGGTAAACCATCAAATTCCAATCAGAAAAGATCAGAAAACCTTTGGCAAACCATCAAAATCCTATGAGGGAAGATGAGGAAACCACGTAGAAACCATCAAATTCCTATGAGGGAAGATTCGAAAATGAATGGTAAACCATTTGATTCCTATGAGAAAAGATAAGAATACCTATGGTAAACCAAAATAGGAAGTAACCCTGGAAATAGTATTCCGAATTAAAAAGTAAAAGGGAGTAATAGCAAATTAGTCCCACCAAAAAATTGGGGATCCCAGAGGGGCTTCGCTAATTGGGGTGTATTTTAGTGTTATTAGGGGGGGAAATCAGCACCTAATTGACTTTAGTATTGCCCCAAAATTTTCGGAGGGAACGGGCTTCGCTAATCCGGGGGTTTTATTATTCCTGACTTAACATTAATGTAATCATCATGTAGCATGTATGTCAGTATGTACAGTAAGACTAAACGTCAACGTCGGTCGTTCTTCGCCATGGATATCCTATATTCCAGTGAGCCTACAGCCATGGAGCACCATTTTACAACAGCTACAGTAAGTTGTTGAACATATATAACTCCAAATTCGATATGGTTTGTACAACTAGTTATATCCAAGGTTTTGACTGAGTTGTTGTTCTTAGATATTCATAGGTTTTAGCTGTTTTGTTTTTGTTTTATATATATATATGTGTGTGTGTACAGTTACAATGGGGGGACCCCCAGTCGTCATAAGCTGGTCTTTAATTCCCATGAATAACTATAATTATAAGTTGGTTGTAAGTATCATAAGCCATAGTGAAATGAGAGTTTAGTTCACCAACATAGCTATCATAAATCAGCTATAATCCCATGTGTTTGTTCATTGTTTTCTTGGTTAGGTTATTATATTCCAACGGTTTGTGCAGTAAGCCCATTGATATCCCCATTTGTGTTATAAATTTCCATGAATTATCCTAAAATCCCATCAAAATTCAAGTAATCCTATATGGTTTCTCCCATTTTCCCATGATATTCCCATGGTTTCGCCATGGATCTCCTGACGCTGTAGGTCTCCGAGGAGCTCTCAGAGATTATGCGCAACTCGCAGCGCTCGCAGCACTCACAACATTCCAACCCAGTGCCTCGCAAGGAGGTGTGAATAGTTACCATAGTTTTTGAGTACTAATAGTGTAGTAATACCATAGTACTAATTGTTTCAATAGTTAACCAGTGTTAATAGTTGTTCATACCATAATAACGACCATAGTACTAATAGTTTGATTAATACCGTAGTGTTTTAATCATGGGATGAATGATACAATAGTTATGAAACAACTACCATTATTCAAAACTATGGTAATACTGTAGTTACGTAATACCATGAAACCGTACTTAGTTCCATTACGGTTGAATAATACTATAGTTGTTCATTAATACCATAGTTGTGAATTAGTAACACCATGAAACCGTACTAATATTTTCCCAGTGTGTTGAATTTAGATCGAGGAAGGTATCACAATAACTATGGCTAAGATTAATAACTAGTGGATAACTTCATTTCAAATAACTTTATGATGGTTATACTGGTCATATTAGCCCATTATTCCCAATTTAGTAAGGAAGCCTTCTTTAATCAATTCCTTTTTTCATTAAGGAAATTTACTTAAATTAAGGATAAGTTAATTTGATAACGGTGGTTTATGGTGCTTGAAATTTTATAGTTAATGATGATTATCATAGTTAAACTAACAATCATCACATAGTTAATGAGGCATTTTTACAGCTTTATGGTACAATTGTTTATAAAAAGGATCCTAATGGGAAATAATGGAATAGTGTTTCTCGAAATGATACCCTCTGGTAAACTAACATAGCTATTGAAAATGGCAATTTATAGTGGATTTACCCATTAAAAATAGTGCTTTTCCATAGCTATGTTAGTTTACCAGAGGGTGATGGGATCTTTGTAAATTTGAACTATAACCGGGGTATATATGGTGGATGATCATCGGGATGAATTGTATTTTTTTTCTGGACCTCACTGCGACCGAAATCTGAAAAAATGAGGAACATATCATATTAAACGACAATGGTCTTAATTACCTTCTTACGATGAATAACGGAAGATAACCCAAAACAAAAGAATGAGGAATGTTTTCTTATTGCGACAATGTATTTTCCCTTATTTAAGGATTTTAAATGACTTCTTCGTTTTTGTTATGGCATGTTTTTTTTTTGGGGGGGTCGCGCAGGAGTTTTATTTTAGATTTTTCCGAACATGTTTATGTCTTTTTCGAACAAACAGTTTTTTTCTTGTAATTTGTTAGTTTGTTTCATTCTTTTAATTTGAATTTAAACGACAAAATTAGTAATCCCTTCCTCCTAATACTAAACGCCCCCCCCTATTACTAAACACGGCAGGTAGTTTTTAGTATTAGGGTGGTATTTATTATTAGGGAACCTTAATAATAAAAACTAGTTTTTCCGATCTCAAAATCAATTAAATTTCTTTTTTTAACGCGATCAAAATATTCCCAAAAACTGGATTTCGAAGCTTCCCCCTAATATTAAACTAAAACCCTTAAAAATAATTATTCGTTTTTCCGATCTCAAAATCAATTAAATTTCTTTATATAACGCAATTAAGATATTGCCAAAAATTTGATTTCGAAGCTGCCCCCTAATATTAAATCAAAACCCTTAATAATAAAAACTATTTTGTCCGATCTCGAAATAAATTAAATTTCTCGATATAAGGCGATTAAAATATTGCCAAAAATTGAATTTCGATGCTTCCCCCTAATTTTAAATTAAAACCCTTAATAATAAAAACTATTTTTTCCGAGCGCAAAATCATTTAAATTTCTTTATTATAACGCAATAAAGATATTGCCAAAAATTGGATTTCGAAGCTGCCCACTAATATTAAATTAAAACCCTTAAAAATAATTATTCGTTTTTCCGATCTCAAAATCAATTAGATTTCTTTATATAACGCAATTAAGATATTGCCAAAAATTGGATTTCGAAGTTTCCCCCTAATATTAAATTAAAACCTTTAATAATAAAAACTATTTTTTCCGATCTCAAAATCAATTAAATTTCTTTGTATAACGCGATCAAAATATTGCCAAAAATTGAATTTCGAAGCTGCCCCCTCATTTTAAATTAAAACCCTTAATAAGAAAAACTAGTTTTTCCGATCTCAAAATCAATTCAATTTTCTTTTTATAACGCGATCAAAATATTCCCAAAAACTGGATTTCGAAGTTTCCCCCTAATACTAAATTAAAAACCTTAATATAAAAAACTAAAAAAATCGGACGGACCCTAATAATAAATACCCCGGGGTCGACTGGTTTTTAGTATTAGGGGGAAAACCCACAAATGATAGCTTGATTTTCAATTTGTTTTCTAAAGGGGATCAACTAAAAGTCAAATTGGCCAATCTGAAATTTTCAAAAATTGGAGATGGACACTAGTTTTTAGTATTTGGGCGGGGTTTAGTATTAGGAGGACGGGATTAATCTAAAACCAACAAACAAGTTTATTAGTTCGCTTTATCCTCCGAAAAAAATATTAGAGGTGTGCCCTAGCTAGCACTAGATCAAGAACAAACATCGCTCATGACTGAAATACCGAAGAAAAATGCTGAGAACATACATATCCCATTCCATCATGTAAACAAAAAATCCTTAAATTCAAGTTACGTTCCTTTAACAGGGCAACCTTCTTTTTTGAAGGAAAACATCTTATAACCTTAACCTTACTTAATTTGGAAAGGTGTCTTTAATTCAGCAAAGTTTTCCGTTGAATAAGGTATAATTATTTGCCCTTGTCTACTATAACTGGGATGAAATAAGTCCTACTAAGGGTATATATCATGAAATAGACCATTTGCAGCTCTTAAGGGATCTAACTGAATTTTCCTTACCACCGGGTAATTTAACAGTTTGCTTTTGAAAATGGCCCATAGAAATAGTTTAGTTACCTATTGATGGTGATTTTCCACTTTGCAAACTGTTAGTTTACCAGAGGGTAAATCTCCATGAATCCCCATGAAAATCATCATTTATGATCATTATTGACCTCTATTGACCGCTATCAACCACTATCCATCTCCACTGGTTGATTAATGGTTAAACCACCAATATTTTTCACTATGATCTCCTTACTTTTGATAATATATATATAGATTTACTATCCATCTCGGTGTCATTATTCATCTCCATCATTAAATATTTTCCGAACTCATCACTCTTCCATCCGAACTCATCACTCTTCCAGTACCCAGGCGCAGCTCAACGAGGCACAGCTCAGCGTGCCGAGCCCCGAGCGCAACCTTGCGAGCAGCGAGGCGAGGGAATGGCAATCGACAGGAATCGCTTTGGATGGGTGGGTGTATATATATATATATATGTACATATATATATATATATATATACATACATTATTTATATATCATGTATATGTATATAAATGTGTGGGTATGGATGGATGGATGGATGGATGGATGGATGGATGGATGGATGTGATTAATGTTATGTTATGTTTTGTTTTGTTATGTTATATTATGATGTGTTATGTTATTTATGTAATGTATGTAATGTATGTAATGTAATGTAATGTAATGTAACGTAATGTAATGAAATGTAATGTATGTATGTGTATATATATAAGTGTGTGAATATATATATATATATATCATATATTGAAGATAATGTATTTGTTTTATATATAAATGTGTGTGTATGTATGTAATGTAGTGCAATGTAATGTAACGTAACGTAATGTAATGTAATGTAATGGTATGGTATGTTATGGTATGGTATGTATGTATGTATGTAATTAATGTTATGTTACGTTACGTTATGTTATGTTATGTTTTGTTATGTTATGTTATGTTATGGTATGTATGTATGTATTTATGTATGTAATGTATGTAATGTATGTAATGTATGTAATGTATGTAATGTATGTAGTGTAATGTAATGTAACGTAACGTAACGTAACGTAATGTAATGTATGTATATATATATATATATATTTAATTATATATATATATACATATGTGAGCATATATATCATATATTGAATATATTGTGTGTGTTTTAAATGTTTTGGTTGAAATGTTAGTCTCTGTTATGTTTGAAATTATCTGATTATTGAATAGCGTTTTTTTTATTGCAATGGGTTTACCACATTATGTTTGCATTGTGGTAGGTTAGGGCTAGGGTTGGGTGGTTTTTTGGCTGACTTCAGTTTGACATAGTAATACACTTTAGACTAGGTCACTATTGCGAAGAATCTGATGCCTAATGTTGATAAAGATGATGGCTTGAAGGGTACTTAGTATTTGGAAAAAAAAAAGAAACATTTCATTCGGTGACAGCATTGAAAGTTATATAGTTGGTTCACAGGACGTGTATAGTTGGCAAGTCTTTTTTGGAACTGGTGGTTGTGGTTCAGATGTCGTGGAAATTCGCATGTTTCCCTTGTAAGATTGTTGAACAAAGTCCAGAGTTGTTTGCAAAGCATGTGCATATCTCATTTGTGGTCGGCCATATTTCACCCCTGTTTGCGTTGTGATTTCCGCAAGCCAGGACACGGCGCGTGTGACACGGTTTGCATCGTTAAAGTGGTAGTAACAAATCACCAAACTAATGTACCGCTATTTGAAGTAGTAATGTGTGTGTTTTCCATTTTTTGGGGGTTGCTATAGTTGATGAGTCTGGTCTCCAGTGAATGCGTCTGGTCATTCTTGAAGTCTTGAAATCATTCATGAAGGGCAAGTGGCTTTGACCCATGCTCAATGGGAATTCCAGGATCCTAAAATGGAGGTACTGTACCATATAAGGCCATATTTTGGGGGTATATCCTCTTACATAGGCTTTATATATGGTAGGTACCTCCAATTTAGGATCCTGAAATGGCCATTGACATGCTCACATTTCCCGTGGACTTGTGGGAACGTCGGGGGATGCCGCAATCATCGAGATTTTTGGGGTCCCCATTTTCAGACAACCCTCGCTGGATCTTTTCTGTGTTTGTGTTTTTTGTCCAGATGCATTGGGTTACTACACATGTCGGGCCCCGCAGTTGTAAGTTTGTTTATAAACTATAAACCCCATTACATATTGCAGTAACTATTGTTTGAAGTATCCTAAATCATAGTTATGGGAGTTACTCGTATGTTCACCAACTTAGATATCGTTTGGGGGCCAAATTTGCAGGTGGTTCAAGACTCGTGTCCAGACAAGTCGGCAAAGGTTCTGGGATGTCCAATGGCATTTCAGCTGGTAACGACAGCAATTCCCGCAAATTGCAAAGTGTTTCTTGCATGGTTTCCTTTGTTTTCTGTTGGAACGTATTCTTTTGATCCATCACACATGTTGCTTTTGCATGGCGGGGAAACCGAAAACTATGCCGTGACCTGAGGTTCGCAAATGTACCCATTTTCTGTCACTATGGGAGTCTACTCAATCTACTCAAATTCATTTTGGTATTAATTTTGATGAATTTTGAAGGCTCTCCGTTTCATAAACTACAGTAGCGGTTGTCCGATGCATTCCATACTTACACTTACAGACTGTGCAGTTTTAAAATGTTTAAGTACACCAAAGAAAACATAGTATACCTAGACCCTCAATTGACCCACTGAGCTTGGCATTTGACCCCATTAATTACATTTTAATTGGGAGTCAACTGAGGGTGAAGGTGTGTAATATTTATGACAATATCATATAATATAATACAATATAATAAAATACAATATTATACAATATTATATAATACAATACAATATAATATTTTATTTAATATATAATAATATATATATATATAATCATTTTTATATAGTTATTATATAATTATACAGTTCCCTAGTTGCCCTTCCGGTCGCCATAAGCCACAAAGTTTCAATTGAAACCGAAACATTGCGCTTCTTCAACCCTGATGCAAAAACTTCAAGGAATGAACCTAAACACAGTCCCAAAAATGGGACCGCCTGGCGGTCCCATTTTCGGGACCGCATGCGCAGCTCAGTAAAAGAACACAAGAAAAGCATTTTCACGGTCCCATTTTTGGGACCGTCAATCGCAAAATCAACAGCAAAGGCCGACCCGTGCAACAAGAAAAATTACCACTGCGCTTATTTAAGCAACAAGCATATAGATTTGGAACAGAGGAGGCCCGCACACGCGAAGCCTGATTTCAATTGACTTGTCGGGCCCAAAAATGGAACCTGAAAGCTCACATGTGGTATCAGCTGTCTCCATTCACTGGCTCCAATGTGGCGATTGCGATGCAGCACCACCCAGGCAACATTCACCAATCCTTGGCTACTCCGCGCTACTCCGCTACTCCGTGCTATGTTTTAATTCAATCACCTAATGTACTTGACGCGATATCGAAACGATGACGGAGTAAGAAAGCCTTCAATATTTCACCTTCCCACATCTTTCCATAAGCAGATTCTTATGCCATCCCGTTTCAAATTTATACTAGTAATTTAATAACGGGATTGATTGAAAAGATCATGATTCATCTTTTTTCCGGGCTGAAGACTTCAGTAGAAGTTCAGAGGGGCAAGGAAGGCCAACAAAGGGGCAGTAAAGTATTCAATACAATCATTCAAATGGAAGCCGGCCACCTGCGCGAAAACCCACAAACTCCGCAACAACAAGAAAACTCAAGCAATCACCTAACGCTGCAAAAGGCTGATGGGCTTTCTTTTAGCAGCAAACAATCAAGCCACCAGACGAAACGAAATAATAAGAAGCTAACTTCAACTGGGTTCAAGCAGCAACAAAAAAACAAAATCATCTACGAAACAGCTCGCTCCGACGGACCCAATTCTGGGTCCGGAAAACTCTCAAAACTGGCTTCGCTCAAAAGGGTTTCCCCAGTATTTATTTGTATTTAGTTATTTATATACATATATACATATATATATATACATATATATTTAGTTATTTATATACATATATACATTTATATATAGATTTACATTCTGTCAAAATCCATAGAATGTAGCCAGCTTGACCGACTACATCCATGTTGTGAAGTCGAACCTAGGTGAGACTGAGAGCGCGGAAAGGAACCTTGACTGGACATGGGGGGCATGGCTGGGTTCTTTAAGCGCTACTTGCTGGATTTGGGAAGAAAACTCTGGCTCGATCGTGGATGGATACTTTGGTATATACTGGTTGGTGGTTTGGAACATGCATTTTCTTTTTCGTACATTAGGAATTTCATAATCCCAACTGACTAATATTTTTCAGAAGGGTTGAAACCACCAACCAGCATCGCTTTCTCTAAATGGGGACATTCGCTAACCAGCCATGAGAAAAGCAGTGCAATTATCTAAGATTGGCGATGCTGCGGTTGGTTTCACCAGCAGCTGGTACTATCCGGGAGTCTTTTTAAGGAGCGTTGCTACATTTCCATCAGAAAACCTACTTATGAGAGTTGCAAACCAACTTAGCCAAGGGGGCAGCACCTTGCAGTGTTCCAGTTTAACTTTCTCCAGTTGATTTCTTACAAAACATTTGAGTAAAAATGTGTTTGTCAGCATAGACTCTTCATTTATTTTATGGTTCGCTATTATTGTTGCTTTTACTTCCCATCCTTAGTAAAATCCATTAAATCAACATATGTCCTTTCAATAATCTTATCCTCATTAAATTCCAATCAATTCATTTTAAACCACCATGGTGAATTCACACTAAATCACAGTGCCTTCAATAATCCCTTTCTTATAAAAAGTCACATGCCTAAATCCCATTAAAATTCATCAACCTCCACAAAATCCCAACACATGTACGGTTGAAGTTCGATTCATTCCCTGTTTTTTTTCCATAGTTAAGCGTATAAATCCGTTTACAGATATTTAAATTGTACTAAATTCATATTTAAATTCCCAAAGACTTGATGGTTCCATCCCCATGAAATCTCTGGAAAATCTCATGGAAAATTCAACGACATCCCTAAGAGGTTGGATGAAATCCCCGCACTTCTCCATGGTTGAAGTCCATCTAGTTCTAGTTTTAACACCCCAAAAGTTGATGGTGAAATCTCCCAGATGTCCAGCGTGGATTATTCTACAATAACTATAGTTGTTACCCTCTGGTAAACTAACAGTTTGCTATTAAAAGTGGCCATGTATAGTTTATTTACCCATTCAAAATGGTGATTTTCCATAGTTATGTTAGTTTACCAGGGCGTAAAATCCCACATGTTCCTTCCCAACCTTGGATGGGTAGGTCTTCATCCTTGAGTTGTTTGCTATAAATGGCCAACTAGCAGAGGATGATATGTTTTTCTGGACTACCAAAGATTGACCATTTTTTCTCTATTCAATAAGATAAAGATATCTTATATATTAATTTCATATTGCATCCATTGGTTAGATATGTAACTATGTCGAGTTTTTTGTGCATATATATATATATATCGATAGGGTTGTATACAATGACGAATCTATTCGTGTTGTTTCGGTTGAATTATATACCATGTCACTATTATCAGTATTTTGAAGTAGGGCTTATGTATGATGCTTAATGCTAGATATATCTGTAATTAATAAGAGTTGTACACCATCTTGCCATAGTCAAAACCTTAGGGTTTAAATCCAAAAACAGTTGATGGTTGAATCCCAGAATTTCCGCAGTTGATGCTTCTACAATAACGGTAGTCTTGCTGTTTAAAAAAAAACATGTTCCCATACGTAATAACTATAATTATTGTAGAATCCATAGCTCGTGTAATTAACTTTAAAGTATCGATATCTATAGTGATCCCATAGTCAACTATAATACAGTACTAATAGGATGACTATAGATATAGTACCAACATTATCCTATAGCTACTTGGTGGAGCAGCCCATGAATCATAAGTGGGTTAGTAAAACCCCCATGGTGAAATAAGTGGATTAAATCTACTTCTCCCATGCAAATCACGTGGGTTTGTACCAAGTCACGAACACGATTCGTCAGAGCCACCAAGAAGCTATGAGGGATGTGGGTGTATATATATATATAGTGATCCTATAGTTCTGGGATCGATATAACCACATTCCATGGGATTATAGTCTATAGGCCATTAACTATGGGTATGGGATGGGGTATCATTATTATAGTTAATTAATGTAAATTATCCATGGGTATCCTATAGATTCTCCCATAGGTCAATATACCCACATTATTATTATATTGACCTATAGTTAACTATCATTATCATAGTTAACACTATCATTATAGTTAACTATCACCATTAGATAGTGTTAACTAGAATAATAATGATATATCATTATCATTTTAAATATAGCATTATAATGAAGTAGTGAAGCCAAAAAGTGTGATAGTTAACTAGATAGAGATGAACAAGTTCACTATAAGATATCCCCACATCCCTAGTTGGTCCCCCGTTACCGAGGCCATGCTGCGTCCTTGTTGGAACTGGTGCTGCCATCCGGGCCTAGCCTGGTGGACCCTGCCGCAGCAGCCTCCATGGAAGACCTGGAAGGGTACACGGCGCGCGGAACCGGTGGTGAAACCAACGGGGGACCCGGGAAAATCATGGGAAATTCGTGTTTTTTCAGCAGTTTTTGAATGTTTTTGTGAGAGATGGAGGATGGAATGACTTGAATGATGTTCATGGATTTTGGATGATTTTGGTGCCCTATAAATCGCTAAATCGCTGAGTTGGTTCTTAACTAGAGTAGTTTACGTTCTGGTTCTTTGCTATTAATGTGGGTAAGACGATAGTAAACTATCTTCCAAATCAACATTTTTATAGGGGTATAAACCATTCCCAAATGGATGGTTTATGGAATTGTTTTACCCGCATTATACCGGTAGTTCGTTGCGGTTATGGGCACCAACTTTTACCTTGGCACCACCTTGTAGGGTCTATCGATTTCGATTTGGGATTTGAGATTACTGTTTTTGCAGCGTTGGGGAAACACGTGTAAATGGCATGTCGGCATGTCCGATCGATATAATACCGATATGTTTATCTATAGTTGAATGGAACATATTCCAACAGTTTCCAGCTAAAGAGGGGGTTCTTACTTTGTAGGTGGTGCATGTTATAGACTTCGCTGACTTATCACTATCTCGCTGGCTGTCACCATGCATAGGGGATGAAGGGATATGATCATCACAAAAGGATATTCAATGTGTGCCCCCCGAGTCATAAGTCGGTTTCAAAACCCCAAAAACTAACTCAGTGTGGGAAACCCAGGCTGGTTTTGAAACCCAATTAAGTATAAACATAGTTGTTACTTAAGATACAAGTACCATAAACCATAGTGAAATTGGAGTTATGTTCACCAAGGATTTCGTAGGCCCTTTTGGGCCCCACGCTTGGGGATGACCACTGGGAACAACCACCATTCGACGAGAGTCGGTTGTCTCGGTTGTCGCGCCTTGCTTGGGGCCATGGTGGCCATTGTCTTTTTCAATGGGGGTAAATCCCCATTTTTTCGCCAAAGCGTACCCAAATGTTGATGTAGATACAACCAAAATGGTGTTGCTAGGCTGCAGTCAAATCACCCCATCTTTGAGCCCAGTTGAACTTCACTCGTCCCTGGTCCTTATCATAAATACATAGTAGTACCCAGTCAGTTTGGGTTCTTTGTCAGTTTCCTAATTGATACCCCCCGTTATCTCAAAGGTAAGCAAAGATAACCAGTGATACACCTCCATATTCCCATTGTATATCCCATGACTCATACCTACCACTATTGTTGGTTAAAACCTTTTCTTCTAACGTGGATTTCCATTTGGATAGCCTTTTTTTTATCATTTGTTTTTGTCACCCCTTCAACTAGGTTACCCCTCATCAACGCGACATGACTTTAGAATGCAGGGTTGTTGATGATTCTTGATCATAGACTCCCCATTCGATTCAGTTTCCCCATTGGTATAGTAACTTTAAAAACTTGGGTGCAGTTGGGTTTCTTAACGTATACAACTGGCTCAACTTTTCACGCGCAAAAAGTGCTTCGAAAGTCTGGAAGATTCCTGAGATCTGCCATGGATCGACGATTGCCTTGGTTTCACGCCCTCCATAAGTTGGGATACAATCCCTACAACGATGGTTAAAAAAAATAACCTGCAACTATAAGCTGCACCTCCAAGAAGAATAAAATGAGGACCCCTTTGTCGTGGATCAACACCCTGGAATAAAAATGTTGTCTCAGTCCCAGATTTTGATTGTTGGTGAATCTATCCATCTATCCATCTATCCATCTATCTATCTATCCGTCCATCTATCTATATATCTATATATCTATATATCTATCCGTCTATCTATCTATCTATCGATCGATCGATCTGTCTATCTATCTATCTATCTATCTATCTATTTATTTATCTCGCTATCTCTCTATCTCTATCTCTCTATCGATCTATCTATCGATCTATCTATCGATCTATCTATCTATCTATCTCTATCTATCTATCTATCTCTATCTATATCTTTCTATCTCTATCTATTTCTATCTATCTCATCTCTCTCTATCTATCTCTATCTCTATCTCTATCTATCTTTTTCTATCTTTATGTAACTCTATCTATCTCTATCTATATCTATCTATGTCTTTCTATCTCTATCTATCTCTATTTATCTATCTAATCTATCTAATCTATCTAATCTAATCTAATCTAATCAATCAATCAATCTATCTATCTATCTATCTATCTATCTATTTATTTATCTCTCTATCTCTCTATCTCTCTATCTATCAATCTATCTATTTCTATCTATCTATCTATTTATTTATCTCTCTATCTCTCTATCTCTCTATCTCTATCTCTCTATCGATCTATCTATCTATCTATCTACCTATCTATCTACCTATCTATCTATCTATCTATATATATCTATGTATCTATATATCTATCTATCTATCTCTATCTATCTATCTCTATCTATCTCTTTCTATCTCTATCTATTTCTATCTATCTCATCTCTCTTTATCTATCTATCTATCTATATATCTATCTCATCTCTCTCTATCTATCTCTATCTATCTCTTTCTATCTCTATCTATTTCTATCTATCTCATCTATCTCTTTCTATCTCTACCTCTATCTCTCTATCTCATCTATCTTTTTCTATCTCGATCTATCTCTATCTATCTCTATCTATCTTTATCTATCTTTATGTAACTCTATCTATCTCTATCTATATCTATCTATCTCTCTATCTATCTATCTATCTATCTATCTATCTATCTCTATCTCTATCTCTATCTCTATCTCTATCTCTCTCTCTATCTCTATCTCTATCTCTATCTCTATCTCTGTCTCTGTCTATCTATCCATCTATCTATTTTTCTTTTTTTACTTTACATATAGTTAAGTCTATATGTATTTAATGACATATAGTTCCACATATTTCCACCACATATCAAAAAAAAAAAACGTCCTGGCCAGGCGCAGTTTCTGCTCCGCCGCGGTGCTGGCACCGACATCGACATGTCCTCGCGGTCGCGTGGGAACTCCGAGTTCGAATCCGAGCTTCTGAGCCCATCGGCCCCACACCTGGAAGATCCTAGCGATGCTTGGAAAAAAACATCGCCAAGAACTATAGTTAATCTATGGTGCTAACTTTCGCGGCCTATGGGTTGTAGCCGAAATGAATTTTCGGTTTTGGTATTTATCTTGGCAGGTCTGGCACATGCGTGAGTCATACCCTAGATGCACTTTGGGGCTGTCAAGAAAAAATGCAAGCAAGCCGATCAGTGGCAACGCCAGCGCCAGCTCTCTCAAAAAAACCTATGAGCATAGAATTAAAAAAAAATCCCAAAAAAGGGATTTAAATGAATAGGAATCAAAACAAAAAAACATTAGGAACAAACAAATGCAAATTGGAAAAAAATAAAAAAATAAACAAAAAACAAAAACAAATGAATAATTATAAAATAAAATAAAAAGAGATAGAATTAAAAATGAACAACAACCCAAAAAATAATGAAAAGAGAAAAAAATATCAAAAAGTAAATAAAACAATAAATCAACAAAACGAAAATGAAACCGAAAAAAATAAATACATAAATAAAACAAAAAAAACAATAATATATTAAAAAAACAATAATATATTTTAAAATCCAAAAATAAAAAAGAATAAAATCCAAAAATTGAAATCAATGCCAATTGTTTATCTATTTTGGGAAAACTTGTAGGTATTTCTTTCTTTAGTTCAGACCCAAAAGCCAGTTTTGAATATAAAAACATAGACAAAATATGCATTGTTTGTCCCTATTTTCATGTTCAAAATGTGGTTTCACTGCTGGTGGGAAGAAAAAAGTACCTACACGTTTTCCCAAAATAGATAAAATCTATATTTTTGGCATTTATTTCATTTTTTGGATTTTATTTTTTGTTTAGATTTTATATTTTTTTGTTTTTTTAATTTGTTTTTCATTTGTTTATTGTTTTTTGTTTTTTTTGGTTTAATTTTAATATTTGTCTTTTTGGTATGCGTTTATCTGTTTTTGTTTTTTTGAAATAATTTATTCACTTTCAAATTTTATTTTTTTATTTTATTTTTTTTATTTGTTTTTTTGTTTTCTTTTATTTTTGTTTTTTGTATCCGTTTTTTTTTTTATTTTTTCCCATTTTCTTTTGGAAATTATTTTTTTGTTTTGTATTTTTTCCTTTAAATGTATTTTGTACTTTTTTATTTAATCCATTTATTTATTCTTTTAATTTCATTTAACTATTTTTCTGGTAGTTTTTTTGTTTGAGAAGAGGGTGTTAGTTTACATTTTCAAAACAAAAAATATTTGTTTCAATGTAAAATTTGATTCCATGTTTGACACCAAATCTTTATAGCTAGTAGATTCTTGCATCTCATTGTAGTTTTTTACTCTGGTTGGTGGTTGACCAACCCCTCTGAAAAATATGACTTCGTCAGTTGGAGTTGGGGCTATGACATTCCCAATATCTGGACAAATCAAAAATGTTCCAAACCACCAACCAGCTATAATTTGCAGGGTTTGCCGTACCTTCTCAGACAGCCATGGATCCATAGGGGTTCTATAGATTAGTCGATTTCAGGGACAATAGTCCCGCAACCCGCAATGTTAAGTATTCGCCTGGACATCCTGGTGCAGCAGAACTCTTCATGGGGTTCCTTGTGGTGGCATTTGTTTAAAAGGGGAATGGGAGAGGTGGGAATTATCGGAGAAATTGTTTTGAAGAAAATAGGTAAATTGTAAAATGGTGAAGATGTTTTGAAGTGAATTGCGAATTGGGGAATGATTCATGATCGAATCTAACCATGATGGGGATATAGTGAAGGTTTTTTTTACTGGGAAAAAACACATATTGAGTAAGAAAACATACCGTTTCTTTGATAATTCTGCGGACAAATGTGGCATGAAATTACAAGTGTTTTTTGTTTCACATCATCTGTGTTTCTAGTTACAATAAAGGACATTACCATTTTGGGGGTTGCACATCGTGTATGTTTCTAGTTGCAATAAAATCAAGTTGCCCTTGTTTTCGTTTCACATCCTGTTTGTTTCTAGCTACAGTACAAGAACATTGCGTTTGAGTTCGGTTTCACATCACAATTTGTTCAGAAAACCACTGTTTTTTGTTTCAGATCATAGTCATAGTTGTTTCTAGCTAGAAGAAAACCCCATTTTTTGTGTCTCATGAAGGTTGTCTCTAGCGAAAAGAAAAATACATTGTGTGTTTCACATCATCTTGTTTTCTCGATAAAAAGACAACTACCCATGTTTCTGCACAAATTATAGCGAGGACAGCCGAGGCAAGGAAGGAAAAACAACTGTTCAGGCCCCAAAAAGTTTTATTTTCTATCGCCAGAGGCCGGTCAGCAGGCAAGGAAGGAAAAAAAACTTTTCAGGCCCCAAAAAGTTTTATTTTCTATCGCCAGAGGCCGGTCAGCAGGCAAGGAAGGAAAAAAAACTTTTCAGGCCCCAAAAGTTTATTTTCTATCGCCAGAGGCCGGTCAGCAGGCAAGGAAGGAAAAAAAACTTTTCAGGCCCCAAAAAGTTTTATTTTCTATCGCCAGAGGCCGGTCAGCAGGCAAGGAAGGAAAAAAAACTTTTCAGGCCCCAAAAAGTTTTTTTTCTATCGCCAGAGGCCGGTCAGCAGGCAAGGAAGGAAAAAAACTTTTCAGGCCCCAAAAAGTTTTATTTTCTATCGCCAGAGGCCGGTCAGCAGGCAAGGAAGGAAAAAAAACTTTTCAGGCCCCAAAAAGTTTTATTTTCTATCGCCAGAGGCCGGTCAGCAGGCAAGGAAGGAAAAAAAACTTTTCAGGCCCCAAAAAGTTTTATTTTCTATCGCCAGAGGCCGGTCAGCAGGCAAGGAAGGAAAAAAACTTTCAGGCCCCAAAAAGTTTTATTTTCTATCGCCAGAGGCCGGTCAGCAGGCAAGGAAGGAAAAAAAACTTTTCAGGCCCCAAACAGTTTTATTTTCTATCGCCAGAGGCCGGTCAGCAGGCAAGGAAGGAAAAAAAACTTTTCAGGCCCCAAAAAGTTTTATTTTCTATCGCCAGAGGCCGGTCAGCAGGCAAGGAAGGAAAAAAAAACTTTCAGGCCCCAAAAAGTTTTATTTTCTATCGCCAGAGGCCGGTCAGCAGGCAAGGAAGGAAAAAAACTTTTCAGGCCCCAAAAAGTTTTATTTTCTATCGCCAGAGGCCGGTCAGCAGGCAAGGAAGGAAAAAAAACTTTTCAGGCCCCAAAAAGTTTTATTTTCTATCGCCAGAGGCCGGTCAGCAGGCAAGGAAGGAAAAAAAACTTTTCAGGCCCCAAAAAGTTTTATTTTCTATCGCCAGAGGCCGGTCAGCAGGCAAGGAAGGAAAAAAAACTTTTCAGGCCCCAAAAAGTTTTATTTTCTATCGCCAGAGGCCGGTCAGCAGGCAAGGAAGGAAAAAAAACTTTTCAGGCCCCAAAAAGTTTTATTTTCTATCGCCAGAGGCCGGTCAGCAGGCAAGGAAGGAAAAAAACTTTTCAGGCCCCAAAAAGTTTTATTTTCTATCGCCAGAGGCCGGTCAGCAGGCAAGGAAGGAAAAAAAACTTTTCAGGCCCCAAAAGTTTTATTTTCTATCGCCAGAGGCCGGTCAGCAGGCAAGGAAGGAAAAAAAACTTTTCAGGCCCCAAAAAGTTTTATTTTCTATCGCCAGAGGCCGGTCAGCAGGCAAGGAAGGAAAAAAACTTTTCAGGCCCAAAAAAGTTTTATTTTCTATCGCCAGAGGCCGGTCAGCAGGCAAGGAAGGAAAAAAAACTTTTCAGGCCCCAAAAAGTTTTATTTTCTATCGCCAGAGGCCGGTCAGCAGGCAAGGAAGGAAAAAAAACTTTTCAGGCCCCAAAAAGTTTTATTTTCTATCGCCAGAGGCCGGTCAGCAGGCAAGGAAGGAAAAAAAAAAATCAGGCCCCAAAAAGTTTTATTTTCTATCGCCAGAGGCCCGCTTCGTGGGTTGACGGCTGCAGAAGCAGTAGGATTCAGAGTTGCTCCAGAAGAGCATTGCATCTCTGCGATAATGTCAGAGATGTCACCACCCAAGCGCAAGAAACGCAAAGACCGATCAGACTCAGATTTAAAAATCCCTGCAAGAGACCGTGGATCGTGGAAAAAAACTTTCGGAAGCTGAAAAGTTTTTTTCCTTGGGGTTGGACCCTGGAAAGAAGGCCCACAAGCTACTTTCTTCCTTCGAATTAACGAGGTAAAGCCTTAATTTGCACCTGCAAATTAACGAACGAGGACAGTAATCATGGGGAACAAATTAAGACACGAGGAAGACGAGGTAAGAATTAAAGTAATTTGGCCAGATGTTTTGCTTCGCATCATATTTGTTAGTAGACTCACCACGTGTCAACTGGCTTTATCTCTGCTGCACTCTGCTTGTGTAAATTGGATGTCCATTGTGGCAGGGTTTTCCTAGCGATTGCATCCAAGGACATGGATCACCCTCCAGATTCCAGCGCTGCGCCATCCTCGCGTTCCATGGCCGTGCCAAGATCTTGGGTCATTGGATGAGTAGGTTCGTGCTTCATGATTTTTCTTGGTAATCTGGGTATATAGTATGTATATAGTATGTATATAGTATGTATATAGTATGTATATAGTATGTATATAGTATGTATATAGCATGTATATAGCATATATATATACACATACATACATACATACATACATACATACATACATACATACATACATACATACATACATACATACATACATACATACATACATACATACATATCCATATTCATTGCAAAGACAAATGCGTGGTATCTAAGATTGCCATGATTCCGGCTGTGTTTAGTCGTCAACCATAGGCCGTGGCTTGGGATACCCAAGTTTGATCTGAACAAATGATGCAAAACTTATGTGCTATGAATCAACGCATTTAGGCACTTGACCTCATTGACTTTGGCCAGATGTTTGCTGTTGTAATGCTTGATACTTGACAATATCAGAGCAGTGAAACAAGGCAGAAACAACCAATTACAATCATCATTATTATCATAATCATCATCGATGCATGCTTTTAATGCATGGTTTGCATGTGGCTCAATGATCTTCAGGACTTTCTTTGGCACCACAGCTCCACAGACAGTTGATATACTCACAGACGTGGCTGGAGATTTTGGTGTCATGAAATTGTTGTGTCTGTTTCAGAAAAAAAAATCTGTTGTGAAGGTGTCCTAAAATGATGGTGGTACCCCCAAATCATTGCCCAAAATCGTCCATTTAGATCCATTGAATAGGAATTTTCATGATAAAATCTCCATTTGATGGTACCATGTTAGGAAACCCCCAACTGTGTTGGCAACAACTTTCCAGAAACACACATGCCCCCATGGCTCGTTATGACAGGTTCTGAAAGGCCCAGGACAGCCACAGATCCTTGACGGAAGGCGGTGGGCTGTGCTGAAATCATGGGAATCATCAGAAAGAGAGCGACGAGACCTTCCTGTAAACCAACAGTTTGATGTGGAAAGCCCACCATGAATGGTTTGATCATTTTCCGATTGGTTTTCACCATGGGTTTTCCACATCCATGCTAGTTTCTTGACGGTGCAGTTCCGCTACTCGCGCACGCGTACTCCGCTTGAAGCAAACCAAAGATGCACGACCATTCCTTTCTCAAGGAATGTGACAAAATCCTTGTCCATGATTCTTGCAAGATCTTCACTATATGATTATCTTCGGTAAGGATTGGGTACCTAGAAAATCTACTGTTTTAGTACTCAAACTTGTTAGATGGTAGTTTGATGCAGTTTGACTCACAACAGGGGCAGTTCCAACTCCATCCGAATCGCAGATTGATCGAAGTGCCCATCAACATCCCCATGAGAGTATTGATTGGTGGTTAGTTTTAAAAATATATATCATAGACCATCATATATATATATATCATGTGTCTAGTATCTATAGTGGATGGAAAATTGGATGATTGTAGCCATACACTTATATAGATGTTGCGTTTTGACACAAAGAATTCGATGGTGTCACCGCATCTTTCTGTGGTGCCCAAAAGGTGATGTGAACGTTGGTTTAGATTCACCCCATGAATACTATAGTTATATCATGTTATATCTACCATAAACCATAGTGAAATTGGAGTTATGTGCACCAACTTTGCGATTTCGTTTACGGGGGCCCCACTTTGTATGAACCAACCAGGATGAAATGAGATGGCATTGCGGGTTTTGAACGCTGCTTAAGTGACTCATGTGGGGCGCACCATTGGGAAATCTATTGGACCAGACAGAACGGGTTTGACTGAAAATGGGGGAACTCACACTTGATTTTCATGGATTTCCCCATTTGGTGAGGATGAAGTATCATGTTGAATGGATGTCATAGCAACCCCTTGTCCTGGCTCGGGATTAAGTGGCTTGGAGGAAGATGGGGTACACTGCATACCCCTTTTTGGGAAAATGATGATGAATCACTGAATCATTTGGTACCCTATTTTCAGACAAACCCATGTACATATATAATTATGTAACATAATTATATATATATATATACATGCACACATATTGGAGATATATAGGTTGAAACCATCAATCAGTAGCAGCCAGTGAAAGTTCATTGAACACTTCCATTCCAAGGAGACCGTGAGAGTGGCACCCAGCAGGAAGGTCAAAACGACACCTGGTTGAGACACTGGGAGGGTACCCAAGTTCTCATCCAATTGGTGATTTTGGAGCCGGGAAACCATTGTTCTTGGGTGGGGTCCCCAGTTTCAGAAAAGACCCCACATTTTGGGCAGCATTTTCCTGGCATGAAGGAGTTTGTACAAGAAACTCAGCTCTGCATATGATGATTTGCTCGCTGCAGATGTGGGGGTAAGCCTTTCGTGTAGCCTTTTTCCATAAACGACCCCCTCTTGCTGTGCAAAATAGACCTCGCAAAGAACCTTTTGCGCAACCACCTGTTGAAGCAACTTTCTCTGATGTGCAGCAGTGTAGGCCACCCCTGCACCCGGCATACCCTTGCATAGCCTAGGGCGTAAATTCACACCTGTTTTGCAAAAGATGTGTTTTTGCTACATCCGAAATACTTGCTTAGTGGGTGTATAATATGTGTGTGCGCGCATGTGCTTGCAAGCGATCTTGCAGTTTCAGCCCCGGATTAAGCCCTGGTTGATTGCAAATCGACGGATTCTTGCCTTCCATAAAAACAACCTAAAGGGCTTCAGCAAACATGGGCTTGACACAGACATGGGACATGTCGTTACACCATTCAGGCTGTACCCCCAATGATTCATCATTCTTGCCGCAAGATGCAGAGGTCAGAGCCAGAGCGCGGGATAGGGATAATCAGAGATGTACCAGGTGGTGGCCCACCAGTTGTGTTTGCTGATTTATGTTTACCCATCTAGCCATATATTTTAGATACATTTAGATACATCATGATACATCCACCAATCATCATCCACCATAACCCATTCGTTAAGCCAACAATAAACCAGTATAGCTCTTCAGGGCACCGATGGTCGGTGACACCATCTGAACTCAACCAGCCAGGCAGCCACGGTCTTGAACTAAATTGGTGAACCCGATCTTGATTATCATATAAATTAAAAATAACGATAAACATCCAACTATGGATGTTTTTCATGATATTCATAATGCCATGTCAATCATTGGGTTCACTAATGTTTTTTTAATCACCCAATGATGGATGTTTTGATGATATTCATTCATATAACCACTCAATTATGGATGTTTTGATGATATGCCATACATTTCTGGAATGTCAGAGGGGATGGTTTATGATGGTCTCTGGATTTCGTTTGGTTTACCACGGCTGACTTTCTGACTATTACCGACTGCCATGCACATGGGTCTGCGGTCTCAAGATTGAGTACCGCAGATCCCCACGGTTTATTCTAATCTGGTTGGTGGTTACAAACATGTTTTATTTTCCATAATACATGGGATAGTCCTTCCAATTGACTAATATGTTTCAAGATGGTTAAAACCACCAACCAGTAATGTTCCACATCAAAAATGGCCATAGGGCACAAGTTCCCCTGTTTGGAGACAGACCCAGCGCATATTTGTTGCTTCTAAATCTCCGAAAATCTCTCCGAAAATCGATGGGTTTCCGTTGATTCATGGCATCCCCACCAGCCAAGGGTGAGCTTGGCGCGGATGTCGAGTTCAGAACGGAACGAGCTCGTCAACAAGCGCAGCTCGGCTGGGGGGTATTCGACTTCACCCGAAAAAAGGTGCTAGGCTGTGGATTTCCTAAGTCATGGGGGTACCCCCAAACCATGGGTTTCAAGACTTAAATAGTCCAATAACTTGGATGAACGGGGCCTATTTAAACATTGGAAATTTGATGAGAAGCTACTTTAACTGGATTTGGGATATGGGAGGACTGTAGGAAACCCAAACCGTAGACCTGACCTACCATTCAAGGGATCGTATATACAACCCATTTATGGTGGTTTTGGGAATGGTCTATCAGTCTATCATTGGGTGTTTACCACATGTCCGCATTTTTGTTGGGAAAAGCCATGTATCAAGCTAAAGTATTTGTAGCGTATTGTGGTTTATCATACTTACAATTCGAGTATTTGTGGTGCATTGTGGTTTGTAGCCAGATAGATAGCTAAGTTGAAAACCAATTGTATAAGTATGGTTTGTGGTAGATATAACATACATTAACATACTATACAACTATGACTATTACCTGGTTGGTGGTTTGGAACATTTTTTTTGCATATATTGGGAATAATCATCCCAACTGACTTTCATATTTTTCAGAGGGGTGGCCCAACCACCAAGCAGATTACTACAGTATTCATGAGGGCTGTAAACCAACCAATCACCATCACTGAGAGGGGCCACCTACGCCAAAACCATCACTGAGACCCAGGTCCAGGCATCGCCCTGGACGATTTGCAGGCGGCGCACGATGAAAAAGCGTGCCGGGGCTCGCGCGTTCCAAACGCGATGAAGTCTGCAGAGGTTTTGATGGTCTTTTCATGCGGAGTTTGCCATCTAAAATGGATTTTAATCACAAATGATATGATTAAACTACGAAATCTTGTTTTGTTTGTTACCACTTAGCATAGTGGATGTTACCATATTTTGCCATCAGAATGGATATACACAATGGCTATGGTTGGTGCTTTGAAATGTGTTGACTGTTGACCTTCTTTTCTAGCATTTTCCATGGGAAGCAGAGAACTGTGGAACTTAAATGGTATAAATTGGTGGGTTTCAACCAAGAAACATGGTGGGTTTCATCCAAAACATGGCGGGTTTAATCTTCAAAAATGATACCTGGTGATGTAACTAACATGTTAATGGCTTTTAACTAAAAATGGGGATGTAATTCACAAATGGTGCTTGATTGGCCATGTTCTTGGTTATTAAACAAATTGCCTGGTTATTGCCTGGGATTGTCAACTAACCCATATTCAGTACACCTACTAACCAAACAGAAATTCCTCCCATGGGAATGGGGCCCAAGGGTATTTTTCATGGCTCAATGTGAAATCTGTTCGAACCATGGAGCGGCTATCACGTTTGTGATTCCGGGTGTCTATGTAAATTCAGTGAGATAAACATATGGCTGTGTTTTGAAAATAAGGTATACACCCATGTTTTTTTTGAAAGTAAAAATGGTGGAATTGACATATAAACAACCATCTCATATGACAATGTCCCCCCATTTTAACTGGAAAATGATGATCATCCAGTCGAATTTGCATCGTAAATGGCGTTTTTATATAGCGTTGCCGCAGAAGGGGGGCCCTCTTAGAGCCCAATGTTTATAAAGTCAACCAACTGTAGATATATATATATTAAAACTGGATAACGCCAATATATAATCCATATCATGGATTTAAATGATTTAACTGGTTTTCATGAATTCATATACCTAGAGATATATCCGCAGTTATATACCCACTGTCCTTTCTGTGGACCGTTCCTGTGATATGTGTTTCATGCTAAGCAGCAGTCATGTTTGTTTTATTGGACGATAGTCAGTGGAGTATCGTAACCCCCCAGTAGAAAAAGGATGCTTCCCATTTAGAAGGATTTTTCGTATCAATTTTCAAAACAGCAAATTCCCCAGCTATACTTCAAAGAGGAAGATCATCCTCTTTCACGGGCCATTGAAAGCCTTGGAGATGTTTCCTGTAATGTTTGATCTCCTAGTTTTGGCAGGTTCGATTCAAGTTGTTTCCTGTATGTTCCCACATTTCGTTGGTGATTGGTGGTTTGGATTGGTGCTTTGGAAGCCTAGGGCTATCCCATAGCAGCATATAGCAGCCATGGCCATAGCACCCAGTTTCATGCTAGCGCCCCAGTCTTGGTGCTTCAATCAACATAGAAAAGCCGCCAAAAGGTTTCCCCATCCACCTCTATTTTAGCTTGCCGGATCATACAATCATCATATTCACATTTGCTTCAAAGTGCTGAAATCTTGTCAAGTTCCCATGTTCAAGTTAACTTTGAGGGTCAAATCAGTCAAATCCCACATGCTTGGCGCAGAAAATCAGCAACCCGACCACGTGCTCCACGTGCTCAACGTGCTGAGGCGGTCCTTGGCTCACTCCAACACTGGCTCTAGAGGCTTTGCCGTACCTCGGAGAAGCGTGCAGGCTGACAGGTCATCAGGTCATCAGGTCGTCGGTTGGGGGTCTTCGCCGATCCCGTTTGGGGTCCGAAATCGCGATTGTTGAACGGTGAACAGAACTCTAATTTCACTAGGGTTTATGACCGAAGGAAGTTTAGAAGTCAAACTTCCGACAATATGGACAGGTGAAAAGCAGAGATGGGAAGAGTCAGGGAAGAGAAGAGAAGAAGAAAGAAGATCAAAAAGAGAAAGAGTGAGAAGAAAGAAGATCCAGGTGCGCGAAAAGCTAGGAAAGTCGCGAAACAATGTGTTTTTCCAATGATCGAAAAGTAGGCTCGATAAAGCGGCAGGTGCGGAGCCAGCTGGCCAGATGAGAGATGAAAAATTGCACGCCGTGGTGGCGAGAAGCACATTTCCAAGTCAAAAGTGTTAAAAACTGACGGGTTCAGAGCACTTTTGGAAGTTGAGCTGTCGAAGAAGTGCACGCCGTTGTGGCGCGAAGCACATTTCAAGTCAAAATGTACAAAACACACAAGCCTCACTTTTGGAAGTTGAGATGTCGAAAAAGTGCACGCCGTTGTGGCGCGAAGCACATTTCGAAGTCAAAAGTGCAAGAAACTGCGGGGCACTGAGCACTTTTGGACGTTCAGATGCCGTTTCGCGTGGCAGGCGCAAGGGATTGTGCGCCTGATGGCAGGCGTGGGACATTTGAAGAGGATCTGCAAAGATGCATTTTCCGTGGCCGGCGCAGTACAAAAGACATGTTCATGAGAGATGTCAGGAGGTCAGGGTGCTGATTTCGTGAGAGGGGTTGCATTTTGGAGTATCAGATCTTGAGGTTTGCTAAGATGATTTTGCGTGACAGGTGCAGCACTTCGTATGACCTGGCATGACTTTTTCGTGGCAGGCGCAGTACTTTCGACAGGTGGACTGGAAAAATCGCAAAACGCATTGGTACGAGGCCGTCAGCTCTGCACTCAAATTTCCATTTTGAAGGAAGTCTCGCAGAAGTGCTTCGTTTTTGATGTTGTCAAGTTCAAAAATTGAGTACGTGTCGCAAAAAATCTGCGTTTTCAAGCTTGCAGATAGACAGACAGATAGATAGATAAACAGATAGATTGATAGATGATAGATAGATAGTTAGATAGATAGTTAGATAAATAGACAGATAAATTGATAGATACATGATAGATAGATAGAAAGATAGATAGATAGATCGATCGATAAATAGGTAGATTAGATTAGATTAGATTAGGTTAGGTTTGATTAGATTAGATTAGATAGGTAGATAGGTAGATAGGTAGGTTGATAGGTTGATAGGTAGATGGGTAGATAGATAGGTAGGTAGATAGGTAGATAGATAGATAGATAGATCGGTAGGTAGGTGGATAGGTAGATAGGTAGATAGGTAGATAGGTAGATAGGTAGATAGGTAGATAGATCGATAGATCGATAGATCGATAGATCGATAGATCGATAGATCGATAGATCGATAGATAGATAGATAGACAGACAGACAGATACAACTACAACTACAACTACAACTACCACTACACGACATTACATTACATTACACAACACTACACTACGCTCCACTACACTACACTACACTTACTACACTACACTACGCTACACTATACCACACTACACTACACAACACTACACGACATTACGCTGCACTACACTACACTCATTGCACCACACCACGACTACAACTGCAACTGCGCTTGCAAATACATTAATTACACTACATTACAGCTACAGCTCCACTACGCTACACTACAACTACAGCTACAACTGCAACTACAACTACAACCACTACACCACACTACATCCAGCAGTTGTGGTAAGGTGACCACTGCAACCATTGCAACCATTCCCAAAAACACAACTCCAACCACCTGCCGGTCCATCAGTGGATTCGCTCTGCCATCCGTGATTCACAACACCGACCTCTCCGATAGGTTTCCTATTTTTGAAACTTCCGCCACCGCCTTGTGTGGCACTACTGGCACTTTTGACTTTTAACCATAGTTAATGGGACTTTTGAACCAGCTGACAAATGGCGGGGCCCGAATTGTCGAGACGATGTGAATTTCTGGTGACGACTATTCAGGACTTACCACAAACGGGTGAGTCCATAAACGAGGATATTGCAAGATTGTGGCAATTTTGCAGTTTCAAGAAGGAACATGAGTTTTGGTACCCATGGAACTAATTTGGCTACGGCTAAAGATAATTAACATTTTGATGCCAGATGACACTTGGATTGCGTATCGGGGTACCACTTGGATTGCTAGTGAGTGTGGTAGTAATATTGGGTAGCAATCTTGGGTTCACAAGTTTTTGTGCAGGACAATAAGGATTAGGTTTGCACTAAACAACATGACAAGAGCATTGAGTATCCAAACAGCAAATTGATGTTGTCATGGGCATAGTCTTCAAGGTCAGATTTAAGTTCAATCGAATGCCAGTGTGAAACATACATTTCCTTCTTCTACTGGTCTTACTCAAGAGATCAATAGAGTGGTAACCCGTCTCGGACAACCAATTAACGGGTACACGATGACGAATGGTTCTGCATCAATACCAGAAATGCTGAACCTGGATTGCTAGTCACCTCCCAGCATAGACCGTTCTGGTGAGTTTTGGCATGCAAGCGAGAGGGTATCAGCGTTGTGACCCATTCCCAAATTGCACCGTCATTGAGGTGACGGGGTTGATTGAGAATAGGTATACCGAACATATTTTTTTGCCAAGAGCATCAGGGTTGCTCCAAGGCATTATAATTATAGGTAAATGATAGCCACAAATGAGGCAGTTGAGTCGTTTTACCCCTATATTTACCCAATTTACCTCCCAACATGGTGGTTTCAACAAACCTTGGGAATCCCCATCAACAACGATGATTTGAATGGTTTCCCCAATTGGTTTATGGCATATCAATCGAATTGTGTTTGTAGTATATACACACATATGATATATCCCGCTAGATTCCTTTCCCAATTCAATTCCCTTTGTTTTGCAGAATTCCCAAGAGCCCAAGGGTGCTCTTGACACATCAAATTCACTGTAGTTCAACGTTTCCCACAGAATTGTTGTCCCATGATACCTTCCTAAAATACAGATCTATCCACAACAATTCCAGTTGTAGCCAAGTGATTTTGACCAACTCAGCTCAGATTTTGGAGCACCACACCGTGATATGTTCTGTAAACATCATCATCTCCCAATTATTGGAAATATATTCTCTGAGTAAACATGGTTATTCCATGATAAGTCCGTGCATTATATCCATTTATATCCCATATCAACTACGGCCATCTCTACGTTTGCCCGAGGAATTTACCCTCGAAAAATTCAAATCTCCGATGCCTTTCTTGGGGCGAGCGGCTTGGCGCCATTTCATCGACAAGATTCCGAATAAAATCAGTACATGGTGGGGCCCCCCTGATAGCTAATTAAATTGACTTCTAACTGTTTATGGAGGATAAAAACCCATTATTACCTATAGTTTGTGGGGTTATAACATCTTTTTTCGACCATTTTATTTTTTCGTACTGAAAATTGGGAGTTTGCCGGTGATCGATCAACGGTCACTCACTATCAACTCTGGGGATCAGAGGTGAAATCACCGGCTTGGCCTTCATGGTATGTTGGTAGGTACTGATGGATACTGATGGTATGTTGTATATGTTGTCGTTCATTATTAAATACTGTTGTAATCTATTGTTATCATATATCAGGTTGCAATATGTGATCTTTTGGATACTGTTTGTATACTGTTTGTATCTTATGTTTCCTTTCACTATTACTATTCTTATTGTATATCAGGTTGCTGACTAGTTGCTGATTCAACCTTGGATGGGTGGCCTAAAAGCTTTTCTGTGGCTTGATACTGGACCCGAATCTTGGGGGCATTGAATACATATAATATATATATATAATTGTATATATATATGTACATTTGTATATATATATATATGTATGTATATAATATATACATATACACAACATATACATGTATACAAATGATCCAAGGAGCAAGATATCCACCACTCTTTCCCCACGAAACTCCCTCGAGATGTTAATCAAACATGATCATTTGGTTTGATTCGGTTTACTATAGTCACCTACAGGTATGTCACTACCCAGAGGAATACCTACTACCCTTTGGTAGACTAACATAGCTATAGAACATTGCCCATTTACAGATGATTATCTATTAAAAATGATGATTTTCCAGTTCGCTGTGGTATTTTACTGAAGGGAAACCAACATTAATAAGTCCATCAAATGCCCTTACAAATCCCTTCCAATTTTCTCAAAGTCCTCATATTTCGCTCGAAGATCGCCTAGGTCTGGTTGGGCGCCATGGGCGTTTTGGATCTGCTGGATGACTCTCCGTGTCTTCAACATCTCCGTTCCTTGGCACGGTCAATATGGACCAGAATGGAGCCGAATTTCTTGGGGTATCCTATTCTCCAAATGATGTTGGCTCGCTAAAATGTCAATTTTGCTTGGGAACATGGGGATTGAACTAGGCAAGGGTTGGATTTATCCATTAAACATCAAGAAAGTAGACTGGCATCAAAGAAAATATATTAAAATGTCAGATTTCAACACTGATTTTGGCAGTAAGTTGCATGTCAGCTGCAAGTCTTGGAAGGTTTGAAAAAGCAAATGTGTTGCCGCAACACCAAGGAAGGTTTGACGGCTCCCACTGTGCTAGGTCAAAATAAACGATCCCAAAACCGAAAAACTGGAATAGCGACAGATCTTTCCTGGAAAGTCTACATTTGGTCCATGGTTTCAACTTCATATTGTGTTTTGGTTTCTATATTATCTGTTATGATGGAAATTCACAACCAGCACAAACACAAACTCGACCTAGATCCTCAGTTTAGCCACAAACGGATTCAACCTTAGATTTTTTTTGGCAGGACATATAAGATCTGCCTTGGACGTCCAAAAACCTTAGGTATTTGATCCACCAAGAACCTCCCTATGTAAACCATTTTCTCAGGAAGCGTTTGGAACTTTGGTTCTCCCATTTCGATGCCCGTTGTTCAGGGAGTTGCCAGCTTGTCACGTTTTTTCCCAGTGCCTCACAGGGTACCATGTTTTTTGGGGTGGGACACCTCAAGGTTGTCAAATTACTCCAGTACTCTGCCAGGTGTCATTTGGATTCTGTGCCTCTTCGTTGGTTTCTTGATGGATATTGAGGAATCCAAAGGTGGGGACTGAACCAACACATGTGAGTGAAGCTGAGTTGGCTGCCATATATAGTAGATATTCAATATAATTATATAAATATATAATTTCATGGCTGAACTTGGGTTGTAAGAACTGGAAGTGAACCTGAGTTGACGAAATGTTGGGACGGAAAGCGGCTATGCAAAGACACGGTTTATGCTTCTGAAAAGGGGGTCAGTCTCTCAGTTGAACAGCGGCATGTGGCAAGGTTTTGAACCAGCGGTATGGCTGTATGGCAGGATTTTGATCCTGCATGTCACTTCCCAACTTGATCAAACTTGGGCTCATGGTATCTTGATTGTCAGTATTGCTGGTGAATAGGTACCACAGGGAAAACTACATTTGGTAATTCTGTGGAACGGGATCATTCAAATTTGAGCGACTGCTGTATGAGCAATGTCAAAACACCATCAGCACTGCACAGAAACTTGCTGGTTGGTGGTTTCAAACATTTTTTATTTTCCATACTATATGGGATGTCATCCTTCCCATTGACTAATATGTTTCAAGATGGTTATTGCACCACCAACCAGCTTGCAACGAGCGGCCTAAAAACGGCCAGTTTCCTTCATGTGGCAATGGAAAACCCTCAACGTATGATGGCCTTTTAAACGGCGATGGCCATGACGGATTTCCCATTGCCATGTTTGATTATCACAGAGTATCAGTGTTGTACGTGGGGGCTCAAACAAGTTTAAAAACACCTTCAACCTGGATTTTTTTCAGAGGGCTTGTTTCACGTGTTAAACCAAAGATGTGTGTAAACCCCATTAAAATTTTGAATATATGTAGGTCATATGGGTCATGTGTTTTCGTAAAACGCCCAGCATGGCAAAGAAGCTGAGGCCTGCTGGCTTTGGGTGGTTACATGATGTGGCAGAGTGTCAGTGAATTCATTGCCGCTTGGCATATCTTGGCATCCAGTCATCAGCAGTCCTCAGCCATGCGGCTTTGAAAAAATGCCCAAAGCCATTGCAATGATCTCCAATGATCTCCAATTGGGGTTGGTCAAATTGGGGGTGACGGATTTTTGGGTTTACCACATTAATATATGTATTTGTATATATATATATATATATGATATATATATATGAGCAGATAGATAGATATATATATATATATGAGCATATATATATATACACACACACGCGCGCAACGCCTAGGCTTTGCCCCAGCGTTGCAGCGTAGAGGGTTCCCATTCCCAATCAAATGTTGTTGCAACTTTACATTCAATTGGGAAGATCAACAAAGGTATTAGGGAATGTTAAAATCCCACCCCCGTTAAAAACTACATTCAATTGGGGAAGATCAACAAAGGTACTAGGGAATATTAAAATATACATTCAATTGTTGTTGATGATGATGATGCTGATGATGATGATGATTTATGATGATGATGATGATGATGATGTGTTGCCCGTCGTCGTTGCGGTTCGGGGCAAAGCCCAGGCATTTGCCGTATATATATATATGTGTGTGTGAACATATATATATACATACATATATATATATGCATATATATATATATGTATGTATACATATATATATATATGTATATTTATACGTATATATATATGTATGTATTTACATGTATATATATATATGTATGTATATATATATGTATATATATATATCCGTATATCAATATATATATACACGTATATATGTACGTATATAAATATATATGTATATACAAATATTTTGTTATATATACATATACTGTATACATGGATGCATGATTATCTCAAGTTTTAAGTTCGCAAGGGATTTGCCACAAGTGTCTTGCTGGTATTTCTTGGTGAATGGGTCTGCTGGATGCTTCAATCTATTCCTGGATTTGCTGAAGATGATTCGTTTTTTTTTGACATGGGAAATCCACTACAACAATGGGAACTATGTATATTAAATGTAAATCGTTTATACTTCTTCGGCGTTCTGGATCAGCAACTCCAAGTTCATTAGAAGAATCATTCATCATTTGTTTCTATTTGTTTCGGTAGCATCCCCTAAATCAGAGCTATCCTATCCCCTGGTGATTTATCTTCTATCCCCACGATCTCTACAAAATTTCTCGCTGCCAGGAAGTCTTGACGACGATCACCACAGCATGCTATATGTACCTGGCGATGAATTGGATAGGGGCTGTCATCGGGAACCAGTCGTCACCATGGTTTGTTGAAAAATACTATTTTATAAATGGTCATCCGTGACGACTGGATGATAGCTGGAGGTACCTTGATATTAGGACACCTCCATATGTTTGTGTATGTTTCTTGATTGTGCATCTGTACAGCATTGTAAAACCCTTAGGGTCCAAAGGTATTCCTCGAATCCCACTAAAATGACCGTCGACATGAGAACATGCAATTTTCGGAAAGCAACGTCGTGGTAACCCCAAACACAAACCGATCATGTCAGGTGTACATCTCCGAGTTTACCATTTGAAGGCTATTGGAAATCATGATCCAAATACAGGTTTAGTATTCAGTCAACTAATCATGAACTCGACCATGACAAACTTCCCACAGTTTGCTCCGAGGTTGGGCGTGCTTGCAGGCATTTGGAGCCTCCGCCGGGCTAACATGCAGGCGAAGATGGTGTGCAGATTCGGGGGTCAGGCAAATGCCCCAGACTTGGAATCGTTTATGGGTTTGGCACCTGAACATTTACTGCAGGGAAAAGCTCTAAGTCTAATGCGGTATAACCCATTTTCAGATGGGCCTGGGCCCATTCAACACTTTGCAGCTTAGGATAGGTAGATCTGAATGGTAACACAATACCTCACAGAGTCGCAGTGAAATCAAACCTGAAAGGTCGGGTACTGGTTGCGATGAGCCCTCACATTGAAAGTGAATGAATACCATGGAGTAAAATGGTGCTATATAATTGCTATATGATATATAGTTATATATATATATGGGTTATGGCGTCCTTTATGCACACATGCAACAGTCCTTTATGTGACTCAACACAACTCAACAATTTAGGGTCATGCTGGTTCAAGCGCAAGACCCTGCTGTTCCTGAAGTGGTTATGTCAATCACCGTAATCACCAAAACGTTGTGAGCATAAACCGAAAGGATGATTCAAAGGCCGCAAGTTCGCAAGTGTTGTGTTTTACACTTTGTATATATATATATAGTTGTAATACAATTATATATTTATAATTTATAATTGTTGTTCCCTTACAATTTGAGGGCCGCTGCCAGGAGCTGCTGGGCTCTCACGATGGCAGTCTGGAAACGCAGCATGGTCGCATTTTTGGATCGGACTGAGCCATAAACATGTTATGAATAACCCATAGGTATTAGATAAACCCCTTTTCATAGTTATTACCCTCTGGTAAATAATTAACATAGACCCTGAGAATCACCAATTTTTAATGGAAACTAATCTTCCAACCCCTTTCTACCAGGGTCTATGTTAATTTACCGGAGGGTAAATGATAAACAATCCATAGTTAAGTGATTTATTTACCCATAGTTATTGTTCAGTGATTGTTTATTAAATGTTATGAACAAGCCATAGTCATTGATAAACCCTGTTTTTTTTTTACACGCCATAGTTATTGATAGCCAAAAAACATATATAAACAAGCCTGGTTGAGGTATAGTGTATACGTAGGTTTTTTGGGGATTATGATAAGCCATAGGAGGGAATCCTATCAACCAATTAGCAAATGAGATGGGACAGGTAATAATGGCGCAACTTTATGGCGAGCAACGAGAAAATACATGCAGTTCAAGGTTGGAGGCAGACATTTGTTTATACAATGTCAGATATGTTGTATGTTCTGATATTGGACAATGTTTGACATATGTTTTTGTTGGAGCTTTCTGGTGAATAGGTATATATGAATGTCGCTTTGATAGAAGTCTGTGTGTCTGCATCATTCTCTAGTGGCCTCGCTGTAATTGGTGGAAGCTTCAACTTGGCTGATTCCAAACGCACCGTTTAAGGGGACGGGTCAAGTCGAAGCATTTCCAAAAGCATATTTTACAATTCACAAACATAAATTCATGGGAATATGTGTATAATATCAATAATATCAACAAAATCCTACCGTAGATTCATATTATATATATATACACACTCGGGGGTGACATATTTCACTGGATTACGATAACTGGTTGCTGGTTTGGAACATGTTTTTTCATTTTTCCATATATTGGGAATTTCATCATCCCAACTGACGAAGTCATATTTTTCAGAGGGGTAGGTCAACCACCAACCAGAACATTGAACAATGTTTTTTGGGCTTCAGGACAATGGTGCCTAAAAATTCCATTTAAACTAGTATAAACCCAGAATTATATAACTATATGTTAGCATATGTTATAATTCAGGATAATGGTGCCTAAAAAATCCCAGTGGTATGATAATTATGTTACTATATAGTGTATGGTGCCAGAATATCAGGAGATCATTTGAGATCACGGGAATCCGTGGGAATCTTTCACCAGCACCATCCCCACCATCCCCACCATCCCCACCGTGATCCCTGGAGCAACGTAACTTGTGTTTTTTCTCCACCACGAATCAAGACAAACATGATGTGGTAATATGTATATACGAATAATCAAAATTACACATGTTTGGTTACCAACCCTCTTTGATATCATCACATCGTATCATAGATAGTTTTGAGATTGTTTTGATGTGTTCATCTATGTCGAGACATATCATCAGACATTGTTTCAACAAAAAACAATAAAAATAATTAGATCAAACAATGACATATAACATACAATAAAACTTAAATGATGAATGGTCTATACTAGTCTAAACAAGTGCAATCAAGTACATGTTTATAGTTGAGGGTACCATATTTGTGTAAAAGCAGAAGAACGATAGGAAGCTTGTTTGTTTCTTTGTTTGTTTTATTTTGCATAGTTTGTGACCAAAGTTGGATGAACACCCGTGACTGGCATAGAAACTTGAAACAGACACGTCGGAAGATAGGGACAATTCCCCTTCGGACAGTCTGCAGGTACGCTCAGCTCAATGGATTTCTGAAAGACTCTCGGTGTGCACGGGTGGATCGAGAACTACATAGGTCAGCAGTGTCAAAAACCTACCAGAAAACCTCTCAGATACCAGCATTTCCCACCCTGAATTATGAGGGGATGCACCCATCTACTATCCGAGATGCCGATAAAATTTTTGGGGATTCCAAGATGCCTTGAAGAATTTCAGGGCAACATTGTCGAAATGGCTAGGAAATCAAAGAAAGGATAAGAAGGGAATATCATACAATGTGCTTCCCAAATTAGCTTGGTTCATAAGCCCTTGAATACTATAGTTATGAGTATCATAAACCCTATCGTTATTGGAGTCTTAGTTCGTCACTGTTTCACCATCTGAAATCTCACCGTGGCTCAGATGTTCACAATATATACCATCTGGTAACCTAACATTTATAGGGGATTTCCACGGATTTCCCGTTGCCATGTGTGATATGGAAAAACACCATGTTTAACAGGAAATCATTATAGGGGAACCAGACCATTTTCCATTGCCTAAATTTTGCTATTAAATGGAAAAACATGGCAATGGAAAATAAACACCATGTTTTCCCCTATTTCTAATAAAACCAGACCATTTTCTGCAATGTTTGATTAGATATGAAGTATTTGCTTCCCGCGACCATGCATCTCCTGAGGGAGATGCTGTCTAGCAGATGTTCCCACTGTTTTGCTCAGCCAAGACTGTGAGCGGGCATGTAAGCAGAAACTGTTATTGGTAACAGAAACAAAAAAACATTTGGGGGTTCCTAGAACCCAAGAATGGATGGTTTATAATGGAAAATCATATTAAACTGGATGATTTGGGGGTACCCCTATTTTAGGAAACCTTCATTTGGTATCACTGCCGCGTGTTGCAACATAGATCTTATTGATCAGAAATAAAAGTGATGCCACTGACCATTTCCCACATGCTCCAAAGATTTTTTTGTTTTCAATAGTTATCAAGATGTGTATTCAAAGTGGTCGCCAAAAGATCCTTTCATCCTTCCGTGATGGTTTGCTTCCGCTTCCCAACAGCTTTGTTTCTTTAATGATATGTGGATCATTAATACTGTGGAGATGTGAAGCAACATATGGCTGGTTAATCTATGTTTTTCTGTACGTAGACATGTGTTTAAATCTCAACCTTCAAGTCGATAAATCCACATAGATTTGGTATGATTTGGCTAAATGTTTGAAGAAACCAATTAATTATGAGTCAAGTGAGTTTTTTCTGAAAAATAGGGTGCCCCTAAATCCACTCGGTAATTGTGATGTCCCTTATTTATAAACAGATACATACTATATATATATATATTTGACCATTTGCCAAAAATAGTTGACAGAAGTTTTGTACCAGTTGTTGATAAATAGTGTTGACCTAGTGGTTTTTCATTATAAATGGTGGTATGTCCCGTTTTCACAGGACACATCATATTTTTGGTGATGTATTCCTTTTATATCCCCATAATAGCCCCATAAACTGGCCGAAATTACATCCCACGTATCCCTTTTATTGCTGAGATCACTGGGCTGGGATTATGATATATAATATTGTTGTGGAATATAATATATCATTATAAATATCCCTATTCTATCCCCATTCTTTGCGCACGTTTTGCTGGTTCTATGAAGGAATTGGAGGAATTATGTTATTGTCTATGTGATCATCCTGAATATATAATACAGCTACTATCCCAGAATATACGATCATCCTAGTGTTTTGTTTTACTACTGTATTTCCTATTGTTATTATTGTGTGATTATCAACTATTAGTTCATGTTGTATATCTCAGTGGTAGTTACACCATTCAGAATTACATTCCAGTTATCCTGATTTGATATTATACTCACATTATATGTGTCACTATCATATCTTATCATTCATCACCACCTATTCAGGATGATTTTGTTTCCTAATAACCATCAATGTTATCACTAGATACTTACCGTTATATCCTTTCATGACAATCTTATATATCATATCCTATCCTACTATCCTCTAAGTCTGCCGACTATTAATCTATATCAGTAGGATATAACTGGCTACAATTACAGTACAACTGAATGATAATGGGATACAATTATTATCTAATTATTACCATTTGGTAAACTAACATAGATGTGGAGAACCCATCGTTTGCAGATCATGTTCCAAACGGGAAACCGTTGGTTTTCCACATCTGTGGAAGGTTGCGAAATCCGATAAACCACCAAAAGGATGGTTGAAACCCTAGAAATAATGGGATGGTTTACCACTGTTTTCAACTGGTGATTCGGATTTCGCTGGCCCATCCACAGATATCCACAGTATGTTAGTAAAAACCATAGGCTCTCCAATTCAGGACCCATATGATCCATGTATGGTATATGATATATGGTAACATGGATCCCATCAATATACCCCAGACATGTTAGTATATATACCAGCACCATGGAGCATATGGGGGATGTTTCGCAATCTCGAAAAACGTCAAGGCCTGGGCGGCGGTTTCGAAACGCCGCTTCAACGAGGTCATTGGATCCTCAGCTCCAGTGATGTGATTTTTTTCATCCCCAGTTGGTAAAAAAATGGTTGGCGTAACTAGGACATAGGATTTATAGATTTTATAGCATGACAAGAAATTCATATTTTGTCAGTCCTATGGCCTATGGTTTTACTAAAATCCTATGGTTATAGATTTTATAGGATGACATAGGATTTTTATAGTAAAACGCCTGAAAACCATAGGATTTTTTAACGAGATTTTTGATCGTAATGACAAGAGAAATTCATGGGATTTTTCAGAGCTCCCCAGTGATGTTTGCAGATTTAGAAGCCATAAGAACTAGCTCGATATATCTACCATAAAGCTAGTGAAAGGGGAGTTATGTTCACCAACTGATCGCGATTTCATCAAGGGGGGCATCACCCTTTTTCGGGAAAGTCACGGAACATGCTGGATTTCTGTAAGAACCACGTTGACTTTATACCGAACACACATGGTTAGTTTTCGTGCATTGTTGATTCAGTCAGAGCGAACACACATGGATTTTGAGGGCAATATCATGATGGAATACATGCTTAACCAACAGTTTTACATGGGTTCAACATGGATAGAACGGGGTGAGTATACATACGTATATATTTATATTTATGTAGATGCAATGCATGATATGTGTAGAATATGTATAATATATATATATATATATACAACATACATATTATATATATATATATGTGTGTGTGTCTGGTCTATATCACAAACAGTATACAGTATATGGAATATATGAATATGGGCTATGGGTGTGCCTGAAATTTTGGTATACCCCTAGATTGTAATTTTAATTGGAGAAATTGATGATAAACCATAGACTTTAGAGGCACCGCATTCTTTAGTGAAACCCTCATCATGGATTTACCAAACTTTCATCATGCGTTAAGTGGAGGATTGTTTGATCTAAAGGTCAGGCATGCGACTACCCTCTGCTAATTGAACACAGCTATTGAAAATCACCAATTTAAATGGGTACACGGTACATCATCGAACTAAATGGCAATTGTTCATAGCCATGTTAGTTTACCAGAGGTTATTCTGGTTGGTGGGTTTTAACACTTCAAGGCTAGGAGAAGTACATTGCTTCATGCTTCTGAGCACCTGCCACGACTTTTTGGTGGTACCAATTTTGATAAACCTGGCACTCCAGCTGTCCAAGAAAATTGAGACACCTGAGACCGCCCAATAGAAAACACTAAAAGTAACTGTTTCAGTATATCGTTCAGGTTTCTTGAGGTACCCAACGGTACTACAAGGAGAGCCAGCAGCAGGCAGGGCAGAGGGCAGGCCATGGCTTTCACTGACAGTGCCGTCTCCAGCACCTTGCCCGAGAGATCGAGCTCCAGGAAATTGGCTCTGGTGGATAGAGCCCAGTGGGCCATGGTTGGCAGCAACATAACTGGTCATCAACAGAGAGAAGGGTACCAGCAGCAACTCACCAACTCACAAGGTAAGGACAAACCTTACGATGGTTACAGAGGTCCCAAGACGCATCCCCTTTCAGCTGAAAGTCAGAAGGGGTACAACAGAGCCATTCGCAAGGCTGATGGATGCACCGTGTACAACAGCCTGCGCATTCCAAATCCTGAAAATGTTCAGTGAATGACATTTTTTGGGGAGATTTCATCGATTTCAGCGTTTCGCGGCCTATCCGCAGAAGTCTGGGAAATTCAAATCTACGACTTTTGCAAATTTGCGAGATTTTGACCGTTTTTGCGATGTTCTTTGCGGATGTTTGTGAGTAATCCTTGACGTTTTTTTAGGCCTTCTGCGTGTCCAGATTGCAACGTTTTCCAGTAGATTCAGTGAACCAAACATCCTACCCCCAAAGTTCGCCGATTTTGTCCAGGATTTGGAGGACCCTTTGGAGGGCCCAATAGGGCCCCACGAAGCAATGGCAGCAAACCAAGGGGTCCAAGGGCCAGCTCAACAGCTGAGGATTCCTCATCGTCATGATTGCATGCCGGAGCCTGGTGCACCTGCCGTGTCTTGGGCAAAAGGCCATGTGGAAGGCCTAGCGATCGAATGGCGAAGTGATCTGTAAGTGGTTGCTAAAATGCTGGAGATTTATTCTATGTATACCAATTAGAAATCTAGATATGTCTAAGAAAAGATGGTGGGTTAAATGATGGAGATGATTTGTTTTGTTCTTTTTTGGATATATTTATTATTTACTCATACTGCAGATGGAACTGGAATTGAAAGTGAAGAAAGTATGAAAATGAAGTATGAGACTATTGTATACATATTACAGTAGGGAAGAATTAATATAGATAGTTAAGTCCAATGGCTTTGGGGTCTTTCACAAGGACCCAGTGGCAAACCCAGTGTGGATGTTTTCATCTTAGAGACCATCGGATGCTTCAGTCGTGTTCACCACCAAAGGTTGGCACACGTCAACATGGGGGTTTTCCAAACCCCAAAATGGATGGATTATAGTGGAACATCCCATGAAGATGGGTGATTTAGGGGTTCCCCATTTCAGGAACCTCCACATGGTTGCTGGCGAAACGATCTGGAAAATTTGATGTGTTTTGTTATTGTGAAAAACCAATGCAGGTCTCGCGAAACGACCATCAACCAGATTGTAAATTACAAGGTGCCAAGTGCCGATTTATTGTACAGATAACCAATTCATATCTTCAATCGTATCGAAAACGAAAGATGTTCTCCATCTTCCGCATTCCAAATCCACAGAAAAATTAAAAAATGTCCAAGGCGAGGCCCCGTTATAACTATCACTGGGTTTTTAAAACCCCATTAGTTCGTCATATCGTCATATCCCTCACAAAGCCAGTAACGGCCATGGCCTTACCATCGGCCAACGGGTCCGCTGAAGGAACACCGGCTTTCAACGAGACATGGATCGGATGGAACGGACCGTGGCCTTCTGTGCCCCGAGTGACAGAACCCAAGTGGGGAAAATGAACTACTTCTTGGGGGGATCATTGTGGGAAAATTGGGGTATAACTGGTATAACTCTGAATATTTTGACTTTGAACATATTGAACATAGTTCCAACTTATCTGAATCATAACCACATTTTTTTGGGGAGGTAAATTGGTCATGTTACCTATCCATTTACCTAATGTTTTCTCCAAACGTATCTGAGGTGTTGGGAGCAGCCCTTTGTTTCAGTTCCCAGAAATGGTCCTTCTTTGGTGGAAGTGGAAAACACTCGACACGGAGAAATGGATGAGCTTTATTGACATTCAGGGGGTCAAACATGGAAAAAAAACATGGTTTTGTCTTAAGAAATGGAGGAATTAAGCAGAGTAAAACGGGCAAATGAAACACCAGAATAGAGGCATTGAGCAAACATATATGCAAACATCATTTCCGGAGATACTTGGGTATGAATCAAAATTTAACATCCGTCGGGAAGCATATATGATTCATACATTAAACATGTGTATATATATATATATTTATATTTATATGTACTGTATATCTTTAAGAAAATAGATAGGTCATTTGCCAGTCAGGAGATGCATCTAAACAATGGGTCAAAATATATGGTTTGGGGTGCGGATTTCCTCTTTTTCAGTATGAACATTAACATTATTAGGGGTAATAAATGTACAAATTAATGTTAACATTAACATCCGTCCCATGTTAGGGGTACGTAATTTTCCTTGACCTATGTTTCGGACACACTACCAAAATCTCAAGATGATGGTATGATATCATATGATATCATGTTGTTTGTCGTGTTTTGAGCTGAGATCCAGAGTACAAGTTGTAACAATAGCAAAAAACAGACGGCACGACTCTAAAGTGCCACCATGTCAAGATTCTCATAAGAACTTTTAACAGGGTGTTTTACCCTGTGCAACTCCGGCAATCCATTGGTCTTCACATCACTTTGTGTCTTCCGGCGTTGATGTCAAGACAGTCCAGATATGTCCAGATCCCATTTGGTGTGACACCAAACCGGCGGTCGCTTGACATCCAAACTTGGGTGAGATAGACCAGGTGCCACTTGGAAGGCCAAGACAAGAGTGTGTTCGGCGGCGAAGCAAAATGACAAAGACCACTCACAGACACCGGAGTTTTGTTTGCAACGCCGGAAGAGGAAGATGTATGAAGATGTCGTGCATTGTCTTCATGTTCAGCTACAAGTTGAGGTTTAGGGATCTTCCCCTTTTCACAAAGCTAGTTCCATGGCTTAATCTTCAGTCAAAGGAATATGATGGAATATGTAATACCCCCGGCGAAACGTGAATCGTTTCAGTTCAGCTATTTTGATAGAGGAGTATGTCATTGGATCCCATGTTCACCCAATCCCAACAGTAGTCTGCGTGGTTTGCAAATTAGCATTCCCAATAAGATCCGATATTTGGGAAATTGCAAATTATTCAACTTCCCAACTTCCCAGCTCATGTCGGTCCACAAAATTCCAGAAATCTGCGGTATCACCTGTTGTGGTCGCATACGTTTAGCAAACGTAAAAATCGTCCTAAGTGGATAGATAATGGCTAATTGTAGTTATACTAACTAGTTAAGTGGATAACTGCAGAACTATAGTTAACTATAGGTATAGGGGTTGATAGCCATGGTTCATGGTGCAATAAAAGATAGTAAAAGTAACCTCAACTGCAGCCCTTTGGCCGGTCGTTTCGCGGCCACAAGCGGATTGAGGTGCTGCTGCCTCGGGTTTTGCAGCCCTTGCGTTTGCACAGCTCCACATAGTGGCAGGCTTTTCGACTTGCCCATGTCGAGCTACATCCCCTAAAGTTTCAACATGGAACCAGCAAAACAGGGGGGTTGGAAACGGTTGGAAGAGCAATTTCCTAGTGGATACAACAACAAAATACAAAAACATACCCTCTGGTAAACGTTAACAAAAAACTATGGAAAGATCCACCATTTTCTAGCTGGGAAAATCCACGAACTAAATCACCATTTTCTAGCTGGGAAAATCCACTATCAATGGCTATTTTCAATGGGAAAATCCACTATGAATCACCATTTTCAATTGGTAAATCCACTATAAATCACCATTTTCTAGCTGGGAAAATCCACTATCAATGGCTATTTTCAATGGGAAAATCCACTATAAATCACCATTTTCAATGGGTAAATCCACTATAAATCACAATTTTTAATGGGAAAATCCACTATCAATGGCTATTTTCAATGGGAAAATCCACTATAAATCACCATTTTCAATGGGTAAATCCACTATAAATCACAATTTTTAATGGGAAAATCCACTATCAATGGCTATTTTCAATGGGAAAATCCACTATAAATCACCATTTTCAATGGGTAAATCCACTATCAAATTTTCAATGGGAAAATCCACTATCAATGGCTATTTTCAATGGGAAAATCCACTATAAATCACCATTTTCAATGGGTAAATCCACTATAAATCACAATTTTTAATGGGAAAATCCACTATCAATGGCTATTTTCAATGGGAAAATCCACTATAAATCACCATTTTCAATGGGTAAATCCACTATAAATCACAATTTTTAATGGGAAAATCCACTATCAATGGCTATTTTCAATGGGAAAATCCACTATAAATCACCATTTTCAATGGGTAAATCCACTATAAATCACAATTTTTAATGGGAAAATCCACTATCTATTTTCAATGGGAAAATCCACTATAAATCACCATTTTCAATGGGTAAATCCACTATAAATCACAATTTTTAATGGGAAAATCCACTATGAAAGCCGGCCTGGTAAACATACAAAAAGCTATTGAAAAACAGCCATTGAAATAGTGGATTTACCCATTGAAAATGATGATTTATAGTGGATTTTCCCATTGAAAATAGCCATTGATAGTGGATTTTCCCATTAAAAATTGTGATTTATAGTGGATTTACCCATTGAAAATGGTGATTTATAGTGGATTTTCCCATTGAAAATAGCCATTGAAATAGTGGATTTTCCCATTAAAAATTGTGATTTATAGTGGATTTACCCATTGAAAATTGTGATTTATAGTGGATTTTCCCATTGAAAATAGCCATTGAAATAGTGGATTTTCCCATTAAAAATTGTGATTTATAGTGGATTTACCCATTGAAAATGGTGATTTATAGTGGATTTTCCCATTGAAAATAGCCATTGATAGTGGATTTTTCCCATTAAAATTGTGATTTTAGTGGATTTACCCTGGAGACATGGTGTTTAAGTGGGATTTTCGCCATTGAAAATAGCCCTTGAATGTGGATTTACCCATTGAAAATTGTGATTTATAGTGGATTTTCCCATTGAAAATAGCCATTGATAGTGGATTTTCCCATTAAAAATTGTGATTTATAGTGGATTTAGTGGATTTTCCCATTAAAAATTGTGATTTATAGTGGATTTACCCATTGAAAATGGTGATTTATAGTGGATTTTCCCATTGAAAATAGCCATTGATAGTGGATTTTCCCATTAAAAATTGTGGATAGTGGATTTTCCCATTAAAAATTGTGATTTATAGTGGATTTACCCATTGAAAATGGTGATTTATAGTGGATTTTCCCATTGAAAATAGCCATTGATAGTGGATTTTCCCATTAAAAATTGTGATTTATAGTGGATTTACCCATTGAAAATGGTGATTTATAGTGGATTTTCCCATTGAAAATAGCCATTGATAGTGGATTTTCCCATTAAAAATTGTGATTTATAGTGGATTTACCCATTGAAAATGGTGATTTATAGTGGATTTTCCCATTGAAAATAGCCATTGATAGTGGATTTTCCCATTAAAAATTGTGATTTATAGTGGATTTACCCATTGAAAATGGTGATTTATAGTGGATTTTCCCATTGAAAATAGCCATTGATAGTGGATTTTCCCATTAAAAATTGTGATTTATAGTGGATTTACCCATTGAAAATGGTGATTTATAGTGGATTTTCCCATTGAAAATAGCCATTGATAGTGGATTTTCCCATTAAAATGTGATTTATAGTGGATTTACCCATTGAAAATGGTGATTTATAGTGGATTTTCCCATTGAAAATAGCCATTGATAGTGGATTTTCCCATTAAAAATTGTGATTTATAGTGGATTTACCCATTGAAAATGGTGATTTATAGTGGATTTTCCCATTGAAAATAGCCATTGATAGTGGATTTTCCCATTAAAAATTGTGATTTATAGTGGATTTACCCATTGAAAATGGTGATTTATAGTGGATTTTCCCATTGAAAATAGCCATTGATAGTGGATTTTCCCAGCTAGAAAATGGTGATTTATAGTGGATTTACCAATTGAAAATGGTGATTCATAGTGGATTTTCCCATTGAAAATAGCCATTGATAGTGGATTTTCCCAGCTAGAAAATGGTGATTTAGTTCGTGGATTTTCCCAGCTAGAAAATGGTGGATCTTTCCATAGTTTTTTGTTAACGTTTACCAGAGGGTAACATCCCTGTTTCCACTCTGCCCCATGGAAACATCGGAAATCCACGCAGAAAAAGACACGACTTGGATGACACGATATAAAGGTTTCCTTAAACTAGGGGTATCCCCAGTCATCATCATAGACGGATTTTCCATGAAATAAACCATCCAGTTATAGGGGTACCCCCAAATCATCCCACTTTTCTTTGGGATTTTCCATTATAAATTATAAATCATCCAGCAATTGGGGTACCCCCATGACTATGGAAACCCCCCGATGTCGACAGGTTTGGAACTGGCCATCGACAGTTTTTCGGTGAAGTTCTTTCAGCAGATGGATATGGCAATCGACGCTGTGCTCGTCAGGAGATGTAGCCCCCCCCTTTAGCTGATTTAGAAACCCATGAAGAACCATAGGATTGAATGGGATTTAATGGTTGGTTTAATGGGATTTAATGGGATTTGAAAGTCCCCCAGTAATGTTTGTTGGTTTATAAACCCCATGAATATCATAGTTACAAGTTACAAGATGTTATGCGCATCATGGGACATAGTGAAATTGGAGCAACGTTCACGAACTTTTCTATATATCGTAAAGGGTGGCCCCACAAGTGTATATCAAAGATATCAAAGTGTATCTATATATATATACTTATAAAATCATGAATTTAATCATGTTGAAATTGTAGATATAAGTATTGGGTATAAGTAGTAGATAAATGTGAATTATAAATAGGTATATATGTTATGATTCTATAGACAAATACATACAGTATGTTACATTTACATTTCAGTACTTGTACATTACATTAACAGTACATGACATACAATATTTATATATATACGTATCGAATGTGAGAGATACAGTGTCTCTTATCACCGTCTTGTAATCGCTGAGGCCATCCAGGATTGGAATGTGGTGCAAGCCACGTTACGCCAAGTTTCCATGAAGCTCAGTGTGCCTTGGATCTCAGCAAAAGGAATGATTTTTCGGGACCTGTAATCCAGCAAAACCCGGCGATAAATCCAGCAAAATCCTATCATTTCCTGGATCTGCTGATGATGTTCTGATTTGAGTGGGAAATCCACGAACCGGGAATCTTTGGGGAAGATGTTTCTGATGTTCTTTGGTTCCGCAAATCCACGTCCAGGATCCAAAACTGATGATACCCCATGGGGTTTTCCAAATAGCCATCGCATAGGGAAAGTGATGATCAACAATTGAAATTGTTGGGTAGACTATGTTGAAACCCCTGTAGATGGATGCAGGGCAGTGGACAAGTTGGGTGAGTGTTTGTAGATTCCCGGTTCGTGGTTTCTTCGATTTTTTGGGACTGGGACACGACTGTAATAGCCAACTGACTGTAATATTGGGTGTTTTTTTTCAATCCAACAAGATTTCATTTTTGTGGGTGTGTGAAGCAGTCTCTCCGTTGAAGACGCAGTTCCAATAGCTACAGGGGATACGCCTCCGACTACCAATTTATAAGCCCCAAACAGGGTGTTTCAATTTTTTCCTATCCCTATTTGGAGGTCTCCACTTTCCGGGTGCCCCTAAGAGTTAAACCAGTGGATCCCTCCCTGCGCGGAACCCAGACATCTTTGCTCCTGCTTGGCTCTTCCTGCAGCGTGTCTTTGCTGCTCTTACTGGAAGTGGCATTTTTGCGCACCGAACACGAACGCGGGCAGCTGTCAAACGTCGCTCGGCAGGTGACCTGTTGTGTGCCACAACTATTTCTTGTTGCCTCACTATCTATCCATAGTTGAGTATGATGGAAAAAATCGACAAGAACAGGTAATTACTATATATACTTATATAATTATGTGTATATATATATATATATTTATTTACAGATTATATATATATATATACATAATATATATATATAGCTTTGTGAGTGTGTGTCTTTTGAGGCAGTTTATGGAATGAAAAAACATGATAAACATGGTGGCTCTTGGGCGCTTTGGTTCGTTTTCCTGACGCATGGCCTCTTGAGAGTATGGATCGATGGCCTATGTTTGTCTCAGGGTGAACAAAAAAACACTGGTTTAGATGGGCAAACATAGATGTTTATGGGCAAAAATAGATGTTTATTGAAGATGTTTACACTCTGGTAAGCTAAGAGTTCGCTATTGAACATTGCCATAGAAATAGTTGATTTTCCCAGCTATAACATGGTGATTTCCATAGTTTTTTGGTCATGTTTACCAGAGGTATACCCTGGGTCATCATTATATGATGATAGGTTTGGATGCCTATAAAGAAGGTAGAAAATGACACAGTTTATAGGTGTGAGGCCTGTCCCACTGGTTTAAGGGCCTGTCATGATTCCCTCTGGTACCTATCACATGGGAACCCGGCGATTTCCCCATTTTTGTTTTGGTGCTTCACAGGTGATGTTGATGGAGAATTACTGCAAAGCTCAGATAAATGTTGTCCCCCGGGATGTTAAATTGGTGACGTGCCAGTTTTTTTTTGCAGATGACATCATTCATTCAAAATTAACATCCAATTGATCTGCATTTGTATGTATTCATCCGGACATGATAATCGCTTATGGCTAGATGTAATTATATAAACAGATTCTCATCTACATGGGTTTGTCGGAAAATGTATAATCATAGTATCCCCATTAAAGTTGTTATATCATATATCCTATACCTATGAAATATATTGAAATCTTATTGTATCCCTATCAAAGTGGCGACTAATGCCTATGAAATCCTATGAAATCCTATGAAATATATTATACATCCCTATTATATCGTCATCTAAATCATATATCAAAAATTATCAATACCTAATTGTCCTTTTGAACATCTCCCAGATGCCTCGGATGTTCTTGGCATCCAGGTGCAGTTGGTGATGCTTATTGCCTGGCTTGCGACTTGGAGCTGTGAAACTTGTTGGAGAAACTGAAGTTGGAGAACTACAGTTATGGCAATGTATTAGTTATAACTGATTATACATGGCATTAGTTATATTTTTTTTTCAGTACTGATTTTTGACTGCGATTTCGGGCCATGTTTTTTACTTTTGGATGTTGCCAACCAATTGATGACCCACTTTGGATGTCCCAAAACCAGTTGGGGATTTGCGCCAAAACGATCCCTTTGTTTTGCTGGTGATTTTTGGGCGTTCCAAAAGGCGATTTTCCAAGTTTCTCAATGGACAATTGGTAATCATGTTGTTATGTATTCAATTTCCAATGATATTATTGGTAATCAATAATCCAATGATTTGTTATATATTGGTAATTTGTTATGTATTCACGATTTCTTTATTTGTCAATCATTGGATTTGTCAAGTGTATATATATGACTATGGGCCAATACCTATAGATATATTTTAGTGGGATGAACATCCATTTACCAGCTATTTTGGGGTTCACTAGGTACCAGGGTTTTGACTCATCCCCATATATGGTGAAATTCATACCTTCTCATGACGTTCCTGGAAATGATTTTGGGGCTTTCTTGACATACAAACCTCATCCTGGAGTAGATTTAAAAACAACATGCACATATGTCGATGTCCAAGTTGAGAAAACCATATTGGCACCCATCTTCCAAACCGGTGTTTGTAGGGTTCTATGCAAACGATTTTAGGGAGCTCGGGCAAACAAACCCCATGTATAGCGGTGTTTGTCTAGGTGGCCATGTGAATTTTCACGAACGGGTATCGGTATATTCCACTGGCTACATCGAGGGTCATTCCACTTCGTAAGTGGTTAGTAACTGGGGAACTTTGGTTGTTACCCATTTATACATGGGATACTCCACTTGGGGGAGGCTTACTAAGTGGGATGATCCTCCAAGTAATGACTTGTCCCTGAATGCATTTGAGGCAAAGTTTGCAGAAACACAAAACAACACACCCTGAATTTGCATGACCAAATGTCTGATTTATCTCTATGAAAATAAAGCAGTCTTGTTGATTGTCGTTGTTGCGAAGACCCGTGCTCCAATGGCTTAGTTGGACCACGAAGTTGTCCCTTCTCCAATGGCTCCATGAGTTTTCCCATAGAAAAACCCACTAATTTCCATCATTTTCCATCATGTTCCTTCGTTTTTCCATAGTTTTCCCATGGAAAAAGCCGGTGCTTTCCCATGATTTCTGAGATTTCCCCAGGCCCCTCCGTTGCTGTTGTTCCTGTACGTCCTGATGCGCTGCGCATCTGTGACTGAGAAGGCCTCGCGCGTGACTCCCCTGGTGAACTCATGGCAGTTTGACCGACGGTCCCTTGGAAAAGGCTGGATGGTTTAGTTCATGACCCATCAATGGATTATAATAGTGGTTAATAGTGGTTAATAGTGGTTAATTGTGGTTAATAGTGGTTAATGGTGGTTAATGGTGGTTGATAATGGCTAATAATAATGGTTAATAATGGCTAATTATAATGGTTAATAGTGGTTAATTGTGGTTAATAATGGTGGTTAATGGTGGGTGATGTATTGATATTTCATCTGGGTAACATGGAGGTACGTAAACGTACCATCTGTTTGGCTATATTGGGGATTTTCCCTGAAATTTCGGCCTTATATGGATGACTGGTTAGTTCACGACCTCACTGACCAAGCCCTGGAATGATGGTTTATTTCAGGCGAATCATCCCAAATGATCCAAGATTTCAGGTTAGTGAACTATTATAATTTACCCAATTGGTGTATAACCATATATATGGGAACATAAATGGATTATTTTTGGTACATATATGATCATATATGTATATCTGGTTGGTGGTTTGGAACATGAATGGACATGAATGGATTATTTTCCATATATTGGGAATTTCATAATCCCAACTGACGAAGTCATATTTTTCAGAGGGGTAAGTCAACCACCAACCAGATGATGATTTAGGATTAATGTGGCTAAAACAATAATAAACACTCATGAACCATTCCCAAATTCACCATAAATTGGTGATCAAAAACATCAAACATGGGATGGTTTATTATTATTTTAACCAGATTATTTAGGGGTAGCCCTAGGTGTCTGTAGAACTAAAGTACAGTATATTGAATCTGGGAACCAACCTCTTAATCGCGACCTCACTGGAATCATGGTTAGGATTTGGGGGGTATCTCAATATTGGTCTTATTTCAGGGTAGTGAAATATCACAATTTGCCCAGATAGACGGATTTGTCTGAAAATACGGTTGCCAAAATATACGGTGGATGTTTGATCATGTTCCCTATTTCATATCCATTACATCATTTTCATCCAGATGTGGAAAACCCTCCATCTGTAGATCATTTTCCGAACGCGTTTTCCCATGGTTTTTACACATCTATGTAAACACTTACCCCTACTTGTAGCCTGTGGTTATTCAAGAGTTTGCAAACTGGAAGCCATAGCCCATGGAAATAGACGATAAACATGACGACTTACCTATTGAGGACGTTAATTTTCCACTTATCTGCATAAATTATAGTGACCTTATAGGATTGCGGGGAACCGTCCCCGGCGATGGCCGTATGATAACCGCTAGTTTCGGATGTCGCGAATTCGCGAAAATATTTCAGCCAGACTCATGCCCAGAATATCGGGGTTGAAACAGCAAGCAACATGGTAGGATGTAGAGGAACAAACATGGGATACGATACCATGGCACTTTTCATCACACACAATCGATATTTTTCATGGGGATGATATCCAGTATGAATATATGGCATAGGTATATATGTATATATATATAATTATATATATATATAATTATATAATTATAATACATAAACCCTATGGATCCAAGTACCTTCTTAGGAAGTGTTTGGGGTATAATTTCCTATCATTTGGAGGGTTAGCCGTACCTTCTCAGACAGTGTTAGTGTTTATGGATCCATAGGGAATTATAATACATAATAATACGTAATAATATCATATTAATATCATATGTAAATCCCAAAAAAAACGACTGGAACTGTGGAGATGAGGAAGTCGGTCATCAGTCCGGGTGTCAACTGGATGGATTCTGGGCGTCAGTGCTCCGGGATCCTGGGGGGCGGGGCCGTGGGGCCGGTCGGCAACGGTCGGAAACTCCAAGTGAAAACGATGGGTTTATGCATGAACCATAGAACATATCATTGGAGTTATATTCACCAATCAATCCCATGAAATCCTATGAAAATCCAATGAAATCCCCATGTTTGTTGGCTACCATCTGGTTATGACTAACATAGCCATGGTATAGATGGCCCTAATCGAAATAGATGGTGTACCTATTAATAGCATGGTGATGTTCCATGGCAAACTGTTAAATAACCTGATGCTACTTCTATAGTTATTTTGGGGGTTGACATTTTTTGCAACTAAAAAAGAACTGGGGCAGAATGTATAAATGGAAGTTTCAATGAGAAAATGATCTATGTAATCTATGTATAAATGGAAGATTTTCCAGCAAACCATCGTTGTTTCCCTTTGAACAGTCCATAGATCTGGGTAAATTATAACGACCTCACTGATCTCACTGGAATGGTTCATAAGAGGAATCATCCCAAATGACCCAACATTTCAGGTGAGTGAACTACTATAATTTACCCAATTGGTGTATAACATTGTATAACCATGTCCAAACAAACCCAACAATTTTGCGAAAAATCACCACTTCGGCTTGCACCTCAGTTTTGCAGCTCAATCTCAACCTAGGATTTTTCATTAAAGCCTTGGTTTATTGATAAGGGGACCAACATTTTTTATGGGAGTTTATCATTCTCTTGGGGATGCCCCTAATGATGCCCCCCGACTACCCTGCTGTAATTACAGATTCGAACAGTTGTTTTTAAATACAGTAATGCCCATTTATTGGTTCTATGATGTACCCATTAAACATGCTGGATTTTCCGTAGCTATGTGGGTATAACTTGATTCATTTTCACCTAATGAACTAGTTCGATATATCTACTACAATATTGGGGCCTCCCACTTCTAAGTTGGTTAACAAATCCGATTAAATGATTTACTTTACCACAGTTATAAGATGTTACAAGTTATAAGTATCATAAACCATAGTTCTTGGAGTTGTAAAGCAACTTAGCCATCTGTCGTGAACTTCATTCCTTCAACTGCCAGACAGGTACATGGTCCAATACATCAGACAAAGTGAAGCAGGTTTCTACCTGCAAGGCTGGGGCTGACCTTGGTGTGGCCTTGGCGCCCTGCCCGGGGTCAACGTTTACAAAACGATTCGGAAAACCCGTGGGGTTTCCCGCATCAAATGATGTACAAATGGAGGTTTTTCACATCGAACTGTTAGTTTACAGGAGGTTAATTGGATCATGCTACATTGTGGTGGATTGATTGGGGACAATAACGCTCAGTGAGTTTGACATGGAAGCTTACCATGGCCATATCCAATATACTAAAATTACCTCTGGGACCGCAGTTGTCAGATTCCATATTAAATGTACCCTCTGGTTATTTAACATAGCCATGGAAAATCATCAGTCTTAATAGGTAAACCATCCATTTCGATCAGGGCCATCGAAAAACCATGGCTATGTTAAGGTACCAGAGGGTAGCGGAAGCAGATTACATCCAGATGAGTCGAACAGAGAGGAGTCGTTGACAGATCTGGGTGTCCCTTTTTGTAGATCTGGGCCGACTGTTGGCCCCCAAAAAACCTGGGCAAACCATGAAAAAACGTTGACTCAAATCAGCCAATGATTGGATTGCTATACTGGCTGGTGGTTTGGAACAGGTTTTTCCATATATTGGGAATAGTAATCCCAACTGACTTTCATATTTTTCAGAGAGGTAGGTCAACCACCAACCAGTATATGATGATGTTGTATTGTTCTCAACTTCACAGATGAATTGAGATGTTTGTTTCTCCCTGGTGGTCTGATGAAACATGAAACAAACCAAACAATGGAATGTGACTGGGGCCCGGAATGCGGGGAAAACTTTAACATCAGGAACATGGTGGGGCCCATCACTGTTTTTCTATCCTTTGTTTGATCCCTTTGTTGTTTCTGGGGATTTTTGTTTCTGTCACTCTAAAAGAAATATGACGGTTAGGAAGGGGAGAATAAAACGATCTACTAAAACGATCTACTAATGTCAAACATGACATGTCATTGGCGAAAGATATCCTTCTCGGAAAAAAGGTTCCGTTATGTGTGTGTGTGTGTATGTGCGTCATTGTTCGAGTCAAGTCTTTGATATTTCAAACAAAAAACAAACAAACGCGCATACCTAGGTCAACTGGGTAAGTGTTCAAACAGTTGACCTAGTTATAAACCAACTTACCAATATTAGATAATTTTGCAGCGTTTGTTTTTCTAAAGAAAGGTACGTGATTGTTTATAACTAGGCTAACTAGGGTTGGTATTTCGGTGGAGGTATCCGCAGTTGGGTTTCCCTAGGACATGACCTATGTGGTAAATCCACTATCTACTTGAGTAAATCCACTATTTATTAATAAATACCAAGAGTGGATCGGGCTCCCATAGTTTTGAAAAACCATGGTGCTGTTGTAAAACCAGGCTTGGAAAAACACCAGTTCCGTACAGACGGGATGATCCTTCAAGTAGCAACTGGATGGAGAGTGGAAAATCATGGGAAAATCCTGTTGTTTGCGAAAAAATGGAAAATAACCAGCCATAGAAAACATGAGGAAAAGATGTAGGAAAAAACATATGGAGGATTAAACAGAAAGTAATGGAAAATCATGCGCCATTTTCATGCGAAACACATGGAAAATCACCAGCCAGAAAAAGATTACCTATTTTTGTGTGGACGAAAGATTGACTTTTTGTGTATTCATATCATCTCCCCAATTCCAAACCATTCTAAAACATCTCTATTTTTTAACCTATGATTTATCCACTATGGTATGAAATAAGCACCTTCCACTATGGGCAACAAATTTTGGTCCCTCAGATATTCTCTGCCAGGAAAGCGACTCTACATGTTTCAGGTCACCAAGCTTTGCTACTATCTGGTGGCTTTCTCCATGGACACCCGGCTCACTGGTAGACCAATGGTAGACCAATGGTAGACCAATGGTAGATCCACCATCTCCACTGACCGATTTCTTTTGAGGTGCTATTTTTATGAAGCATGAATATTTATATGGGTTTTTGACATTTGCTTTACTAACATGGGCCAGCGAAATCCGAATCATCACTTGAAAACGGTGGTAAACATATGTAAACATCCCATGATTTATAGGCGTTCATCCCATTATTTTAATAGGATTATCCCATGTTTATCCATGTTTATCCCATGATTTTTGATGGCTTTCATCCCTGGTGGTAAACATCGGATTTCGCTCTTCCATTTATCCATGGGATGACGGAACATCATTCAGTGGGGCGGCGCTAGAAAATGGCGATTGCTTGGTGAGTTTATAACATTTTATAACATATTTATATATAGTTATATACACTATGGTTATGATACGTTATGATATACTATGATACTTATAACTACATATAGTACTCGTATTCTAATGGGGTTTGTACACCAACAAATATAACCTTTGCCCCAGATTGTGGAAAAATCATTGGAGATATGACAATGAGAGGATGTGATAAGGTACATCCTCATGTTGGACATGAATCATGCGGACATTGCTATTCAACCTGTTCTCTATAGTCAATGGGAATTCCAGGATCCTAAAATGGAGGTACGTTAGTACCATATTTAATATTTTTGGCCATATGTTGTGGGGATATTCCCTTACATAGGCCTTATATATGGTAGGTACCTCCAATTTAGGTTCCTGAAATGGCCATTGATATAGTGCATAATTGAGATTGGGAAGCATCCAGAAACGTATCCGGTCTGGTGATATCAGCGATGTAGATGCCCATGGTGACAGGTAAGCCACGAGACCACAGGAATGCAGGGGCTGCATGTTGGTTTGTATTGTGATTGGCTTTGCGATGGAAATTTATAATTTGTACATGTGTTCTATATCGTTTACTTATTGCGTGTATATAGCTATGTATATATTATATATGTAATGATATACATATGATGTACGCGTACACAATTTACTGTTTGTGCATATACATACAATGCATACACATGATGAGCATGATTGTTCATGGATGCACATACATACATGTAGTGTGCATCTATACATGTAAACATGGCTGCCTATACATACTTGGCTTCACTTCTACTGGAAATAATGAATGTGTATATAATCTACTTTGATCCATTTGTGCCTACGGACACATATCCTCTGCGTTACGTGGGTCCAAATCATGCCATGTTCGAGGCTATGCTTTCTCGCCTGGGCTGACGCACAAGCACCTCTTGAGAGAGAAAACTGTTCACTTGCTGAATCGTTAATGAATCGGTGTGGGTCATAAATTGGGACCAAAAAATGTGGATAGTACCCTATTCATGGCCATTTTGTTGGATAAAATAGGTTTTCCATGAGGCTTCACTAGTTTTTCTTTAACAAATGGATCCCAGAGAACCGTAGGAAACATGTCCAGCAAGTGTGATGATGATTTTCTGCGATGAAATTGTGACCCAGACCCATCAGGAATGCTTTATAAGGGGTGCCCCTCTTTTTGCGAAGTGTTGCATATTCCACAGAAAAGCAGCAACTGTGCATCATTGCAGTTGACGTCCACCCCCCATGGCCCCTGGATGTTTCGATTTTTAAGAAAGTATGGTAGCTCCACAGTAGGTTTGTCAAATGAACTTCGCAGGGGGACTGGGTCCCCCATGTAGTGATTCCACCAACGAAAGATGTGGTCCGGAGCTGCGGCCACGGAAGATCTCGGCCTAGTTGCTGTGTGACGATTTTTCGGAGTCAATGAGGTTAATCGACCATCATCACCTCTGGGATTGTCGGGTAAGCTATCGAAACGTGGTCATAGGTGGAACGGATATATCCGAAGAAGGGTTGTTCTAGCATAGCCGAGGGTAGCGATAATGCAAAGAATTGGATGAGCTCACATATCTTTGAGATCTTTGAGCGGTGATGGGTCTACAACCAGAAAAATGCTTGCAATGCCAGTTTCAGCCGATTGATTTGTTTTCCGCCTGGAAACAACAACAGTTTCTTCACTATTTCGATTGAATGATTTGGCTTTGGCTTTAACGAAGGAGGCGCACGATTCGTGGCCGGCTATTTCAGGATCCGTTTTCGTGAATCGACGTATCTTCGAAACCCACAGCAATCAGGTTTCTGTGCCTCAAACTGATGGGGCCATGTGTCTCTCTCATTCTCTGGCTCCTTGACATTCGGAGCAGTGACTTTTCCCAGCAGCCGGATTCAGCGTCCGAAGCCGGACTTGGTAGATTTGCGCCCTGAAGCACTGGTCAGATGTACAGGGATATACATTACATAAACAATGTGGAGGTTTTAAGCGTCAAGAAATGGAAATGTAACCATCAACAAATGGGATAGAATATGAATGGGTATCTAAGCAATGATCATCTGGTCGGTGGTTTCACTAAAATATTTTTTGTTTTCAAACATGTTCAACATGTTTCAAGCATATCTATTTTGGGAATGATGATCATAATGATGAGCATACTTATTTTGGGGAAGTTGACACCAGCAACGATTAATGATTCATATTTACATGATATACATATACATGTGGGGGTTTCCATACATGGGGATATCCCAATGGCTGGATGGGTTTATTTCATGGAAAATCCAATCTATTCATGGGTGATAACTAGGGGTACCCTTATGACTCAGGAAACCTCCAATATACCGGTATATTTACCTGCATTTGGATATGCCGATGCTTCCGTTCCGGCCGTGTTGGGCCAGCATCAGCGTCATTTTGACGTGAGTTGACGTGAGCTATTCCCATATTAGTTTGGCCGTTATATCGATACGTGTGTAGATGTATCATCAGATAAAATAATTTAATACAATGTGATATAATTCAATATAACATAATATAATATAATATTACATAATATAATATAATATACATCAAACAGATTAGATATGTATGTATATATATATATATATATGTACAAACTATCTATGTATCATTATGTATCTATCTATCCCTACCTATCTAGTTTCATTACTTATATGTTAGTTCGAGGGCAGATGCAGGTTTGCCATAGCAGCTCCTGCTCGCAGCTGCCGCTGAAAGTGTGCAGTACGATTGGACCTGATTCGTGAGCTTTGACTGTTTTGAAGCGGAAAAGATCGTCAAACTCCGTGGATTATGATCTCGTAACAGTACTATATATTATAGTAAAAAAAAATACTAAATATTAAATATAGTAATATATATATATCATATATATATAACAATGATAGTAACATATGAATAGTAAACATCACTATTAGATTCGAAGACGACTTGTGATGTCGCCTTTTTTGTCGTCGGAGTCCGAATCCCATCAGCATCCCCGGCTTGGATCTCCCGAAGGAATCGATCCGGGCTTCAACAAGGGGAGTGTCCCATGAAGGCTAAGAGAAACCGTGGGTAAATCCATGGTGAAACCGGTAGGTCATGGTGTTTCACCAATAATATTGAAATTTTGTTGGTGAACAAATCCAAGACTTGTCCCGGATGGGACGGTTTAATGATGTTTTGTTACAAGCAGAGGAAGATCAAATCCCAGCAAAAGTTGTGACTTCTGTAAATGAATACAAAGTGGGGCCCACTAGATAGCTAAGTTGGTCAATAACTCCAATAACTATGGTTTATGGTAGATATAACTAGTTAATGGGGTTTATAAACCAACAAACATCACTGGGGGGCACCACATTGTATCAGTTGGCCATGATAGCGCGGCACTAGAACTCAGGAGGGTCGTTCGTAGTTCCCCACATGGTTGAAGCCACACGTTTCCCCATGCCTCCGCACCGTCCTCTTCGCTGCAATGAGGCTTCACGTATTCTTTTTCAAAAGCTCTTATGACCCCACCTGGAATGGATCTACTGTATGTACATATTATATGTGTATATATTGTGTATATAGTATATATAAATATATATACATACATACAATGCATATAATACATATATATAATAATTATCATATACATACAATATAATACTATATTTATATATACATTAACTATAAATACAATATGTATATATATATATATGTATATATATTTATATATACATACATTATTATATATATACATATATATATTACTATATCCATATATATATATATACATTATGTGTATGTATATTTTTATATATACACATTATGTGTATATATATATATACACACATTTATATATTCAGGTAATGTAAAATATATCCAAATATGCAACATGTTCCAACCAAAGATCTCCATCCTCCCTTGCCCGCTGCAGGAAAGGAGCAAGGCAGGGTCCCGGGGGATACCCTTTGAGAATCTTCGAAAGTCACGTCTCGGGGATGATCATCCAACTGACGAAACAGGGGTAGCCACTGCTCAGACGGTGACCTCATGGAATATCCCAGGTCCATGCTGTGGGACCCGCCAGCTGTCGGCAGTTTTTGAAGGTCCAAAACCATGGTGCAACTCTGGGTTCGGACTGTAATAGAGTTCTGTCACACTGCCAGAGCCAAAGTTCCAAGGTTCTAGCAGCATTGTGTCATGTCATAGAATATGTCTCTATGTATGAATTGTGTACCAAAGACATGAATATTTCTTTATTTTACCTTATGAATGTGTATTTGTATGTATTTGTATATTTACATGTACATAGAATATGCATAGATATGCATCATATGTATGTTATGGATATGCAGAAATATAACTTCACCATTGCAGAGATTCGCCGGGAAAATCGCCGTCATGGCGGCACTGGAGCGGTGTAGGAGCGGGGTGCAGCTGATTTACCTGCAGAGAACTATCCATATACTATAATATATAATTATATATATAGATATATATATATATATACATACACAGAATATGATACCATAGCCGTAAATACCACATCATATGCAATATGTATATACCTCTATATATATATATGTTATGATGCGTCAATATACACTACGTTGCACTTACATTACATAACATTACAGTACATACACACCCACACACACCAAGTCTGCACATTGACATAGATTGGTCGTTGACGGAGCACCGGAAGTCCATGGAAGTCCTAGGGTAAATCCCGCCAGGAGACCGAATGAAGAGCTTGGGACCCCAGGGTGCAGTAGAGCTTTTCTGTGGGAACTCTTAGCTGATGGTCAGGGAATGACAACATTTTATGGCCCAGATGTGTGTTGTCTAGTTTGATTGCGGTTTCCCTAGCGGTTTGTTGTTTGTTTCATCATTTTCCATACCATACTCGGAGTTCCTGGTAGTTGTGTGGGTCAAAAGTGGATAGCTAGGATTGAATGGTTAATGATACATGTTCATATCATGACTATGGCCTCTATGGCAGTGTCTCACGGGTTTATCTCCTGTGAAATTTGTCGACTTGGATGATAGCTCAGATCCCATATTTTTGATGGTCGACCTGGTCAAGCTTTTGACGTGTCAAAGATGTTTTGCTGAGTAAAGCATTTCAAACCTCACTTGTTGTTTAGTACATGGTATTTGTCAGAATCATACGGCTCATGTGCAAATCAAGAATATAATCCAAGAACTGGATGCTTTTAGTGCGTCCCCTAGATAGCTAAGTTATGTTAAGTTGATTTATAACTCCAATTTCACTAAGGTTTGTGGTACGTATAACTATGGTGAATGGATGTTAATGGGGTTTACAAACCAAATTAGCCATTACTCCTATGGTGGCTCTTAAATCCCAGGAACTCCTATGGTTCGATGGGTGAAACTATATCCATATAGGATGTTTAACGTCCAAGTATAATTTACTATATCCTATGTTTGCTAACTCCAAGTTCACTTTGGTTTATCCCTATCCAGCGGTAGCTTCTGAAAGGACGTGGGACTGGAGTATAATTTACTATAATGTGGAGGGTTAGCCGTAGCTTCTCAGACAGTGGCCATGGATCCATAGGGATAGTATTCATGGGGTGAATCTAAACCAACTTAGCCATCCCTGTGGTGGGCGCCCAATTCACCACGCCCCTTGCGGCTCACAGCGAGCTCCGGGCGCGGGCGGCAGTTTCGGTGCAGCGGCTGCGCCCGTGACCCAAGGTGCTTTCTGTGGGGAACGTGGGCCTGGACCCTTCAAGTACCTAGAAACTGGAGTAATTAATACCATTATATATATATATACTCTGGTATATACATATATATAGATATATATATATATATGTATAGATATATATATATATATATTATAGTATAAATATTATATATAATATGGTAATAATTCATAATAATTCTACATTGTTTGTGGGAGACTTTTAATGACTCTTTAGCAATATACCCATGATATTTGGACGCTTAATGACTTTTTTATGAATTTTCATGGGTACTTGGAGGGTCTATGTACAACCCAAAATTATATCTTTAATTGGGAAAAACTATGAATGAATCATTGGATTCAGCAACCATTGGCCATTGCAAGCTGGTGGTTTGGAAGGTAGGGATCCCCCAGATCCAAAACCAACGGAGAAGAGGAGTGTCACCCATCAACCGTTGGTGAGTCATCGCGGCGCGTGGTTTCACTGGGAGGAGGAAACACCAAGGTGCTGAATACAGTTAGCTATTGAAAATGGAGTCGAAATAGTGGATTTACCCAGCTATAAAATGGTGATTTTCTATGGCTATGTTGAATTACCAGGCCGGGTTTTTTTACCAGTATGGCTCAAAACATGTCTGAACTCCTGACCCTATATCCCATGTATAGATTAATAGATGTTTTTTTTAATGGTATGTCATGCTAAAAACCATTGTTATCACCCAGCTAAAACACCGGTGTCAAACGGCCGGCCATGGCTGCGGACTTCCCCGGTCGTTCCCATGTCTTATGAAAGCCATGAAAATATCCAGCCAATTATTTTGAGATATCAATATGGGATTGATAGTTATACCCCATGTTTCATACTATCCTATGATCCCACGTGGAGGATATCAGCCATAACTCAAATATCTTTGGTGCATGATACTTATAGTGAATGGGGTGTATAGACCAACATTCACATCACTGGGGGGCCCCCACATTGTTTGATCCTAATAAGGATTTAAGTTCTGATATAAGCCGATGAATGTTGGCTAGACATCCCAATTTCCAGGGCGAAGCCGATTGCCTTCTTGTTGTTTGTGCAGGCAGAACCATGGCCGAGGATGACTACGAGCAGTTTTACAAGGCCGATTTGTTGAAGAAATCTCCACAAAGGAGAGACGCAATAAACACGGTGAAACCATCCGTCATCTTGGGTGAAAATGTGGCAAACCGTGTATTAACAAGCAATAACCAAGTGGTTTATAAGCGGTTTAGATGTGCATCCCAGATTGAATAAGAGTGTTTTGTGTATAGCCAAAATCACAACAATCTATTACCCACGGATCCTGGGACGTGGGAAGAGCTGGCTGGTGGTTTGGTGTTTTCCACGTCGCTTCCAAGGTGCGACGTTTTTGAAAAATGGGGAAATCCCAGCGTTTTTCATCGGAGATTCTTGGAGCCCCGTTGATGCAAATCCACGGACGGTCTACTTGCCTCAAAGATCTCGACGTCTACCCTCTAGTTATTTAACATAGCCATGGAAAATGGCCCATAGAAATAGATGATTTTCCCAGCTAGAAACCTCCATTTATTTACGGGATTTTCCATGGCTATGTTAAATAACCAGATGGTACTTGCCGTTTCTGAGTCGATGTGTTTTGCTCATTTTCACAATGGGAAATCCAGACAACTTAGGGCCATCCATAGAGAATATCTTAAGCAAATCCAAGACCGTGCGTGGCGAGATGGCTACGATTGCGTGCACCCTAGAATAGCAATCTTTGTCATTCTTTATACTTGTCATCATCCCCAAATCGATATACTTGTCATCATACAAAATCAATTCCTACTGTGGGGCGGCTACATATTATTATGCATATTAGACAGACATACAGACAGACAGACAGACAGACATGCTTACATACATGACATGACATGACATGACATGACATGACATGACATGACATGACATGACATGACATGACATGACATGACATGCATACATCCATGCAGGCAGGCAGACATACATACAATGTATATCAATGTATGAATTATATATGAAGATGACTTTCCAACTCGGGACTTGCTCCTCATTAGCTGTGAAGTGGATACTTGTGGCATGTTGTGGCATTGTTCTATCCCTTCATGCTCTCTGAAGTGTCAGAGTGCCCAATTTGCACATCGGTTACATGTCTATGACTCAAAGACTCCATCATTTAACTGGAGCGTTGGTTCAAGTAACAAGGATTCGTGAGGGACAAAATCATTAACACGTTAGGTCGCAATACCCCAATACTGTCAATACCCAAGATGTCACCACTAGGGCTGTTCACAGTCTACCAATCACATCAGGGATCCCAATGTCAAAAGTTATATGACAGCTCCAAGTCAACAGCACATGCTCGTCATCGCCTAGTTGTTTGCTAAGCCATATTTGTGTCTGACCACAATGTGGTGTTTGATCATTTTCCACTGCATCGTCATCCCAACCTGGTGATTCCCTGCCAACTCCGGGTGCAGGTGGTGCTTGTGGGTGACGCCACTGTGGGTAAGACCCACCTGCTCTCACGATATGTCAAGAGTAGACTGCCCAAGGCTCATCGGCTTCTTCCGCGGTGTTTTTTCCCTGGTGGATCGGTGTTTTCCCACAAGAAGATGGGATTTACAACGAGATATGGTGGTTTTTTCGTGAGGTGATACTCAAACTGAGAAAACCTATGGAGGAACTACCCGGCCTGGTAAACGTTAACAAAAAATATGCAAAATCACCATGCTATTAATGGGTTCAAGTATTTCGACTGGGCCATTTTCAGTAGCAAACTGTTAGTTCACCATAGCTATTGAACATGGCCATAGAAATAGTGGATTTACCATGATTTACCCACTAAAAATGGTGATTTTCTATAGCATTCTATAGTTCACCAGAGGGTAATGAATAATTTGGATCTTCACCAAATGAGGTGAAATCCACCAAGAAAAACCCGCCGGATTTCATGAGGGATGAAGCTGTGCAACGGAGCCGAGGGCTGCTGAATTCTGGTTTAATAATGTTTAATTCTGGTTTATGTCCCAGAAATGACTCAAAAAATGACTCAAAAATTCAAAAAATATGGTTTAATGTTTATTTAATAATGTTTAATTCTGGTTTATTTAGATGTCAACAAAAAATGACCTAACAATTCAAAAATCATCCCAGAATGCTGAATGGAATTTATAGATGTTTTTGATGTCATCCCAGAGTGGTTCCAAATTTGGAAAGGTCAAACAGATCTATCCCGGCCAAGTGACGAGCTCATAGCAACCTCACCCTAAATTATGGTATAAGTGGAATCATCGAATAAACATATATAATTGCTTGTAATAATTGCATAATTTTGAAATCGCTCTTTCATATTGCAAATCCATGTTCCCTTCAAATGGGAAATCCCTCTCCTGTGCTCGTGCCAAGTGTTTCATACTGTTGATTCTTTGAAGTACTTTGAAGTGCTTTGAGGTCCAAGGTGCAGTGTATGCTTCTATCGAGTGGTTTGGAAGGAGCTAAGGAGCTAGGTGTATCCGGTGTCCGTATAGCATGGGGAGCCAAGGAGCTACAATCAGAGTTTACCAAGCACATTATAATACTTCTATTTGTCAAATTGAGTTGGTTGATAAATATATTCAACAATATATTCATCAAAAGTCTAACAGTTATATATTTTACGTTTCGACAATTTTCCAAATGAGTTTGTTGATAAACTATATCCATTATTTAAAAGAAGTCATGAACTATTACCCTTCTGTAGACTAAACAGACAGTGGATGGAAGAATTCCTGCACCAGTTGAGAACTGTTGGTAACTATGAAACGCCTTCAAAAACCGGGATGAACATGTGATTTTGCCCATCTACCAACTGGTGCAGGGTTTCGCAACCATCCACAGTAGATTCGGAGAATCCACTATTTGATCCTATTTGTAATGTGTGTAAAACAATGCCATAAACCATCCCCCAGTCATCACCAACCACCATGGGTGGGACCATCATTAACCATTATCATTAGCCATTATCATTAACCATTATCATTAACCAGTATCATTGACCATTATCATTAACCATTATCATTAACCATTATCATTAACCATTCTTAACCATTATTATCCATTATTAATCACTTTAACCAGTATTCACCATTATATTACACCATGGTATGACCCAAACTGTTTTCACCACAGATCATGGCACCACCACAGGCGCCAACCGCCACAGTGGGAGTGGAGTTCGCCACACGTATCGTGAAGCGAGGGCCGATACGGAAGCGGGGGCTGATACATCTCGATCGGGGGCCTTGGAAACCTTGGAAACCATCAATAAACCGTCATTAATATATAGAGATGGCTTAATGGCAAATGATGGCAAATGATGGTAAATGATGGTAAATGATGGTAAATGATGGTAAATGATGGTTTAATGATGGTTTAATGATGGTTTAATGATGGTTTAATGATGGCAAAAGGCTTGGGAGGTACTGAACGAACTGGATGGATAGCTTAGTTTAATAAATGGGAATTATGAACATCCGCGATTTCTAACTGAATGCAGGCATCTATGGCGATTTCTAACTGTCGATAAAGCTACGAACATGTGATATGAACAACATATGCTGATGAAACTGGAAAATATGAATATATATATATATATATACGCATACATATATATATATATATATAATATAACACATAATATAATAATAATATATATAATATATATAATATATAATATATATAATATATATAATATATATAATATATATAATATATATAATATATATAATATATATAATATATATAATATATATAATATATTTAATATATATAATATATATATAATATATATAATATATATAATATATATAATATATATAATATAAATAATATATTTAATATATATAATATATATAATATATATAATATATATAATATATATATAATATATATAATATATTTAATATATATAATATATATATAATATATATAATATATAATATATATATAATATATATAATATATATAATATATATAATATATATAATATATAATATATAATATATATAATATATATAATATATATAATATATAATATATATAATATATTATATATATAATATATATAATATATAATATATAATATATATAATATATATAATATATATAATATATATATAATATATATATAATATATATAATATATATAATATATATAATATATATATAATATATATAATATATATAATATATATAATATATATATAATATATATAATATATATAATATATATATAATATATATAATATATAATATATATAATATATTATATATATAATATATAATATATAATATATAATATATATAATATATATAATATGTATAATATATATATATATATGTATAATATTATATATATACATATATATATAATATAATATAATATAATATAATATAATTTAATTATAATATAATATAATATAATATATATATATATATCATAATATATATATATATAATGTATGTATATATATATACCATGCACAAGCTTCAAAATTTATTGCTTCAAACATATCTGCCAACATTTATACTTCAAACACTGTAAATGCCACTAAAAACCGAAAAATGCTAGAATCCAGAGGGATCACCAGTGGTGCCCTCCGTGATCTCGGGACAGCGCTTCGAGAAACAACATGTACCGTTATGGCCCTTAACAGCTATAAATGGGTTTAGAAGGATATGATACCTGAATTATATGAATTATATTGAATTCTAATTCCATTTATAAGAGCCATGACTGCATCAACCATGTGTTCGGGAAGGGTGAAGAAAAGAAGCCAACTCTGAGATAGAGAAGTAACTCGAGAGAAGCAACTCTGAGATAGAGAAGCAACTCTAGAGAAGCCAACTCTGGGCCAGTGGTCATGGCATCTGTGGCGTTGCCAGGCTCAACAATGGAAAAAAAGTTAAAGCACAGACTCTTGGACGAAGTTATGGCACCACGTCACGTGGGTCACTGAGGCCGCACACGGCACTGGCGCCGGCGTCAAACAGCAACGTTTTGCCCCGAAAAGATTGAGATGATCGTAGATCATGGTAGATCGTCAGGGATTTACGTTTCGATCATTTTTGGAGATGACCATCCCCCAGACTTGCAATTTTGTTTGTGAACGTGCTGATCAACAAAAGGGATTTGGAGTATTCCTTCATCTTGAAGGGCAAAATCAAACAGACAAGGGTCCGGTAGATATTGCATATTTACATGTGTCTACTGTAGATCTTTGGTGAATCTGTCTATGTATATAGATATTTGATGAATCTTACGTGTACATCAGCATTTTTGGGTTTTTGAACATTTGAAAACTGAACAGACGACTGAACACCGATCGCAAGACGCTTCTGTGACACCAGGGATGGTCGACCCATGTCGATCCCTTTGGAGGTGAAAAATCCATGGCATGAAGGATGCTACGTATACCATTTCACTCGATGGGCGTTTTCGTTTGCTGAGTATATAGCATGTTTTTTTGATAGCATTGGGAATAGAATCTGACATGTGATTTGATGGTTGTCAGAAAATTGAAATTGTACTGTTTCAGCAAAATGGATCTAAGTCCAGGTCTGAATATGATTGAATTCAATGATTTCTTCTAAATCCATATATCGGTGTCTGAAAATGGTCATTGGAGTCATTGACACACCATTCTTGGAATATGCTCAAAAAATGGAGGTGTCTTGAAATAGGGCCCCCCAAATCATCCCAAATCATCCAGCGAGCTGGGGAGGTTCCCATGGAAACGGCCCCAGGATTTGGGACACGGCTGGCCAAGAGAGGCCGGAATTGAAACAATCGACCAACAACCGCTCGAGTGAATGGGATTTAATGGGAATTCATGAAAGTTAATGGGAGTTGATGGGATTTAATATGATTTAATGGACTTAATGGGATGAATACCTTCTTTTGAGATCTGAGATCATGGAACATGGCCTTTTTTTGAAAGGGCGAATCATCTAGAAGCGGGTCAATGTCCAGGGCTATGTTAAATTACCACACGGTATAGTTGTAAAAAATCTAAATGCTGCTAGGTGAAGCAGAATTGTTTGCTGAACAGTGTAAGCCTACAAAAAAGGCTGCTTGCTTTATAAGGAGGAAAGATAAATCTCTCTGAATTAGGCTGGTTCAAACCTTGTAATCCTTTCTCCCTATTACTAAAACGCCCCCCCCCAAATAGTAAACACGGTGATCTATTTTTACTATTAGGGGTTATTTTGCATTAGGGTACCCCTAATATTCCAATGAAAACCCTAATAATAAAAAGAGAAAAATCGTTTTCAAATTTGATTAAATCCCTTATTAATATATATATATAATATTGCCAACAACTGGATTTTGAAGCGTTCCCCCAATATTCCAACGAAAACCTTAATAATCAAAATTAAAAACTCGAATTCAAATTTGATTTAATCCCTTATTAAAATCTATGCAAAATATTGTCGAATACCGCAATTTCGAAGCTTTCCCCTAATATTCCAATGAACACCTCAACAATGGAAATAAAAGATAAAACTTGTGAGATGGGAGCCTAATAAAAAAACCTCCAGGTACCAATTTTTTTTGATAGGGGGTTGAACCCATTGTTTCACCATCCTGTCCTCCTATTGATTTTCAATTACCACAATTAAGAATCCAATTGTGCCCAACCTAAGAAACGGAAGTGCCACACCAATCCATTGTTTTTACTTGGTGGACTTTTAGTAATAGGAAGAAGGAATTCTGTACACACATGTCAATATGTCATATACAGTATATACATGGTCTATGTGGATGGAAACAATGATTATTTTATGTTGCCTGGCAAATGGGATGACAGTTCCATCAAACTTATATGATGGTATTGTCGAAAACTGGTGATTTCAGCCGTATTTTTTTGAATGGATTGAAACAATGTGTCGCGGTTGCATACTTTGAAGGGACGATAATATACTGGTTGGTGTTTTGGAACATTTTTTATTTTCCATAATACATGGGTATAATAATCCCAACTGACTAATATTTTTCAGAGGGGTTGAAACCACCAACCAGTATATCGCGAAGATTTTATATCCTGATAATCCTGATAATCCTGATAAGCTAAGAGTCTGTTCTTTTGATAGTGGATATCCCCAATGCGTCTTTGGGCTCATTTGACCAATGCCTTAAAACGGTGGTGCAGAAGCTGCGAGCCGCGCCCAGAGGTGGAAGTGGTGCAGACTCCATGGGGGTTTCACCATAAAATCGTAGTGAAAGAACCATGCTGAGTTGGGGTACCCGCATGACTTAGGAACCCTCCATATCATGTATATAAATGTTTTTTTTTTTAATATCTGGTTGGTGGTTATATATAGATATATATGGGTTATATACCATTTGGTTATTTAACATAGCCATGGAAAATCCCGTAAATAAATGGAGGTTTCTAGCTGGGAAAATCATCTATTTCTATCGGCCATTTTCCATGGCTATGTTAAATTACCGGAGGGTAAATCAATGTGCAAGCAGGATATCTCTTATGACTTGCGGTGGCAAATTGAGGACTTCGATCCAGTAATGTTCAGCTTTTGGAGCTGGTTTTCGGAAGAAAGACGTCTGAAGTCTTTGGTAACGGCGGTCGCCGACTGTTACCTTCGTCCGCCAAGTTTCACGCAGGTACAAGGCCATCACCAGCACACACTACCGGCGTGCAGTTCGGGGAACCCAGGGAAGTGATTGAAAAGGGCTCTGGAAGAGCGGGATTTCGGTTTTGTTGGCATTTCCTGGTTCAGAGGGGTAGGTCAACCACCAACCAGAACATTGATCAAGTTTTTTTTGGGATTTATTCAGGATAATGGTGCCTTTATTCCATTTAAACTAGTATAAACCCAGAAATATATATTGCTACACTCTCATCGCAAAAAATGACACCAGTTTTTAGCCAGCCAGTCCAGCCGGAAGATGACCGCCGGAAGATCAGCCAGAAGCCCAGCGCCGAGCGGTCTGACCAGGTCGGTGCCCTACTGTGCTACGACGTAACAAAGGAGGCTCCTATCGAAGCCGCGTGGATAGGTTGCGAGGGATCCCTCAATGGATGGGATGTTACAGCTAATTATATGATATTTTATCATATCTATACGTGTATGTATATATATATATAGAGAGAGATATAATATCATATTATCTTTGTTATAGATGTCATATCATATTATATATGATATTATATGTTTTTTTTACAATGTGGGCCTCCCCGGTGATGTTTGTTGGTTTATAAACCCCAATAACTATAGCTATAAGTATCATAGACCATAGTTATATAGTGGTTTTATGTTCACCAACTTAGCTCTCTAGGGGGCCCCACTTTGTATATATTGTCAGCTTCTCCGGTTTCAATGTTCCCTTCAGCCAATTCGAAAAAGGGTGCCCCCCCCAGTTATCAGTTGGTAAAAAAACAAGAACCATCTACCTACAATGCCAGCCTCCAGTGATGTTTGTTGGTTTATAAACCCTTTGAATTCCATAGCTATATGGAGGTGTCCAGAAATGGGGGTACCCCAATAGCTGGTTGGTTTATTTCATGGAAAATCCATCTATGGATGATTTATATAGGGGTACCCTCATGACTATGGAAACCCCTTTTTTTTGCACATTTTTCACATCCCAAAGTAAGATGATCCATCCTAAACTCAGATATTTTTTTAGTATCATACATATTCATTAAAACCGTAGTTCAACATATCTAACCCACGTCGTCAGTCGTTCTGTCGTTCTGCTCACCTGGCGCCGCTTGCAGACCACCTTTAAGAATGCTGCGAAATGGATGGAGGTTTCACGGGCGAAGGGTTGGGAAAGGGATGTGATGGAAAGGGGTCGGTTTCTAGCTATAGATCTGCTGCCAGAAACAAACTAACTATAGATGAGTCTTGCTATAGATTGGTTTCACTATAGATTGTTATTTTTTGGGCTCATCCCGATATGATGCTATACATGCAAGAAACGAATCATGGACTTTGATATGACGTATCACTGAGGATTTGTTTTTCCCCGTGAAGCTGAAAGCCGTGTGTCTAAGGTAAGTCATGTGGTAGTTGTGATATGTAAAAACGGTGTTGGGAAGAGCAATTATAAAAGGTAGTTCACCTGGAGGATATGATCAAAAGAAATGAAGGTTGGATTAGCCAGCAAAGATATTGAAGGGCAAACGCTTTAAAACCGGACTTTTTTTTGTTCTGTAAGGTACAGTTTTTCAGAGCCTGAAACCTGATACCAGTAGATACAAGAAGTGGAGTTCTTTCATTCTGCAACCCTTTCACTTCTAGTGAACTTTGGCCGCACACACCCTATACCATGCCAGTTTTATGCATTTCATTTTGCCTCCCATCTCAGGAGTTGCGACAAAGCGCCGAACCTGATATCGTGATCATGTTTGGATGCCCAGCTGTGGACAAGGGAATGCGCAAGCCCAATGATGGCTTAACACGTTTTTCCTGAGAATATAGTGAGGCTCGAAAATTGTCAATAATGATCAAGGTTTTTCATGATTTCGGCAGAAGTATGTTGAGTGAAAGACGTCACGGCTAGATGGAATCGGAGCATACAAGATGTTTCCCTCAAAAAATCGAGCCACAAAAGACCAAGTGGAATTGGATGGTTTGCCTGCTGCAGGCAGCACACGTTAGAGGATTCTTTTTTGAGATGGTTCAAATGTTCACAATATTTTGGGAGAAATCGTTTTACCCCCTTCCCCACTTACATAGGCTCGTCTGAAAATTTTGGGGAAGAAAATTCCAGAGGTTGATCTTAGTTTTCTTCAAATAAGATAGAGGAAAATCCCCTATTTCAGTCAGACCCAAAAGGAATCTCCAGTTTGCTGGATTTTGTTTCATAAAAGGCTTCCGTGATTTGCTTGTTCTCTTGGTGTTCCCTTTTGATTTTGGAATCACATAGTAAATAGACGTAAATGGGTTTGTTTGCCAGTAACGTCGCCCCCCGAAGAATGTGTGTGTCTATTGAAATCAACATTTTGAGGTATTTCCCCACCTGCCAGGTGAGGGTTGTTAGATTTTATGTCAGTTGCCTCCTCCTGCCTCCTCCTGACTCCTGCCTCGTCCTCCTCCTCCTCCTCCTCCTCGTCCTCCTCGTCCTCCTTGTCATCCTTGTCGTCCTTGTCGTCCTCGTCGTCCTCGTCGTCCTCGTCGTCCTCGTCCAACTGCGACCCGCGATCCACAGTGTTCTCTGCCGGACCTCAACCACGACCATCCACGCCCAGTGTTCCCTGCCGGACCTCAACCACGACCATCCACGCCCAGTGTTCCCTGCCGGACCTCAACCACGACCATCCACGCCCAGTTCCCTGCCGGACCTCAACCGCGAGTATCCACGCCAAGTGTTCCCTGCCGGACCTCATGTAGGAAGATAAAATGTCAGATAGAGTGCCAGAAGATTTGCCAGGTAGAATGCCAGAAAATATGCCAGAAGATATGCCAGATAGATATGCCAGAAGATATTTCAGAAGATATGCCAGATAGAATGCCAGATAGAATGCCAGAAGATATGTCAGAATATATGCCAGAAGATATGCCAGATAGAATGCCAGATAGAATGCCAGAAGATATGTCAGATAGAATGCCAGAAGATATGCCAGATAGAATGCCAGAAGATTTGCCAGATAGAATGCCAGAAGATATGCCAGAATATGCCAGAAGATATGCCAGATAGAATGCCAAATAGAATGTCAGAAGATATGTCAGATAGAATGCCAGAAGATGTGCCAGTAAGAACATGTATAAATGTCATGGTGGGGATCACACGAAGTAAAGTAGTTCATTTTTTCAGATAAACCCAAATATGCAATAATTGTCTTCACATGTGTTGTTTCGCCACCAAGCAAATGTAATGCTGCTTTGGGACGGTAAAAAACTGAACCATACGTTGAGAGTATTGTTACTACATGGGCAACGGACAGGACATGTTCCTTTGCATTTGCATGTATCTGCCTGACAAGATTCACTGGATCATACCAAATTTAGAGTATTCTAGAGGTATTCAGTCTTTTCTGCATGAATGTGAATGTGATAAAGCTTACATCGATTGTATGCAAGAGAATTCAGGTAAACTTGGCTACCTTTGTTTTGGGCATCATACAGCTGCGAGATGGACATATCTTACATATGTGTGAACAATTCACATTGTAGAAACCTCAAACGGGCCTCACCACAAATGCTGTTAAGCATGTTGAGAACCATAACAAAAGTGCACAAAGATCAGGTTCGGGAGTTACTATATCATCTCTATCCAAGTATAGTTATATTAATATAATATATATATATATTATAAATATACATAATATGATGTATTCGTCATCTTCACACTAATACAGTACATATATATATACCCTCTGGTAATTTGACATAGCTGTAGAAAATCACCATGTTTTATAGGTAAATCAACTCTAAATGGCAATTGTCCATAGCTATGTTAAATTACCAGAGGGTAACCAACAAACATGGGGATTTCATTGGATTTCATGGGCTTGATTGGTGAATATAACTCCAATGATATGTTGTATGGTTCATGATGGTTTATGGTCCTTAGAGTTTTTTGTTTATGAGGTTTTTGATGGTCCTTTGAATTATAGATATTATAGTTCATGACGTTTATAAACCAGCAAACATCACTGGAGGGGCCACATATAGGGTTTATGTCTGTTCATGTGGAAGGTGGTAAAGCTGCTGCCAGGCTTGTTGGAAACAAGGTGGACCTCGCGGACAAAGATCCGGCCAGCAGACAGGCCACTGTAGGAGAGATATATTCATAGGGTGGTACCATATGTATGTACCAGGTATGTATATGTATAATAGATACATACATACATAGATACATATCATTCATACATACATACATTCATACATACATACATACTTACTTACTTACTTACATGCACACATGCACACATGCATACATGCATACATGCATACATCCATACAACCATATATCCATACATCCATACATACATACATACATACCTACATACCTACATACCTACATACCTACATTAATACATACATACATACATACCTACATACCTACATACCTACATACCTACATACCTACATACCTACATACCTACATACCTACATACCTACATACCTACATACATACCTACATACATACATACATTAATACATACATGCATACATACATGCATACATACATTCATACATACATACATCCATGCATGGATGCATGCATCCATACACCCATACATACCTACATACCTACATACCTACATACATACATTAATACATACATACCTACATACCTACATACCTACATACCTACATGCATACATACATACATTAATACATGCATTAATACATACATACATACATACATGCATACATACATTCATACATACATACGTACATTCATACATACATACATACATCCATGCATGGATGCATGCATGCATGCATACATGCATACATGCATACATCCATACATGCATACATGCATGCATCCATACATACCTACATACCTACATACCTACATACATACATTAATACATACATACATACATACATACCTACATACCTACATACCTACATACCTACATACCTACATACCTACATACATACCTACATACCTACATACCTACATACCTACATACATACTTACATACATACCTACATACCTACATATACATATACATATACATATACATTTACATTTACAATTACATATACATATACATATACATATACATACACATACATACAGACATACATACATACATAATTACATACTTACTTACTTACATACATTCACACATGTATACATGCATGCATGCATGCACACAAGTATATTAACATATGTGTGGACTATGGGTCAATATGAATCTATATAGGTTCATATGTGGTGTACTCGTATGTATGTATGTGTTTGAATATATATATATTTACAACATGAGCAATGATGACGGTGAGTGGTCATTTGGATGATGGATATGGTCTATCTGGAAGCATTCCTAGCACGGCTAAGCCGTGTGGTATGATGCTTGATACATGGGTAATCATCAAACAAACTTACAGCATATCCCTTTCAAAATCGGCTGAGTTCTGATTTGGGAAGGATGGAGGTTTAACATGTACCTTCTGGTTATTTAACATAGCCATGGAAAATGGCCCATTTATAGATGGTTTACCTATTAAAAATGGTGATTTTCCATGGCTCTGTTAAATAACCAGATGGTACCTTCCAGTAAACTAACATAGCCTTGGCTATGGAAGGCCATCCCATTCGGATTGATCTGCATTGGTGAATCTTCCATTTTTTCAATGTTGGCTTACCGGAGGAAAAAAAAAACAAAAAATTGTGTTTTAGCAATCAAAGTTGGAAGTGGAGAAGCTTCTGTCTTGCATTCTGAAATGTCAGGGTGTGCACTTGAGGTTATTACCCTTTGCTGGTTTATCTAAAGTAGCTATGGACAAGCATCATCTTTAATAGGTAAATCATTGTCCATTTTCTAAATGGATCATTTTCCATGGCAACATTATCAGAGGCTAATAGAGATAAAACCAGGCCATGGCGGCCCCCCGCAATAGCGATAGTATGCGATAGTGAAATATATCCAATTAGAACTTCAACTGGACAAAAAAAAACACCGAGTGGCAAGAAGCATTGGGTTTTCATGAATTGGGGATTGGTCAAAAGCTATGAAATTACCATATGGCTGGGTGTTTATTCACATCAACCAGCGGTCATTTTTTGGGTTACCTAGGCAGGTACCAGGGGCCCGGTGGTGCCATAACCAATTCATCGCCAGGTCTACTATGATGCAGCACAGGAGTTCGCCAACCTGAATGGACTGTTCTTTTTCGAGGCTAAGCAGCTGGAGAACGAACCAGCTGAAAACTGCGAAACGAACCGGACATGGTGAGGACTGTGGTGAATGACGCAGTGCAATCTTTGCTTAAGAAATTCACGCTAACTTCTAGGAGGTGACATTTCCAGTGCGGAAATAAAACAAGATATATATATATACCGTGTATATACATATATACAATTATATACACAATATATGTCGAATCAGTGTTCTATAGGTTTTGTTGTAGAGATGAATGATGGACAACACAATTTGGTCATATGGGTCATATGGGTCATATGGGTCATATGGGTCATATGGGTCATCCGGCCCCCGGTCCCTGCCCGTCAGACCAGTGCCGTTGCAGACATCAATGCCGCGGGGCTCAGCTTGGCCACAGCACATGTCAAGGGGTGTAAGGCATTTTGGGGGAGGAGAAACCACTACTGGGTCCCTTTCCCCATTAAAAAACAAGTAATCATGGGTTTCCTGCCAATATTGAATCGATATGACATGGGGTGTCCCTCTGGAAAAACATATATATATATCATGCGTATATTTTTGGGGTGAAAGTCATCCCTGTTTGCGAACAAAGGTGAAAACCATTCTATCCCTCTTTGCACCCCATTTGTTTGCTTGTACTAATGGATGTGTCTCCCAATACATTCCTGAACAGATATATGAATATGATATACATATATATATATAGATATGTATAGATTATGTATATATATAATATAATATATATATATATATATATTATATATGGAAAATCGCTTTTGACCTATCCCCTGGTCAGCATTGTTTTTTACCGCATCAATTCGAAAAAAACTGGAGAGTCCACCGAGCCCATGGGCCCATGGTTGGGGGTTTCAGCCCGTGGCGCGGTGGGTATCGTTGTGACCTGCGATGATGGTGCGAACTGCCGTAGGAAACCATGATATGGATGTGGGTCAAAATGGAAGACCTAGGGGACCACAGATGTTAGTCTAGTTTAATATTAACAATCCAATTATTGGGGTACCTAATTTTGACCCATACCCATATTCAAAAGCCCTAACTTACCATGGGGCTTCTGATGGTTTCCTGTAAATTTTCTTAGCATCCAATTTGGTTCTCATGACTTTGGTTTGTACCAAACCCTACCCGGCTCCACCCTCTGAGACTGTCTTTGGCGATATTTTCTTGTCACAACTTTTCAGGAGGTATTTGCAGTAGGGAAGGTATACTAAGGTATAGCCAAGCCTTTGGGGTTCGACTTCAAAAATTCTGATGATGTGTGAGGCCATTTGGTAGCTGGCAGTTGAATCAACATTCTCAACATGTTTCATCCAACCTGCGATGATGTGCAGTGACTACAGTCCACCGTGGTGAACATATTTACATATAACTCCAATTTCACAATTGGGTTTATGATACTTATAACTATGATTAACTATAGGTATTATAGTATTCATGGGGGTAAAACTCACCACCAAACATCACTGGCCGCACATTGTAGGGGTGTTTTGAAGAATCATGGATTCTCACCATCAAAAAACATGGAAAATGCTGCTTCAAATATGGATCATAGGCATCATAGGCGATTACATAATCAATGAACCATGAACAATGGAAAATTGCACCAATCAGAAATCAGACTAAGATCTAGTGATCTAGTTTTAGAACCCATATGCGAACCATGGTGCTGGTATCTTTACCCGACTTTGCCTACAAAACTGGGTGATTTTGAGGGTCAATGTTGGTAAATATTCCATACATCTGGATAAATTATAATGACCTCGACCTCACTGGAATCATGGTTAGATTGCGGGAAATCATCCCCAAATGGCCTTAATTCAGGTTAGTGAAATATTATAATTTACCCAGATACATGGAGCATCTGTGTACTGGTCGAAGGATTGTTTTCTGCAATCCTCCAAGGTGAAAGAAGCCTTTGAGCGGCTTCTGCATGACAGAGGGTGGTGACCGACGGGTTGAAGATTGGTATGGTACTTGGTGATGTAGTTTCGGTTTGAATAATACTAGTAGATACTACATAAGGGATCATAAATTAGTATATAATGCCATAGGGACTATTAAGTTACTTAGCTACTATAAGATTCATGTAGGGGTTATAGCTACAACTACGGGATGTTGACCTCCCTAGCTGGCAGTTTCACCCATGGCCATGTTGGATTAGGTCCATTTCTAGATGGATGTTCCATGAAATAAACCATCCAGCGATAGAGGGGTACCCCCATGATGAAAAGAAAACCCCTCTATCATGTGTGCTTTAGGGTACCTGAATGAACCAGCTCTCTTGATTGACATCTCCCTGGTCCAGAGCCTCAGCATCTTGGTCTTTGCATTCGCGAGCTTGTTGATGAAGGCTATGTTGTTACTGTTAAAGTCTTACTTTGTTTGCTTGTTCAAGAGTCGTGGTGGTTAAACTTGGTTAAAGTCGCCCTTTTAACACATTCCCCAAATCTTTGGTGATTAAATTCTCACAGCGCCATGAAGTTGTCGATGACAAACTTCTCAGCTTATCCACCATTTATAGCTGGTTGGCGGTTTGGAACATTTGGATTATGTTTCCATATATTGGGAGTAATCATCCCAACATATAGGTATACCACCAACCATTTATAGACATTTATAGACCATACTTGGTTAAACAAAAAAGACTTGGTTGGTATAAACCTGAATTGTAGACAAGTCTGTTTCAAATCAATGGAACATCCGCTACTTAATTATAGATGATTTTCCGTTTAAAACAACAACATCCATTAAATAGGAACAAATGTATCTTTAGATGATTTTCCTACAACATGTATAGTAATTATAGATGATTTTCCTATCAATTGTAGATGATTTTAGAGTATAATGTAGCTTTTGCTAGGAACAAATCCACTATTGATCAATTATTTAACGATGAATTCTCCCATAAAAATAAAAAAAACATATCAAACACATACTGGTTGCTGTTTTGGAACATGTTTTATTTTTCCATTATTGGGAATTTCATAATCCCAACTGACTCACATTTTTCAGAAGGGTAGGTCAACCACCAACCAGATTGGCAATCAGAATCCTCATGGAGATTGCCTCACTGCCGCAGGAGATCTATGATCAGGGCACTCGCAGCGGTCCGTGGCTTCAGCGGTTTTTCTCGCGGTTGTTGTTTAACGGCGTTTCCAAGGCGAAGCTGATAAAAATAACTCCAATTTCACTATGGTTTATGATGTTGAACTACGGTTTATGAATATTTATGATACTTATAACATCTAACTTTAGGGTGATGGATAATCTTAGCTTTATAAATATTCTAACTCCGATACCTACTGTATTACCTATGGTTCCTATGGTGTACCAGTAGTACCGCACAAGGCGGTGGCGGAAGTTTCAAAAATGGAAAACCTATAGGAGAGGTGAGTTGGTGTGACGCAAAAATGGCAGAGCGAACCCACTGATGGATTGAAAGGTGGTTGAGTGTTTCTCCCTTTCTGTCTCTCTTTCTCTCTGTGTCTCTCTTTCGCCATCTATCTACAGAGCTACCTTTCTAGCCGTCTACCTATCTACCTGTCTATTCATGTATCTATCGATCGATTTGTTTATTCACCTATCTATTAAACTGTCTATCTTTCTGTCTATCCTGTCTATTCGATGCACAATCCACTCCACCTGCGACACAAAACGACGCCTGAACGTCCAAAATGTCTCCGAGACCCTCAGTTTTTAATACTGTTGAGTTCGAAATGTGCTTCGCGCCACAACGCCGTGCACTTTTTCGACATCTCAACTTCCAAAAGTGCTCCGAGACCCTCAGTTTTTAACACTTTTGACTTCGAAATGTGCTTCGCGCCACAACGCCGTGCACTTTTTCGACATCTCAACTTCCAAAAGTGCTCCGAGACCCTCAGTTTTTAACACATTTTACTTCCAAATGTGCTTCGCGCCACAAGGCCGTGCACTTTTTCGACATCTCAACTTCCAAAAGTGCTCCGAGACCCTCAGTTTTTAACACATTTTACTTCCAAATGTGCTTCGCGCCACAAGGCCGTGCACTTTCTCAACATCTCAACTTCCAAAACTGCTCCGAACCCTCAGTTTTTAACACATGTTGCTTCCAATTGTGCTTCGCGCCACAACGCCGTGCACTTTTTCAACATCTCAACTTCCAAAAGTGGTCCGATCCTGAGGTGTTTTGTACCTTTTCACTTCGAAATCGGCTTCGCGCCACAACGGCGTGCAACTTTTCATCTCTCATCTCCCCAGATGTCTCCGCACCCGCCGCTTTAGCGAGCCTACTTTTCAACCCTCCGGAGCCACAAAACCACGATAAAACACAGTGTTTCGCGACTTTCCTACCTTTTCGCGCACCTGCATCTTCTTTCTTCTGATCTTTTCTCTTCTGACTCTTCTCCCTGCTGACTGCTTTTTCATCTCTCCATATTGTCGGAAGTTTGACTTCTAAACTTCCTTCGATGATACTTATAAGATCTTATTAGTTCCTAAGTATTCATGGGGTGAAACTAGACCAACTCACAACTGGGGGCCACTTTGTTTGTGGTAACATGATGCACTGGGATGTTAACCAGCGGGGGATGAGGAAAAAACAATTTCTGGTGGAAGCGAAAACGAAGATGTGCTGTTGAAGGGGCGAAGCTGGGAGTAGGGAATCTGCAAAGCAAAGCAACTCAGAAAAATTATTCCAATTCTCAATGGACCCCCACATATGTACTGATCGAAATCCATTACCATTCGTAGTCGACCCTTTTGGCGCATGGTTTTGATATGTTTTGATGTTCGCTTATATAGGATCCTTTAAGGTTTTGGACCTACAACCATAGTTCTTCAACTTTATCATCATCTTGCCTTTCAGGCTTTTTACAACAAAGATCGTGGGAAATTTAACCAACAAACTGGTGAACCGTTCCAAAATTAACCTTTAAACAACCACCAAAAAGGATGCAGAAAAGTCAATTTCTGCTAAACTAGTGAGGATTTGAACCCATTCTGTAGTTTTTGTTGGTGGGTGTGCTATATTTCCAATTTGAGAATGGGTCAAAAGCTATGAAATTACAGAAATGACATGAAATTACCATATATTTTTGGTGGGATTTACATGGATTTACTGTATTCAGCAGCTATTTTGTGGTTTTGCCATTGGGCCCTTTTTCGTCGGCTCCTGGCTAAGGCCACACAAATGAAGCCGTCGATGGACTCCGGATTGGTGGTCTACCGGAGGCACTTTGGGCTTAAAATGGTGAGTTAACAAAAAAACACCTATCCCATATGCTCCATGTATAGTATATGTACCTACAAAACTGGGCCATTTATGGGGTAAATGTTGGTAAATATTCCAGCACCATGGAGCATATGGGTACAATAAGGATATATGTGGCTTAAACATGCATTAAAACATCATTTGTTGATGGGGATTGAACACGAAAAACACTTGGATTTTGCTACTGAACCATACTGGTTGGTGGTTTGGATGGGATAATCATCCCAACTGAGTAATATTTTTCAGGGGGGTTGAAACCACCAACCAGCACAAAACTGATGTATGGTATATGTATAGTATGTGAATGGCTACATCTCTTTTTATATCTGCTGTAGCCAAGAAATGGGGAGCTTTTCCACCAAAAAAAAGTGAATGGTACCAGCATCAAGTACACAGAGATATGTGTAGATATATATGTATACGACATATAATATATATATATATGTAGTGTCAATGGTCAATGTAAATGTTTTTTTTGGGCAAATGATCGAGTGATCAATGAGGGTTATGGTAAGAGGAATCCTCCAAGAATAAATCCCATTTCGTTCCCCTAAGATGAAATTCCCCTCCAAACAACCCTGGTTATTCGCATTGGATCTATTCATATGTGGATCTCATACTTTGGGGGTCCATATGCCAACTTCTGCAGGTTATTGTCATGGTCATACCCCTTCATAACCCAAACTGCACATCCAAGTATGGGGAGTGTAGTTATTATATATATATATATTATTCATATGTATGTATATATATATATATCTGTATATATATATGCATATGCATATACATATACATACATACATACATACATACATACATACATACATACATACATACATACATTACATACATTACATACATTACATACATTACATACATTACATACATTACATACATTACATACATTACATACATTAATACATACATGCATGCATGCATACATACATACATACACACACATACGTATACATACATACAAACATACATACGTACGTACGTACGTACGTACCGTACGTACCGTACGTACCGTACATAAACACACACATACATACATACATACATGCATACATACATACATTACATTGCATTGCATTGCATAGCATTGCATTGCATTGGATTGCATCACATTACATTACATACATACATACATACTGACATACATACTGACATACATACTGACATACATACATACATTACATACATACATACATTACATTAATACATACACACATACATACATACATACATACATACATACAGACAGACAGACAGACAGACGTACAGACGTACATACGTACATACGTACATACGTACATACGTACATACGTACATACGTACATACGTACATACGTGCATACGTACATACGTACATACGTACATACGTGCATACGTGCATACGTGCATACGTGCATACGTACATACGTACATACGTACATACGTGCATACGTGTATACGTACATACGTACATACGTACATACGTACATACGTACATACATACATACATACACACATACACACATGCAGACATACAGACATACACACATGTATACATACACACATGTATACATACACACATGTATACATACACACATGTATACATACACACATGTATACATACACGCATGTATACATACACACATGTATATATACACACATGTATACATACACACATGTATACATACATACATGTATACATACATACATGTATACTTACATACATGCATACATACATACATACATATATATATATATATTAGGAAGATCGGATTATGACCATTTGACCACGACTGAGTGTCCAGGAATCCTCCATGCGTCCGTTGTCCTGGTCAATGATTGATGCTTCGTATTTTTCTCTTCCTTGGGGCACGTTGAAATAACGGATACTCGCTGGTAGTCAAAGATGGTTCGCTGGAAAATTTTTCAATCTTTTAGTATCTTATAGATGATTTTCCCATAAAAACCTCCATCTTCATGGAATTGTCAATTGCCACGTTTGATTACCGGATGGTAATTTGCATATCCTCCCCAGTCTGTACGAGGTATCAACTCTTGGTTTCAAGTAATTTCAATTAGTTATTTATGGCCATGTTTGGCTGACATTCACAAAAAATATTTTGTGTCTGAACATGGAGGGTATAACCCCACAAAATCATGCGTTTAATGAGAAAAAAACATCAATAACCATCAAATTCGGATTCCTGGAAGCACCCGTTTCCCCACCAGTAAAGCTCGCACGGCACCCCAAGTGGGTTTAGATCTGGGGGGTTCCGAAGTCAGGGGGGTACCCCTATAGCTGGTTGGTTATTTCATGGAAGATCCATGAAAACTGATATTTTGGGGCTGCCGCCATCTCAGGAAACATCCATATGATATATGGTTAGATAAAGATATGTTTAGTTCGCCCTGTATTTTGTTTAATCGACATCTCCACCATAAATCTAATTGTTGGACTAATTTGAAACCAAGCGAAAGATCTTGTTCGGGGCGCCCTCCGGCCTTTTTTTGTCTTGTGAAGTTTGAACCACATCATTTCTCCATCCCCTGCCAGGGAGAGAAACCTACCAGCAGTTGTTGCTGAGGGCACGCTTCCCTTAGCACCACTGAGTTGATTGAAAATGAAGGAACATAAACCATCAAAACCATCAAAATCCCCAAGATGCCCCTCTTGCCCCCTGGTTTTCAAACATTGGCTGGCAATGGGACATCCGAACCCGAACTGGAGGTTTGAGTAAGGCAAGAATCATCGTTAACGATACTTTTTTTTTCGGATTTTCCAGCAAGCCATGGAGCTGATTACCGGAGGGTATACCATATCAACACATGAATATTCTATTAAGATCCATTAAAATTGCCATTCACTGTAGATATATCTACCATAAACTATAGTTAACCCCATCTAATTCTGATGCATTGCCCAGTACGTACCACGGAAGCTCGAGTAAGTGGGACCATGGAGCGATGGGGCTTGTAACGGCACCATGTTTTTTTGGTCACCTGGTCCATGTTTTAGCGATGAGTCTACAGTTTCACAGTCATCTATAAAAGACACATACATAGGGGTTTGTCAGTTTGTCCAAAAATAGGGCTTTGATACCCAATGTAGATCCGGTTTAGAATCAGTTTGTTCTCATGGTGTTGCCATCATTTTCCCATAATTTCCCCATGTTTGTTACTGGCTGAAAGACCTTGGTGGCCGGGGACCGCTTCGGAAATATGGCGCCGTGGCGCCAAGTAAAATCTGACTTTTGCGGAGCTGCCGCGGAAATCGCTGCACAAAGTGGGTCAGCGTCGCAAGGGATGCGGATGTAGAGGTCCTACTGTAAGATTTATGAATGTTTAAATATGATACCCTATGGATCCAGCCGTACCTTCTGAAAGAAAGTGGGACTGGGGATTAATTTACTATCATTTGGAGAGTTAGCCGTACCTTCTCAGACAGTGGCCATGGATCCATAGGGATATTGTATATTTATAATATATCATTTATATATATATATTATATGTACATATGTGACTGCAAATGGAGAGACGCATATTCAATGGTGGTTGATTCATGGGAACCATGATGATGAAGCATATAGAATTGGGGGGTAGTGGATGGTGGCGAAATCGTGCACCAGTTGGGAACTATTGGTCACTATGAAACACTGTAAATGGTGGGACTATAACGGAATGTTTACCATCTACCAACCGGTGCAGGATTTCGCCACCACAGTATGTCCAGACAACCCAATATGTCCCAAGGCTGGGGTGAAACATGGTTTGCTGGAATTGGTGCTGCATTACCTGAGCCATTGGTTATAGGGAATTGTACTACCTGGTTGAATGGGGATCAGGATAAGCCACAATAGGAAAACTTATCAACTAACCAGTATATTGAGATGGGATAGGGGATGATAGGGGTATTTTTAATGGCTCACCTGGATTTCCCTGTTATTTGTTCAGCGAGGATTGGTCACTATGGGCGATTCGTTGACTTTTCGTTTGGCTTGAAATGACGTGCTGGGTCCCTTGTTACCCTGGTACCTGGGTATCCGAAGATAGCTGGTGTAGCTGGATGGGAATTCCCCCAGTCATATGGGGGCCCTTCATAGGTTTTGATCCATCCCCTGTTGAAACTGATCCACATACTTGGCAAGAAACATGGCCGTCGAGTGCTCACTGCGGACAAAAGGTTGGGTCGGGCACACCTTAGCCATGGCTCATGTTTACAGACTTGGCGAGCCCAAACTGCTAGCAGCCAGAAACATCCATTGTATGTCTCAAAATGTAGCACCTTGATGATTTGTTGATGGACTCCCGCGCTGTTTTGATTCCTCACATGTTGATTTTCCTCCCTTTTCTGATTTATTCTACTGAATCAACAGTTTATGTAGCTACCCACAGTCAAGAACCAGTCCAACTGAAGCTAGCCCCTAAACCCTCTCAGAGTTCACCTGAATCCCCGGTATCTTGTGAAGATTCATCACCTTTTTAGATCATCAAATTCTGAGGTCAGCGAAAGTCATGCCTTCAGCGTGGGCGATTCATCGTAAAAAGACTTCTCGTTGGCGCCGTGATCCCGCTGAGATACGCTGAGATATGCTGATGTCCCATGTTTTTTTTGATGACCCAAACTTTGAGTCATTGAGAAAAAACCGCCTAATTACCCCACATCCAGACAAAGCCATTTTGTTCTGCGATTTCTGATCTAAATCCATTGACTTGTTAGTTTCTGAGACTAGAGTAGCACCGGGAGCTGGTTTTCAAGGGGTTGCATCCCAAGACCTGAAATCGAAGATCCTCCAACCCACTCAGTTCACCATTGCTCACTAGAAATGTATGATACTTGTATGATGTAACTTGCCTTTTTCAGGTTTTTTTTTAGTCAGCTGTTCGGTTTGAACCGGCCTTGTTGGATAAGCACTGGTTCATCAACTACAGGGAGTTACTGAGTTACCCCCAAATTGGTGGGGTTCTTAAAATGGTGGACCCCAAGTCACCATTGGGTTCAATACTACGATGGTCTAATTTTGCATGATTAAAATGGTGCCCCCATTTGTGACAAAGTTCTACTAAAACATACTAAAACGGTACCCTTTTGGTTAAACAGCCCAGAGGTTTAGGACAGCCCGGAGTTCCTTCGCCTGTGGTAGGCTGCGACTGTGATCGACCAGGTGCAGGCTGCCATTGGAACAGCCTCACTGCGACCTCACTGGAATCATGGTTAGTAGGGGTGACTATCCCGAAAAAACTTTATTTCAAGTTCCGGATTAGTGCATTAGTGCACTTTCATTTTACCCTATGTATATTATATATAATATATATGGATATAGGAGCATAACAAAAATATGCATGAATTATAGCCGAATAGCAACCTCTGAGGCACTCCGAGGTGGTGGCTAGTGACTATGTCAACAATGTCTCTTGCATTAAAGGACAACTTCAAAACAAGTACAAATGTGTCTACCATTATTCCTACCTAAGCTACTTATAAACCAACTTAGCCTTGGGCATGATTTCGGTACCTCAATTTTGAGCCGTATGCCATGCTATGCAATGTTTGGAAATGGTATACCCTCTGGAAATTTAACATAGCTATGGAAAACACCATCTTTCATCGGTAAATCATCTGTAAATGGGCAATTTTCCATACTTGGAAGTGAGCTATAGTAGTTATAGGGCCTTCATATCCCAACTAATTAGGGCTGAATTTCCCATAGTTATATCCATAACCGGCCTATCTGCTCCAGGATCCTCGTGTCAGCAACGTCACCAAGGAGGACAGCGAAAGCAACCAGAAGTGGTGGATGAAATTTGTGGATTTACAGCAATTTGAAGCATCTGGGGAACATCCCAACCATATATGTGGACTTACTGGTTGGTTATCCCACTATAATGGCTATAAATGATGGTTAATGATGGTTAATGATGGTTAATAACCACTGGTTGGTGGTTTGGAACATGAATGGATTATGACTTTCCATATATTGGGAGATCTTCATCATCCCAACTGACGAGTTGTCATATTTTTCAGAGGGGTAGGTATACCGCCAACCAGCAATGGATATACAACTTTTTTTTGAACCAAGAAACATTGCACTGCAAATCATGTACCGATATGAGAAACATTGCACTATGAATGTGGATTGTCCGGATGGCAATCTCATGGAATTCAACATCGCCGGTTTTACTGGAGGGTGTTCGCAAAAGGTCAACAAAGGATCACTTTGTTGGACTACTGCTGTTTAGTTCTAGCCAGAAAGTGTAGATTTGGCTGAACACTGTTTCCCTCGACGAGGTAGGGTGAGTCTCGTTTTGCAGGATTGTAATCAAGTCATAATCAAGTCATTGAGTAGGGCAAAACGCAGAGCAATGACGATGTAAGCATCCTATTACAATAATCGTGGCTTGGGGCCATGGATTGAATCCTCAAGATGTGATAGCACGGGGTTTTCCATAGTCATGGGGATACCCCGAAATCGCTGGATGGTTTTTGGAAAATCCCAATCGAAAATGCCTGATTAATCTAGGGGTAGCCCCATTTCAGGAAACCTCTATTTGGTTTCAGATGGGAATGGTGCATGGACGAAATGAAACGTTGCTTTCTCCAAGTTGCAAAAACCATCAAGAATGTGGGGTCTCTTGGACCGTTGGATTTTTGGATAGCCTATGTTCAGACAAGCCCAAACTATGCCTTCTAGAAACCCCAATGATCAGCTTCTTATATCTTGTAAAAAAAAGGATAAAAATGGTGCATACTATTTATGTTTGGTGAAATAGATGGTGAAACTTGGGTTTACCACAATATTGCTTAGAGACATCAATGTTCTTTCAGTGTTTGTACACGTGTGTTCCGCTGAGCTATCCTGTTGTAATGAATGAAAACCCTTGGAATTGTGGATCAATTCCATACAGACCCTGTGCAGGCACCAACGCATCCTGTGCACCGGAGACAAAGTGCTCAAAACACCGCGGAAAAGGCGGGATGATCGATCCGAACCTTAAATTCAGCCAGCATGTGATGTGCTTCCAGTACCCTACACTATCGTGCTAGGATTTTTGAGGTGAATGTCATTGTGTAAATGCACAATACGTGTGCAAATTGAATACATATATATTATATATATACACATTGTTTCATAGCTATCTACTATCTACATAGAGAGGATATTTGCACATGTCGTATTATGTCATGTCTAGATTATGTCTAGCATGTTTCTCTACGTATATATATATATATACAATATTACCTATATATATATATACAAATACATGCATTCACACAACCACAAACAGGCAATACCTTCTGAAGGTTGGAGAGCATCAAGTTCAACAAAGAATCGCAGCGTTTGGTTGGATATGCCCTCGAACAGTTACCCTGTTCTTTCATCGCGGCCAACTTGCCGCATCCCACCGGAAGCGTAAGTCGATCCAAGCATGTGACTTGAAGCTTGGCCAGACGCTGTCCGATGAGAGTGCAGTTCTGAAGTCCCTGCAAGAAACGTAAGCGCAAATGGCTGCCGAAGCAAAGCATTCAGAGACAATTGCACGTCAGCGCAAGAGGAAAGTGATTCGAGAAGTGCCAGAAGTCCCAAGACGCCAAAGGCGCATCCGGTGAGATCGCCAGAGCCAATTGTGGAGTGAACTCTCCAAATGTTCATATGGGTTTAGTGACATCGGATGTAGATGCCACTTGGGGGTGTGCGGGTGAACCTGCAGAGCGCAGCGGTGAAAAAGAAATAGTGCCACTCGGGGGCGCGCTCCGAAATTGTTGCAGTGATTCAATTCCAGTATGCATAAGAACACCGGATTATGCATTGCAACGGATTAGTGTAAGAACCAGGGTTAGGAGAATTACGGATTAGTTTTGTATCCTCCGAATTTCGAAGTCCCCAGCTTCATGATTCATTCGCAATTCAATGATATACCTTTTTATGTTCTTTCCGGAAATAGCTGGAGCGGAAAGGTAGGCCGTCAAGCGACATATCGTGATGGCGGCATCCACAAGCCATTTGTCTCTCCTCATAGCTTTTGTGCCCTAGCTGAATCTCATGTGTAAATCAATATTCTGGTGTGTAGATTCGAGGATTTTTTGGGATACGTTGAGTTGCATTAGGTTAATCATTTATAGGATGCCGTGTTAGTGGTTTAGCGGATTATACTTGTACGTATCAAATGTTAGCAAGCTTCATCCCTTCCACATGCTGTAGCAACAGCTGGCAGTGAAGCTATAATTTGTCCCGCTCTTGGTCCCGCTCTTCAAATCCTCCTAAAGTAGTCATAGATCATGTCTCTATTTTTTGGGGGGTTACATACTATAACTATCTATGAATCGGAAACACATATCTTCTTTTGCAGGTTATTTGAGCGGCTGTGGTGTCCTGAGTGAGGTGTTTTTGTTTTGTCGCATTTTTACTGGTTGGGGCAACACACCAGTGAATCATAGTTGATCGAGTGAACATTCAATTGCTGCAGGATGGTAAGTGGTAAACCAAGCCGGCCCACGATTTTTACCGAAACGATTTCATTTTTATACTTATTAGTTCTGTTTTGAGCTAACAACTCAGGATTCTGGGTTCATTCTGTCTGTCCAGGATGAAGAGAACTACGCATTTATGAATTTGGGGGCCCAAAATCATGATTATTCGAAATAATAAATGGTTACGTACTGTTCCTCGTACCCTTATTGATTAGGGTTTTATAATGTTTTTATTCTCATCCCGAGTTCACAGTATACTGTACCTTCTTTGGCTACTCAATGGACATTTCTTGGACTTGTCTCAGCGGAGGCTATTCAAGTGGACACCGGCGCTTACTTTGAGGTCCAGGTGGGGCCTAGATTTTTTCTGGTTGCTGTTGGAGTACCTATATAAATGGGGTGAAACTGGATTAATACTAGGATTCACCATCTGATTGCTATCTGGTGGAAAAATAGAATGCTTTCCATCCCGGGATGGTTCAACCCAACCACCAAGCAGTACAATACTGGATAGTGATGGGAATAGTGATGGGAAATGTGTGATAGTGATGGGAGTTTTTTTTGGAAATGTATATATAATCCCATGAAATACTGCTCATAATATCCCATCGCGGGCATCCATGGCATCCCCCATTCATGTCCCATATGTAGCGACCTCTCTGGGAAACCTGGAATACTTGGAATCATTGGAATCATCCCAGAGCCTGATTTCAGGTTAGTGAATGATTGTAATTTACCTGGATGTGATGATACATGTCAAGTGAGGCTGGAAAAAAAAAAAAACACTCATAGTGGGCATGCACCTCAATGCAGTCCCTAATGCTTGCACTATCTTGCACTATGCAGCCCGGTATATGATATTTAGATATACACGTTACCTGACAGCCATGCATATCATTGCATATATATATATATAATTTGGCTGTTTTCTGGATATTCTTGTGGGACATTTGTTGATTGTTTATGTAGCATCGCTCAGGTCTCCCGCTGCAGTGAACATTCAAGCAGGGTTTCAAGCCCAACATGGCTGTTGTTGTTTGAGTTGTCACTCCGCTGAGTACTCGCCTAGACCCGCGAGAGGCTTTGGCATGTTGCAGAAAAAACAATGATTTGATCGGCAAAAAAAACAGTTGCCTGTAGGTGTTCACAGGTTTCATAGATTGTCATAGATTTTCATGTTAATCATTGATTTTCCCTAAAGCAATTCCATTGCGATGAGGGGCTGAACTATCAACCCGACATCTGGGCGGGCCAGTTGTGATCCAGAGCTTGACGCTGTCTCAGGAGACAAGAAGTCCTTCTGAACCAGGAAGTTCAAAGAAGCCGGTTCTTCGGAAGGCCATGTGAAAGTGGAAACAATGAAGCATCCCAGGTATATTGAAGGAACAATCATGAAATATATTTAGAGTGTTTCAAAATTATCTGATAGTAATACCAATAGGTACTACTTCTGATGATGATGATGATGATGGTGGTGGTGATGATGATGATGATTGATGATGATTGCATTAATAGCAATCTGACATGTCCATAAAAATCGCTAACTGGGACTCAGCTAGGTCGCTGGGTTTACCCAAGTCATAGAGGATGAAAAGGAACTGAACTCGGCCTCTTTTTGGGGGTTGCTGTATCATCTCCGAAATCTGCAGAATGATATGGATGAAAATCGTTGATGACCAGGAATACAGACGAGAATTGCGTTTCTAGAACTTCTAGATTCTTCTTTTCAGGAACAAACGAGCATGTGCTTTCTTTGTCCGATAGCCCCGATTTCGGCGAAACCTCGCCATTGGACTCAAGACGCTGCCCAACACTCCTGAGAATTAGTCAAGGGGAAATTGAAAGCGGAAACCTCCATAGTTGATGAAAAAAAAGAGTCTTTCCTGCGCAATGTCTTAAACCAATCTAGTGACATGAGCCACGGATAAAACTGGTCAAGTGACTCTTGGCCATGATCTCCCCCCATATGTTTCCGGTATGTTCATTGGTTGGTGGTTTCAAGCATTTTTTATTTTCCATAATATATGGGATAATCCTTCCCATTGACTAATATTTTTCAAGATGGTTAAAACCACCGACCAGGCTATGTTTTCCCAATGTCTACCTTGCTTCATGGTGACCACCCGTGACGAGTTTGCGATGTGACGCGAGGCACCTGAAAGATGCGACAAGACTGACAAGACCACACAGGCGGGCTGAAAATGGGGTAGACTCAAAGTATGGCCATCATTTTATTAGTTCAATCTTGGATGGGTAGTTCAATCCTTTAAGTCTTTTGATATCAATGGGATTATCTACGTTCACCAGCTAAAAATTATATTTGTTTGCAGGGTATCTTGCTGATTGGCCATGTTTTGGAATATATATGTCCATGGTATACCCAATGTATTCACCCTGGTCTGATATGGATTGATATGGTGATTTTGGAATAGATTACCATAAATTACCATATCATCAGAATTTGGGATGAATTATATGTGTTCAATCATACTGTTATTACCAAAATGTCATTAGTGTTTTTTTGAACATTGGATATCACTATCTTACCATCACCAATATCACCAAAATGGAAAATTATGCTTATATGTACGTACATATAATATATATATATACATATATATATATATAACCATCATAACAGGGTTTAATATTGTTGTGACTATAAGACGAAAGATAGTTGAGGTACAAAATCAACATAAATCAACCGTAGTCTGGTTGCTCCAACCCAGTATAGGCATTATAGGCAAACTATCGGTGAATAATGGCCACAAGGAGGCAAACCTAAGCGATGCAGAGAACCGACGTTGCCAAGTGCATCCGCACGCCTTCCGGTCACTTTGGGGAATGGTTTACTACCCTCCGGTTAAACTAACATAGCTACGGAAAATCACCATCTTTAATAGGTAAATCAACTATAAATGTGCCATTTTCAATAGCCAACTGTTAAATTACCAGAGGGTATGCCGATGGGACTGCTGAATCCCACAAGATCCCTTGCCGTGTAGATGCAACTACACACGTCTTCATTGTCGGCATACAACGTGGTTGTTTTGGGGGATTGGAATGTTGTTGATTGTTGGCTTCAGTGCTCAACTTGGCATGATGATCTCTAAGTGACTTAAACCTACATATTCTTGCGCTATGGTTTCAATGCCAGATATGGTGCTTGCCGTCACTGTTTAAAGGGTGCTTGAAGCCTACTGTAAGATGGGTTGAAACCACCAGATGATGCGACTGGATGATTTGGACGGTGAAGGCCACACATCATTCCCCACCTATAGATATATCTAGCACAAAGTTAGTTCGCCAAAGTTGTAAACTGACTTCCCACGATTTCCAGCAGATTTTCCCAGAGATTTCCCAAAAGTCAACTGGCGTGCCGTAGGTGGAACTGGAAAGAGAGGCTGCGGCTACAGGGAGGGAGGTGCCCAGGGCTGCGTCATGTGGTCACAAAAATACCATCCCCCAAATGGAGAGCTCTAAGATTCTAAGATCCCCTGATCAAACATGGCTGGCCGGGAAATCCCCACACTCAATGGGCATTGAAATTGGAAAATCATCGAGCTCAACGGGGAATTCCCCCATGCCTTTTGTTTGTTGCCGGTATTGTACGTGGTAAACCCATGGTTATCTACTGGTACTTTAAGTGAGTTTTACAATACCCAATCACAAAATGTTGGTTGTAGTTCACCTAGGGTTTGTGATGGATGCCAATCACATATCCAACAATCGAAAGTGGTCAGTTTAACCCACCCAGTGACCCATATGGAACTGGGGACGTTCCTTTAATCTACCTGGGTTATAATTGGGTACCCCTTAGTCCATCGGTGAAGTCAGTCACTATCCCGCTTTTGATGGCCATATATTATATATTGATATATCTTGAATATACCATGTGTTCGGACATACCCATATACCTTCAATTCTGGTAGACTTGGTGATGTTGCATTTAGTATTGGCTTTACCATACTGGTGCAAAATGGCGCGTTTTCGCACAGGTTCCGTGTGTTTCACCAAGTGGCTTGCGATCCCCATCTTTACCCTCTGGTAATGACTAACATAGCTATTGAAAATGGCCCATTTATAGTGGATTTTCCCATTGAAAATGGTGATTTGCCATAGTTATGTTAGTTTACCAGAGGGTCACCCCCACCGTTGTTTTGGTCAACAAGCCTATCTATGAATTACCGATGCAGAGAAACGGTGGCCAGCCGGCCCCATCAAAGGGTTGCTCCAGAAATTGGGATGCTGCCCCCAGATCAGACTTCAATTGCAGGGTTTGTGAAATATCCAAACCCTCTGGTAAACGTTTACATAACTATGGAAAAGCACCATTCTTAATGGGTAAGTCAACTATAAATGGCCATTTTCAATAGGTATGTTAGTTTACCAGAGGGTAAAACTCCTATCTTGATCTGCTTTTCGGGATTTTGAACATCACTTCAATGTCGATGGAGATCCCCTAACCGTTGGGTGATGGTTGAGGGAGACATTTGGAGCAGCTCATGCAAGTCTTTAGATACCAAACATGGACGCTTTAAAGGCTACCGGTACAAGAAATTGACCTTCCGTGGGCCAAGTGGCACCTTAGATAATCAAAGCAGCAAGATAGCCAGGCTAGCCATATAATGTTGGCAGCTAAAATCCCAGTTGTTCTTGTGGAGCGGCATAGCCATATATGCATCCAAATCCTTGCTTCAAGAAAGGTAGGCTACCCCCGGTTTGTCATCAAGCTACTGCAGCAGTTACAAGATGCTTAAATCCAAAGGATAACGGAGTTCTGATTTTGGGACTAGTGGGTCAACCTTTGTTAGATACCCTCTGGTAATTTGTGACATAGCTATTAAAAACGTTCCAGTCGAAATAGTTGATTTACCCAGCTATAAAAATGCTGGATCTTATCATAGTTTTTTGTTAACGTTTACCAGAGGCTACTATTTTTCATTAGCACTTTAATCGTTTGGTGGGCGGTGGGCTACATTCACCATCCCATAAATCCCAGCCATCGTAGGTGGCCGTGCAACCTGGTCTTCGAGGTCTGCGAAGCAGGGACCGACCTGTGGATGGTCGTGAAATCCTGCACCTGGGATGGTAGAAAGATGTAGAAAGCTTATCAATAATGGGATAAACCACCTATTAACTGGTGCAGGATTTCGCAACCATCCACAGTAGGGAAACCCAACGGGGATATAAATGGAATTCGGAACGGCGAGGATCCCCCAGCGCTCTATTTTTTTACCTTACTGGTTTGGGAGTTCGGAATTGTGATTTGTACAGACTATAGAAATCTGCTTGGTGGTTTGGAACATTTGGATTACTGTATTTTTTTCCATATGGACTTCCAGTAAGTTCCACCAGCAAAAACGGCGTCAAATGATCCAAGATGGGGATCCAACACCGACAATTTGCTGGACATTTTCTTGAGATTTTCTTGATTGGAACATTTGGATTATTTTCCATATATTGGGAATAATCATCCCAACTGATTTCATTTTTTCACTTGGAATTGCTGCCAGTTTTTTGTCCAAAAAAACAAGCGCGCGACGAGGCGAGAACCAGCACTTGCGCTTCGAGGTGCCAGAAAAAAACAGGGCGAAAATCTCCATCGGAAAAGTGGAGTGCGACAAAGTGCGAAACGTAAATGGGGGAGTTAATGGATGTTAATGGATGTTAATGGTTATTACAGATCATTCGTATAACATCTTATAACTACTTGTTCATTTAGCCTGCTTGTGGCTGGGGTGAGACAAGCCACTGTGAACCACCGTTCCTCGCCTGTTTGTTCATGCCATCTCGTGCCTTGTGAGGTCAGTCGACTGCAAAAAGTTTGGTGGCCCAGCGTTCAAGTTTAGCCAGAAAACTTGCTATCAGACCAATAATGGTCGGTGTGATTTTTTTAGTGAAGTAATAATGATTCAAATAGTGAGAGGGAGTGGTTTTTGGATAGGACTTGTTTCATGTGCAAGTGAGTAATCCAGCATAAGTACCAGTTCATCACTCTAATTTTTCATCGGTGTTTCGGATCGTGTGTGTGTGTGTGAGCGCAAAGCTTCACTCCATAGTTTGTTCCAAGAAGGATATCATCGAGTTGTAGTTTGGACTGCAAGATGCGTACACAAGTGTTTTGAATTAATTCTTCCAAATTTCAAATGACATGTCCCTGACAGACATGTGTCTTCACAAGGACATCACATAATCATAGTATCGTAATACCCATATATGATAATATATGATATACATATTCATATATATATATACACAGTATTATATACATCATTACATGTTGGACAAACAACGCATAGACTCCATGGCTTTCCTGTCATAGACTCCCTGAAATCGATCCGCTACGAGGGAAAAAATCACCGGTGGCCGGTAGGGATTTGCTCGTTGCAAGGGGGGATCCCCCTCTTAGTGAACTAGAATGTTTGGTAGATATATCTATAGTCAATAGATTGGTTTAAGGGATTTTTTGCAGGAAAGCCCCATACTCAATGATCTAAGTACCTATGGATCAAAGTACCTTTTTAGGAAGTGTTTGGGGTATATATAATTTCCTATCATTTGAGACAGTGTTTGGATCCATAGGGTATAGTTAGTGCTGTTTAGAAACCAACAAACAAAACGACCGGGCACCTTGTGAACGGTGTTCAACTGAATAAGTTGGTGAAAAGTTGAAAGCGTGATTTATATGTTAAATTGTTTCAGAATGTATGAGGACAATATCGGGGAATTGGTGATATATAAAGATAAACCATATCCGCCAATAGTATTTTTTGCGGATGATGTTAGAACTTACATGGTGCCCATGACACATTATAAACATTGCAGAAATTTGAACATGCAGATACCGACATAGATCCGACATATATATATATATGAAATTATTTATGAAATTATATATACAGTATATATGATTATATTTAATATACAGTATATACCTACATAATATGTATATATATGCAAAAACATTGTGTCACGTACACCGTGTCATGTAAATACATGTATTTATGCCACATTTGTTTAATGTTACGTATGTTCACACAATTGTTTGCCCATGTATCATAAGATGTGCAATTGACCATCGTTTTCGCCATGATCTCGGGACCGGTGGTGGTTCTGTGTTGCTGTACAAGTGTTCTTTCACCAACGACAGTGACACCGTATCAGACAGAATCCAAAGTGGATATGTCTCGGCATGGAGCCTAAATCAAACACATGTTACATCATGCTACCGTGTTACTAAACGTTGATTTTGCCAATTGCTTCTGGCAATTCTGGTCGTTAAACAAAGACAAATCACAACCAACTAAAATCATGAGTCATTGCGTTGCACGAATGGATGAAATCAATGTTACTTTGAATTTTATCTACCTTGCAAGAATTGATTCAAAGCAAAAAATATGGAAGCATAACACATTTTTTTTTTATATGCAATGTGTTGATGGTTTCATGTGTTCATATCGTTTGACGAATACATCCACACGCTCCCGGCGCCGGCACGGGCGCTGATGTCGGCATGCAACCATCAAGAAATTGGACAGCATCATAACTAGGACCCGGGAGGGCAGTCCTCCATTGGGTTTCGGGCTGCGGTTTTTTTCGGGAGGTCCCTGCTTTGGGTTTCCAGATCCCTTGGGGGTTTATTACAGAAGGAGCGGTCTCAGATACATTGGAGGGACGGAATTGTCAGGGTGTCCGCAAGTCCCATCGCCCTGCTGGCAATCATAGCTAGTTTCTACAACAAGAGTGAGAATACATCATGACTTAATGCAAGCGATGTTGCTTCACTCTAGAATAGCTGGGGTAGTATTAATACAATATGTCACGAAAGCTAGCGTCAGCTAGCTGGAGTCTTCTTGCTTTAGCAAGTATTCCGGGGGCTGCTCAAGGACATCACGTGATTTTTCACGCGAAAGGCCCCCCCAACCCCACCACCATCACCATCATCAGCATCATCAGCATCATCGTCATCATCGTCATCATCGTCATCGTCATCGATTTCGTCATCGTCATCGTCAGTGGCATCGTTCTCGTCATCGGGATCATCATCATCATCATCATCATCATCATCATGAGCATCATCATCATCATCATCATCATGAGCATCATCATCATCATCATCATCATCATCATCATCATCATCTCCTCATCCTTATCATCCTCCTCATCATCATCCCGATCATCTGCCGCATCCGCTTCATCATCATCATCATCATCATCGTCATCATCATCATCATCATCCTCCTCATCATCATCACCATCATCATCATCAACATCATCATCACCATCATCATCACCAGCATCATCATCATCATCATCAACATCATCATCATCATCATGAGCATCATCATCACCATCATCATCACCACCATCATCATTGTCATCATCATCATGTTCATCATCATCATCATCTTCATCATCATCATCACCATCATCGTCATCATCATCACCATCATCATCATCATCGTCATTGTCACCGACACTTCCCTGCTGACACTGAAGATACGTCTTCCCTTCCTTCTTTCTCCTACCCCGCTAGCTTTCGTCATCCACCCCCGGCCTCAAGTTGTCTACCACAAATGTAGTGTACTACCAGTATTTAGTAAATACAAATGTACTGGTACTACATAGTATGAATACAATATGTTGTCTACCACAAGGTTAATCACTGGTACTACATACATCCCCAGTTACTACCAGTTACCATTGGTCTTGTCTCAAAATCTGCTCCGAAATCCCATGGCAGATCATCCGAAACTGAGCATGTGATGGCCGGTAGTTGCAAGTATCATGAATCAATACAAATCATAGAATAGTAGTTATAAGTTGTTTCTGTGTCATAAACCATAGTTATGCAATTATGCAAGTCATTAATGTAGATATCGTTTGGGGTGGCCACATTGTAGGACTGATATGTCAAATGTTGAAGAAAGGATAGGTCCTGAAGTGCATTCACCCGCAACACAACAACAAACTCCTGTCAGATTGAAAATGTCTTCACAGGGATGATAAATATTGGATCATATTGGATTGTGGCGGGACATACATTGTGTGGGTATGCCATTTGATTGTTGACTGCCACAAAAACAGCTCTGGACATACCAAACTTCTTGACATTGCGGCGCAACAAAATAGAGAGGAATGTCTATGAAAAGCTAGCTGGATGGTCTTCAACTGTGCATAAGGTTGGTGTATATATGGAGTTTTCCTTGAAATAGGGATACTCCAAACAATCATCCATTTCATTTTCGGATTTTCCATTATAAACTTATGTGGAGAAGCTGGTGGAGATCTTCAAGACCGGGGTGGTCTGCGACTTTGTGATGTTCCAGGATGATGATCGAACGACCCGGGCCTTGTGGTACTGCTCCGTGCATGATGAGGAGAGCAACAAGTACAGGCCTTCGTCCTTTCATAGCAAGATCAGCGTGGTGGCTACACAATACGAGCGCTACAAGACCCTTGAGGAGACGAAGAAGCAGATCGTGAAAGCTCTGGGGTCTGGAAAGGCCGTGACAGTGGGGAAGTGGATCCGAGCTTACAAGAATCTTCACGCCGATGTCAAGGCTGTTCTGGGTAGCTTCATTTTAGGAAGCCCTTATAGAACCAGCTTGATATCCCAGCTACTCGATTTCGAGGATTTTTGGATCCGAGGGCTGGCATGGCCATGGTTAAGCCATCGGTTAAGCCATGTGAAACCCGCCATTTTCCATATGTTTCAATTTTTTCCCATGTGAAAGCCACCCTTTTCCATATTTTTCCATTTTTTCCCATGTGAAACCCGCCATTTTCCATATGTTTCCATTTTTTCCCATGTGAAAGCCACCATTTTCCATGTGAAAGCCATCCTTTGCTGTGGCCAAAACCTCTGCGATGGCACCGCAGGGATTGGATCGCGGATGCTGGAAGACTTGGGACTCAGCGAGAGGCGGCAGCATCTCTATTGGGTCTCAGATAGAAAAAAAATATATATAATATTGTGTGTATATATATATATTTTTTATATTTTATTTATATATATATATATATTTATTTATATATATATCGCCTGTTTAATCAGTTTAATCATTGTTTCTGGAGAGGAATAAATTTTGGGATGGGATTCATGGTGATGGAAATGCAGAAATGGAGAGATATCTGTGCGTTTGCTCTGCTGCCAGTACTTCCACGTTGATCGTGTGGCTGGTGCGGGCTTTATTGCCATTCTTGCTCTTTATCATTTGGCGACTTGGCAGCAGTGTGGTGACAGGATCTACGAAAAGAAGCACAGTCGCAGTTTCTGCGGAGTCGCTAAGTGTAATTCCTCCACTTTCCCAGATTCGTGACATTTCTTTACCAATGGTTGCAATGTGGCCCCCCCCAGTTATGTTTGTTGGTTTATAAAACCCCAATGACATCCATTGACTATGTACAGTAGTTATAAGTTATAAGCATTATAAATTATAAACCAAAATGAAATTCAAGTTATGTTCACCAACTAAGCCCGATTTCGCTGCCTGGAAAAGGGCGATATCACACGATATGCCGCAAGGTGCTGGTTTTCCTGTATTTTTTTGACTTGACCCATGAAATGATGGAAACAAATAAAGGCTGTTTGTATCCAAGAGTTACGTCACAACTCACAACTGATGCGTATTTTCTTTTGCTTGTGATTTGTTAGTTCCCTTAGATTCCTACTTGGCATGAAGGGCTAAACCCAGCAGAACTGAGATGTTGCCCATTCTTTGGATCGATGTTAGCTAACAGAGAGCAAGGGGGGGCTTCATTTTTGAAACCCCAATTGGGTGTGTCTGAAAATGGTGGTATGTCCCACCAATAATAGCCATCTTAGTACTAGTAGACAAATAAAATGATAAACCAATGGAGTTTGGGATGCTCTATAGTTGCAGACAAACGCGAAATGCGCCTCTCGTTTTCGCTTTGGTTTCAGCTTTTGACTTTCTCGGAAATGACTTGGACCATGATGAGACTCCCATTTGGCTGGTCGCTAAAGTGATGCACTTTACCACAATTGGTTTTCATCAGTGGCATGTTTTGACCACGATGTGAAGCGATGCCACATGGGCTGCTGAAAATGATAGAGTTACACCCGAATTTTGGTCTTATGGTCTTGTTTATGGCGAAAATGTGAGCACATATATCATACTAATATCATTAATCAGCGGATGGAAAATTTTGTTCCATGTGTTTTCATTTTTTTAGATTTGTGCGGGTGCCAAACCTACAGTTAAAGCCCTTTACCAGTTACAAATGGTTGCAACTGGTTCTCTGGTTGGTGGTTTCAAACATGTTTTATTTTCCATAATATATGGGATAATCCTTCCTATTGACTTTCATATTTTTGAAGATGGTTGAAACCACCAACCAGTATTATTAAGCATCATTAACCATCATTAACCATCATTAACATTCATTAACCATCATTAACCCTGGAAATCCCATTAAATCCCATTAAAATGGTGTGACTGACGGCCATTTTTTCGTCGAAACGCCAGGGGGATTGCCATTGGATCCCGATGTCTCAATTCCCCAAGGTATGCCACCCAACCGCCGGAGCACCGGGGGATACCGGGCAACAGCGTCGCGGCGTCCGAAGGGGAGTCATATTATGAAAATAAGGCTATGAATGAAGCAGAAGATTGGGGAACACACACATATACATATATATATATGTATATATTGTTATATGTATATATATGTGTATACACTCAGTATACATATGCAATATATATATATATTATCTATTTATTTATATGTATATTTATATGGCTATCCGCAAATAGTCTAGTGGTTTCAACCTTTTGTTTCAACCATGCAATGATGATCCAATATGTCTATATACGCAACTGGGATGCACCTCCAAATGCAAGTATCATCAATTATTAATCAACCACTACGTAGAAATACAAGGTGTTGACCCCACGAATGCTGATTGAGTTTAAAGCCCCATTAACTGGTTAACTAAGTTTATATATCTATCAAAAATCGAGTCGTTAAGCTACTTGTACAGCAAATTAAGCTAACGAACTGTGAAATCACTTTGTACAAGTCATGGGAATCCGGCATGACCAAAATCATGCTTAGTGGAGGTGACTATCCCAAGAAATGTCCGAACATTTCAGTTTAAAGTATGCCTTTGTGAATTAGTTCAAGTTGGAGCTTTCATAAGTCATGGGCCCATGGGGGTATTCCAAATCATCCAAGTCATGGACCACTTTGGGATCCCTCAGGAGCCCCAGCAGACGTACCATCGCGGACAGCTTCTAGCAGCACGGCAGGCGATCTCTGGGTTTCCGTTTAAATGGTGGAAATTAGGAAGCATGGTCTTGTTCAGTTGAACAAACTGCTTGGGGTTGCACCCAGTCCGGGAAACCGGGAAACGGAATCACGCAGTTGGACCTGCTACGCTGCTACTACTACATTCGATCGGCAATATCTCCTGGTGTTCCGGGCCATGCTAGCAATGTTGATGAAACCATGTTTTATTTCCCAGAGACGATTTTGTTTCGTTACAGGGATGACACACAAAATTGCTAGTTGCTGGATTTCTTGCCATGACCGCAATGAATGCAGTTGTCTTTTTTCCGTCGAATCTAATCTTTGGGTCTAAAGTCTAGTCTTATACGGTTTTCCAGGGTGTTCCAACGCTTTTTACTTTGGTCATCTTTGGTCCTATGGCTCTAACAGCCACCTGAGACGGCTTGGGTTTTCGAGGTTGTGGGCGGCACACCGCCAGAACTGGGCACGTTGCAGGTCAAACGCTTAGAGGACACAAGGGTGGTGGTTTATGCAAGCATGGTTGATGGGTAAATAAAGCCAACATCGTCGATGGCCATTTAAGCAAAGCTTTTTTTGCGAGATAGAACCAGCAAATGGGATATTTTTTCCTGGTGAACCAAAATGTATTCCATCGTCGATAGAACCAGCAATGGAATTGTTTTTTCCTGGTGAAAATGAGCTTTGTGCAACCAGCAATCCTATCCCAAACAGGATCTTTCTATATCTGAGCAGTTCACGGCGGCTCCCCAGGACCCAAAGCCAGCCCGAAGGCCGGGGTGGGATGATACCCTTAGGCAGATCAAGAGGTGTGGCTCCCAGCGTTTAAGCTGCTACATCCAGAAAAATTGATCGGAATGTAGTGAATGTAAGGGATTTGATTGGATTTATATGGATTCGTATGGAATGAATTGTATGACATGAAGTGAATTGACATGATGTGTTTCACGGAATACGGCCTAGGAGTTCCCGAAAGTACATGAAAGTACCACGAAGTGGTTGCTCTACCCTGCAGTAATCAAACATGGCTTGCTGGAAAATCCGCCATTGAGTTCGATGATGTTCCAAGCCACAATCCTCCATGCACAACAGGTTTTCCAGCCGTCTGATGACACCGGAGCGTAAATCCCATTCAAATATCCCATTAGGATCCATTAAGTATCCATTATTTTAATTAGGCTTCAGCATCAGAAACCGTGATTAGCCATTATTTCCCCATTATATAAATGTTATGTTTGGGCCGCATGGCCCTTGTGGCCAGGTCCAAAGATGAGCGAAAGAACAGCGCTGCCACTAGCGTCACGACAGTCGAGTCCCGCTTGGTGCCCGCATCGCCAGTGGTGGGACCCCCGGGGTGATAGCGAAAGCGTTGGAACATGGTGATTAAACCAAGAAACATGGGGATTTCATTGGCTGGTTGTTGGTTTGGAACATGAATTTTATTTTTCCATATATTGGGAATAATCATCCCAACTGACTGATATTTTCAGAGGGGTTGAAACCACCAACCAGATATATTTTGATGTATTTTGACTATTGGTTGGTCCCAACTTGCTCATATTTTTCAGAGGGGTAGGTCAACCACCAACCAATTGGATTTTCATGGGGATTTCATGGGATTGGTTGGTGAATAGAACTCCAATCATATGTTCTATGTGGTTCATGATGGTTGATGGTCCTTAGAATTATAGTTCATGAGGTTTACAAACTTACTGGTGCTTAGCAGGGAATGAGGAAATGATCGACAATAACTATCAATAATTATACCGTTCCCCCATTCTCATCCATTCCCTACTAAGCAGCAGTAAGTAAACCAGCAAACATCACTAGAGGGGCCACATTGTAGATCTACGGTTTCAGTACCAGGCGCTTGAATATCCAGAAAGGCATTGATGCAATGGGTGAAGCAATCGAATTCATCCGGAAATTGTTGGTTTGGTTGGTGGGTTCAAGCATTTTTTATTTTCCATAATATATGGGATGTCATCCTTCCCATTGACTTTCATATTTTTCAAGATGGTAAAAACCGCCAACCAGTGGTGATATCGCGGTGATATGCGATGATATTCCATATTGCAATAGATTAAACATGATTAAACTATTAGTAGGTGCTCAACAAGAAAACTCAGATTAGCCCGTCGCCTGTGTATCCAAGATGGAGAATACTCCGTTTTGGTTCGATGGTTGGACAATCGGAAATGCTTTTGGGAGTGTTCGCTGTCCATGTGTCCAATGATACAAAAAGTAGTACACAGGCAGAAGTTTAGCTAAAACTGTTTCAAGAATCTAGTTCTATCAGTTTTAAATCTATGTCTATATGTCGGATGTATTTCATGGAAGTTGCGGATCGAAGATGTTCGAAACCCTACTTCTGTATGTTTCAATCTATTGATTTTACCCTGTAGCTATGGAGGATGGTCCATTTATACATGGTTTACCCTCTGGCAAACATACAAAAAGTATTGAAAAGAACCATTCATAGTGGATTTACCCATTAAACATGGTGATTTTCCATAGTTACGTAAACGTTTACCAGAGGGTAACTGTTATAGACTATGTTGATGTGAAATTACCACATGGTAGCAGCAATCTTAGGTAAATCCATCCCGATCTCTGGGCTCCAAGGTCCATCCACAATGCCCTGAGCCACCAGAATAAACTGGTTGCTTAGACAGTGTCAATAGATATTGTATTGTGATATAGATATAATATATAGATGATGATATCATATCTTGATAGACTATAGTCTATAGTTACTATAGTTCATGATTGTAGTGTGTCTATAGATATGATCAGATATCGTATTTTTTGTGGTGAAGTCAATGATTAGCAAACTGCTTGCTTATTGATGCCTGGGAAAGTCTGGGAAAGCTGTAGGGCCAATGGGGATTCAACCAACCGGGGGTAGACCTTTTTTTTACCCAACAAGGAACAACAAGTTTTTCACGGTTTATCACTATGGATCTCCCCATGAACTACCAAAATAGAATCTGGAAGTAGTGCCAGCTTCAAGATGACAAGGTTCACCTTGCCCAATCTGGATGGACCCTTGATCCATATCCGACAGCCTAGTGCTGCTTGAAGCCCAAAATTACCATGCTCAACCTGGCACCTCCCCTGGTTGAGCATGAAGAGGTCCAGGAAGCTCCAAAGCCTGAAAAAAAGGAAGGCTCAGATGTGATGGAGGCCAGTCGGGTTCTTCCAAAACAAATGGTGCCCATAAACATTATGTTCCCTATTTAGATGACCACCAATTGACTATACAAAGTACCACATGTTCAGACCCTGAAATGCTACCTTTGCGATGGCTTTTCCCGCAAGATCGCCCAGTCTATGGGATGAAAAACCACTGACCAAGACTTGGATCTACCCTGTGACCAGTCAGTTGGTGCAGGATTTGCAAGGCGTCCTGAGTTTTATCGCCTTCAAGGACGAATGAAGTGACATTTTTTGTGTTTGGAAAGGTTGGATACCCGAAATCCAATGGTTTGGCGGCATCATTATCCCTGAACAAGTGGCCATGACTGGGGGTCGGTCTACCATGGTCTACCATGTGTTCATAGAATCTCTACCCACGGGTGGTCAACCATGGCAATGACTGGGAAAATCCCGGAGGTTCTAGTGGGGAAATTGTCTGTAAATGCCTGGGTTTTCATTGCCATGTTTGGTTAGAACATCGTTTGGAACTGTTGGTTTGTCCAAAAAGGAATTACAGAAACATACATATATATATATATATGCCAAAAAAAATACATATGCAATGCCTGGGCTTTGCCCCAGCGTTGCAGCGTAGAGGGTTCCCATTCCCAATCAAATGTTGTTGCAACTTTACATTCAATTGGGAAGATCAACAAAGGTATTAGGCAATATTAGAATCCGACCCCCGTTAAACTCTACATTCCATTGGGAAGATCAACAAAGGTATTAGGCAATATTAAAACATTCAATTGGGAAGATCAACAAAGGTACTAGGGAATATTAACACCCCACCCCCGTTAAACTCTACATTCAATTGGGAAGATCAACAAAGGTATTAGGGAATATTTGAACCCCACCCCCGCTAAACTTTACAGTCAATTGGGAAGATCAACAAAGGTATTTGGGAATATTTGAATCCCACCCACGTTAAACTCTACATTCAATTGGGAAGATCAACAAAGGTATTAGAGCATATAAAAATCCCACCCCCGTTAAACTCTACATTCAATTGGGAAGATCAACAAAGGTATTAGAAATATAAAATTCCACCCACGTTAAACTCTATCTACATTTTTTTGGGAAGATCAACAAAGGTATTAGGGAATATTAAAATCCCACCCCAGTTAAACTTTACATTCAATTCTGAAGATCAACAAAGGTATTAGGGTATATGAAAATCTACATTTAATTGATGATGATGATGATGACGATGATGATGACGATGATGATGACGATGATGATGATGAATATGATGATGATGAATTTGATGATAATGAATATGATGATGATTAATTTGATGATGATTCATACCATGATGGTGATGATTAATATGATGATGACGATGATGATGATGATGATGATGATGACAATGATGATGATGATGATGAATAATATGATGATGATGAATAATATGATGATGATCATGATGATCAATATGATGATGATGATGATGAATTTGATGATAATGAATATGATGATGATTCATGTGATGATGGTTAATACCATGATGATGATGATGATGATCATGATGATGATGATGAATAATATGATGATGATGATGATGAATAATATGATGATGATGATGATTAATATGATGATGATCATGATGATGATGATGATGATGATCGTCGTTGCGGTTTGGGGCAAAGCCCATGCATTTGCCGATATACATATATTTTTTTTAGAATTATATATATATATATATTTGCAATAAAACTGAGAAAAATAATTTCGCTACTATAGATCAAGATCCGTTTTGCCTGTGAAAATCAGATCACTTTCTCACTTTTGGTCAAGTTTCCACGTTTTTCCTTGTGAAAAGCACCGGATAAAATGTACTTTTGTGAATGTTTAGCTGGGAGAAAGGGGATCACCAAGAATCAGAGGAAACTAAGATTGCGGTGTCAACAAATGCAACATCAGGGACGTGGGGTCAGTCCATATACTGTACACAAGGGGTGCAGCGAGCAGATGCGCAGTCCCCTGGACATCCGAGGTGGGGGCTTTCAAACATATGTTGTATTTGGCTGATACCCCCTGTTTAACTCAGAGTTTGCTATGGAAAATCATTCTTTTGATGGGTAAATCATAGAACTAAACAAAGTCTTCAAGGATAAAATCCATCAACCAGGTGTATCAGGGGAAGCGATAGAAGCAAAAATATGATACAATGAACACATGTAAATGCGTTCTTTGCACTGGAGGTTGCTATCAACCTTCGGGACCCAAAGCAATAACTACTTGGGATATAGAGTAGAGTCATTTTGAGTTCCCATGCGATGTTTTCTGATGCCGCACATCATAGCCATTGACAATGGCAATGTTTAATAGGTAAACCGCCTATAAATGGCCCATCTATACCATAGCTATGTCAGCATATGTCAGCCATAGTAGTTTACTGGATGATAACCATCCATTTTTTGCACCAAACTCATTTCATGCCTTCTCCAGCTCGCAGTCCGTTCCGCAGATTTCTTCTCCGTCTCCGTTGTGTCGCCGCGTGACGCGACGTGTGTCCCACGGCAGCCATGGTGGGGCGCTTCTGGCTGTGGTCGATGCTGACGGTGAGTGCAGCGAAGGAACCGACTCCAGTGACTTGGATGGCATAGGATTGCCCTTTTTATACACCTGGATACACATTTAGAATCTCATTTGATATACATTTTATTATATATTAAATTATGTTGTATTTATTTCATTAAATGCAGAATATGATTTAGGTAGAATATGATTGTAGAATGTAATATGTTATTTGACATATGAGTAGCCGACATTTCCTGTGGACTATTTAGTGTTCCTTCGCCTTGGCCTTTCTGAGGTTGCACAAAACCTTCACAACCGATAGGGGACGGCCCTATACTGATACCCCATTTGTGATACCTGCGGGAATACTGAAATCCTCAGAACCGATAGGGGACGACCCTAATTTGCGCATGGCATTAAATTAAGAAATGCCTGCTACCGAATATATATATATATATATGCACATAATATACTTATATATGTACGTATGTGCATATGTACTTATGTACATATGTATACATGTATGTATGTATACATGTGGAAATGTGTATATGTGTATGTGTATATGAATTTGTATTGTATATATGTATATATACGTATGTATGTATGTATGTATGTATATATATATATGTATATGTATATGTATTTGTTTATGTATACATATATGTTTGTATATATATATATGTATATGTATGTATATGTATATGATAGATGTATGGTATATACACACGCACTTGGGTTGGTGATGCTCCCAAGTGACCACTGCTTTTGGGACTATGACGATATGTTTCTATATACATGTGGGATACATACATATATATATATTATGGTTCTTGTATCAGATAGCCATTACATATTTCATTTTTAATACTGTTGAATCTGTTCATGATTATTTGCAGTAAGCACATATATATATAGATACGAATATATATATATATAGAGAGAGAGAGACAGGTATCTTTGTTATATATTCTAAGAGAGACTTAGCCATCATGAGTATTTGGGGTTGCAACCATCAAAGAATATAGGGAGTTTTCCTACCTGGCTGACTGGGGATGACTATGGCAGGGATGACTGACAGACGGTTTTGTTTTCGATGCTGGCATGGCTTTGGGGATGATGTTCCATGTAATGAGATTGTCCTTTCATGGGCTTCTTCGTAACCATCTATTTTGGAGGGGAACCTTGTGCAAGGCGTGGTTCAATCCATGCCATACATTGATATAAATGTAATTGTTTGGGGAGATTCCAGCCCCAACCTGAAGAGGACTGGGTGGTTTGACGGGGTGGGGTTGTTTTCTGAAAGCCAATGGTAAACCTGGATTTGCTGAAGATGATTTGTGCTTTTCCCGATGGGAATTCCACTACTTAGGGAACCTATAGGGAATATTCCAGTGTTTTGGAGTATAGTTGACGTCCAACTAGTTGAAACGATCTACGATTGGTTTTCACATGACCCGTACTGTACCGGCTTGTCTGAAAATGAGGCATACTCATTTGTTGCAATGTGTCTTTTGAATCTCGCATTTATGGGAAATATATGTACTTAGTATGTTATATCGTTGTCATTGAGGTCTCACTGGGTTCAGTTCTATCTCTCACATTTAACATTAGTCACATTGGGTTTGTTTGCAAATAGGGTACCCCCAAAACTCCAATGGTTTCATCATAAGTTGTGTTTGTAACATTACGATTTAGGGTTTGCACCCCATGTTCAGACACACCCAACTATCATATCAAGTTGGTTAAGTATATCTATATATATATATTCCCGTTATATAATTATCCATCTTGTATATGTATATATACAAACATATCTCCTCATTTTGCTTAGATCTTAGTATATTGCAGATCTGACTATATAATAGGGGTTACATATCCCTATTTTACGTATGCAATTATATAGATACTATATATATATATATGTAATTATATATATAGTTATATTATGTATATATACACCACTCCCCATGATTTTATATACCCAGTTTAAGTGTATCCCATTAGGTATCCCCAGCATATATATATATATATCCGTTTAATATCCGAATAATGGTTAATCTTTTACCCAGGTCCATGATTTATTTTATACCGTACCCAAAATATAGATCATCGACTCGCATCGACTCGCTTCCAGGTCTACCCCCGGCAGATGAGTTACAGCTGCACCATGCGAGTGAAGCCTGGAATCAAGGCGTCAAAATGTGTGGAGAAAGTCCTAGTTTACTTGGATCGGTTGCAGATTACCTCATTATATATATATGTGTGTATTTGAACAGCTTACATTGTATTACGTTTGTGTATATATATACAAAAATGATCTTACTTTACTAAGTTTTGTTTTGTATTATTGTTTTGTTTTATATAGCAAACTACATTCTATTATGTTTATATATTTATATATATATATATTTGTTATTATGTTATATTACATAATGTTATGCACGCATGCAAATATGTATGTGCATATGTATGTACTTCTGTATGTACGTTTATTTATTTATATATTTATATATATATATATGAGTTTGGGTGCAAGCCGCCCATGTTTGTTTGCCATCTTCATGGGAGAAATAGAAAGAGAATAAATCATGAAATTTTGGTGTCATAGTTTCAGACAAAGACAAACGACATATGTGTTTTGTTGTTTGCAAATGGTTGTTACAGAATTGGACAATCTGCTGGGAAGATTTTTGCCGTTCATTGTCT